CAGTGTAGCCTGTTTTACGCGTTACTCAGACACGAATATTATTGCGCGTTATGTTATTTCTTATTTCCATCGTTTTGACCGGAAGTAGCGCTGGCTGAAAATTGTCTCGTTTATTTATTTGCAGAATCTAATGCATGATATTGAAAATATTTGTTGAATTCATTGTTCTATTATTTTAAATCCGTGTTTCTATTTAAACCCATTTCGTGTGCAGTGGTCATTTCCCAAAATGCCCCAACGTGCACAAAACGTTTTTTATTCTTCGATTTCAACGTTATTTCGCCTTGCGATATCAGGAAAAATATTTTGAAAAATTACAAAAAAATTCTCCTGAAAAAATTACGTCATATGACACGCGCTAATTTGGGTAAACAGGATATGCCAAATCCGCATAGCCTGTCTACATCAAAAATATAAAATTAACAAGGTAAGGAAACAATTTCGGCGGTAGGCGTTGAATTAAGTTTACTTAATTCCTTTATGACGTCGAGGTTTTTGCCCCATCATCAGTTTATTTTATACTAAGTAAAATATTTTCTTTTGGTTCTATTATAATATAGGATTTTGTTGAATAAAAAAATCCAAGCGATGCTATTTTACATTTACAAAGTCATTTGATTATTATTTCATATCAATTAATTAAGGTTTTTAGTTGAGATGAAATAATAATCAATTGACTTTGTAAATGTAAAATACACCGATTACACGACATTTGAAAAATGGCAAAAGGAGGGAAAATTCATAAGGTGGGGTTGAGATAGGAAGTTGATGTCCGAGTGGATCGAGGTCATGATAGCTCAGGTGGTAGAGCAGGCGTATCTAGCCGAAGGTCGTGGGTTCGAATCCCTCTCGTGCCATTAACTTTTTTTCATCTCAACTAAAAACTTTAATTAATTGTAATGATTTAATTGGTCAAGCGGACCACAAAATTAGGGAATTGAATGGAATGAAATTATTTAATATAATAAGCTCAATTTGCCACACTTACTCAAAGTATACTCTATAAATTGTTATTATTATTATTAAATTTTAAGGGCATTTTAATGGCTAAGGTCATTTCAAGCTCTAACATTTCTATCTTAGGTTCGCTATATCCCTTCTGAGTGCNTTTTTCAACTGGAGGAGTTCCCCCCCATGAACTCTGGAGCTCTATAGAGCTTATTGTACGCCTTCCTGGCTCATTTTTGGAATCTCACAACACTTGTGCGAATTGAGCCCCTAGTATGCCGGTGTTGTTCCATTGAAGAAACTCATTTTCAGAGGGATTGGACCAAATTTAGGGTAACTAAGATTCGATCCCAGCCCAGACCTTTCATTGATGAGTGCCAGGTCAAGTTTCATTGTGGCCTGGCCTCCTTAAGTGTCGGAAAAAAAGTTCAGAGGTTGGGGTGTCTCAACCTCAACCACCTTGCCATCCTTTTTCATCTCTAAAAACTCCTCCATTCCTCTGTCTAGCAAGTGTTGTATACCATATTTCCTTCCTTGAAAAGTGTATTTGATAGGAGCTTTTCTTGATGTGGTACAAGGGTCTCCTGGGGGGCGTCGGTGGCCGCAACGGTTTAGGCGTAGACACGGCGCTCATCACTGTAAGGTAAAGGTCCCGGGTTCGAGTCCATCGGCTCTGCATTCGAACCCGACATACTTACAAATGGGCTTTTTTTCATGGCCCCCTGAGGGTTTATATGACCTTTGCTGTTGCAAACCCTCGTAAAAAAAAAAAAAAGTCTCCTGTACAAATTAAAGTGTGTTCTTCCATACCATACCTCTACTTAATTCTGCAGGGTCTGACAACAAACAGATAACACCAAAACTCCAAATAACTATGGCCATGGGAGTATCACGGGGGAAGTGGAATGGTGAAGACCATTCCTCTATACCCTTTATGGTACATATGTATGAACCCTCCTTGCATCTTTTGTCGGTGGCACAGCTGTGATATCCTCTAACCCCGATCCTATAGTTGTTTCAGAAAAAATGTAGAGACAGTCTGGTGTAGATAATGGAGAATTTAGATGAATGAATGCAAGTGCATCTACGTCGCATTTACACATGGAAGCAAATCTCTCAAAATTTTCAATAATGTTCCTATCCCCAAATCCGACTGTTTGCTACCTTAGTTCCACCTTCCACGCTTAACTAAGAGGATCAGCATACATGACTGAAACGATGATCTACTCTACAAACTTATAGGATCCAACCTAACGTCAAAAAACAAACTTACAATCTGCAAAACGGTACTACAACCGATTTGGATATACGCAATAAAACTATGGGGAACCGCTTAGCCTTCCAATATACAATCCTTCCAATCTAAAGTACTCAGATCAATTATAAGTATGTAGATTCACTTTTTGTATCTTTTGAGAGGAAAGTACCTCTAAAAGCTACTCTAAAACTTTGTTTAAGAATTTTACCTACGTTTGTTTTCCTATAGTTCACCAATGTATGGCAAGCAACGAAAATAGGGTTTAATGCTTGAAATCCGGATTGTACACAGATACCACAAATCTGTGAGTAGAACCATCATTTACAGATTTCCAAAACGTGAAAAAAAAGTTTAGAGAAGTCTGGCATGCTGGTTGTTTTTTAAAAATACAAGTCACAAACATTCATCAATAGAATTGTTAAATGATAAGATTTCTATTTAATATGTTCACTGTTATGCCATAATGGAGACATGAGTGATGGTTTCATCATGCGGATACACGCCAGTGTCATCAAGCTCTTATTTTTCTCAAATCGATCAAAAATATCCACCTGATAAACAATTCAAATGAAATAGGTCTTGCTATGAACGTGTTAAGGCCAGATCTACTAGGTGAGGAACTTTCTTTTGTCAGATGCATTTTGCTGAAGTTCTGTAGGTTTATAAGTTTTAGGTTGAAAAACAAGTATATTAAAAGTACATGATTTCAAAACAGTTTGGTTGTTTTTTTTTCCTTTCTTTTTTTAACGAGGTTATTCGAATCCTTAGGGTGTTGGTTGTTTTTGAAAAAAAGTAAATTTGTAAGTATATCAGGCTTTTGTGTTCCCCGAACTGTAAAGTTAAAGTTATTAACTTACAATTAATTAAGGTTTTTAGTTGAGATGAAAAAAAAGTTAATGGCACGAGAGGGATTCGAACCCACGACCTTCGGCTGGATACGCCGCTGCTCTACCACCTGAGCTATCGTGACCTCGATCCACTCGGACNGTTGATGTCCGAGTGGATCGAGGTCACGATAGCTCAGGTGGTAGAGCAGCGGCGTATCTAGCCGAAGGTCGTGGGTTCGAATCCCTCTTGTGCCATTAACTTTTTTTTCATCTCAACTAAAAACCTTAATTAATTGTAATGTTTAATTGGTCAAGCAGACCACGAAATTAGGGAATTAAAGTTATTAACTTAAATTATTCTGTTAAATAATCAAATTAATTAAGTACATTATTCTATTAAATACATGTGTCACATTGGCAGAGAAGCTTTCACATATCAACAGCAATGTCAGTCTGTGGCCCTCTGGAGGACCTGACTCAAAGAAGAAAAGTAATCTTCACCTAATAATGAATGGGCCCTGCATGGTTGACACATGGACACTTACTTTTGAGCCAAAGCCTATGTATGTGTCCAACGTGGAGACACACAACAGCTCAATGTGTCCCACCTAATTGAAGGATGTTACTCCTTGGCTCTATATAGATTTGTGAGGATATGCCACCTGATATATCATGCTTGAGCACAGCAGCGAGTATATCTGGGTCCTCATTCTGATGGAAGAGGATTGAATGCTCCACTGAGTGAACAGTATGTAAATGGATAAGAGTGTATTTAAAGATGAGCGAGAGTGTTAATGGATTTAAGAACTACATGGATTGTGTGTGAATTGTCCTTGGAATTGAGCCCAAATGCTGCTAAGTTAAATTTGAACTGACGGTCCAGCAGGAAAGTGTATGGTCCCTCCAGTTCAACCGCCTGCTGGTCATCAGACATACCTTAAGTTATAAGTTCATAAGATTTGGTATGATGTTTATAATGCTTATTATTCAACCAATGAATTTCTTTTAACTCCTGGCCTATCCTCAATACTGTCAGTCATTGTGGGGTATCTTCATCAATCAAGTATGTATTTCCATTCCATCCATGTAACTCTTTTTCTTATAATTGTTACAGTACCACCTTCATTGATTCCAAATAAGTTTGTTATTTTAGCAACAGAAGCACCTTCTCTAATAGCATGCTTTCCAACTCTCATCATTTGCAAAAACAATCATCTAATTCAGACAGAACATTTACCCTCCATATTGTTGATTTCAATTCAGAACCTGAAAGCATTAGTCCTTTCTTGACAAAATAGGAAGGATTTAGTTATCAATACAAAGATATGTCCTTTATTAAGCTTTATATATTGGCTGTCCACAGTTGTTTTTCTTAGATTTCATTTTTTTTTTTTTTTAAACAAAATTTCTCTGCTATAAAGATTCATAATTGTATTGACCATTTTTTACCTGTCAACAATCATAATATCTAGCACAAATAGTGAAACCCTTAGAGAGACATTATCTTCAAAAGATTTTCTTTTCTTGTGTGCTGGGGCAGGAGTTACCAAGATTACTGACAATAAATTTTGTTGTATTTTGTTACCTCATACCATTTAATTCCTGTGTATTAATTATTAATATAACAAGAATGCACTGAGCGCATCGGTGGGTGCAACAGTTAAGGCATTGACACGGCACTCATCTCTGTAAGGTAAAGAAAAGTACCTGGTTCAAATCTAACAGACCCGTATTTGAACCTGACATACGTTCAAATGGGCATTTTTTCAAAACCACCAACACCCCCAAGGGTTGATATGACCTCTGCTGTTGTGAAACCTCATGTTAAAATAAATAAATGAAATAAAAATAAACAACTGAAAATTTGAAGACCACGTATGTCTTTATAGGTGGTAGGTTTTAATGATTAGCTGTAATCGTACACTTTTTTCTTTTTAGCTTGTTAAATAGACATACTTTTTTTACAGAAGTAAAAGGTGTTTTTGGAGATGGCTTGAAGAGAGGGCAAATCTGGCATCAAGATGGACCTGGTTGCAATCCCAAATAGCAGATCTGGAATACCGAATTCGCCAACAGAATGAAATAAGGCGGCAAATTAGGGTGGCAAAAGGGATTGTCAAGTTGGAATCTGACAATAGGTAATAAGATTTAGTAAAATAATGTATCATTCTCTTCTAATTATAAAATATACCATTAAATAACTATTTATTTTATTAATAGTTGTGAGGATGGAACTACATGTGCTAGAGTAAGACCCCTGTCGCACACTAACTTCAACAAAAGGAAAGTGGTCCAGCTTTCAGGCTTTCACAGGCATAACAAAAAGGTCGCTCGGCCAGCATCCTTGCGATGTGCTTGTAGAGGTGGGCTGTCATCAGGTGCTAGCATAGTTGGTTCTGTTTCTAGCAATGGAGGAAACACTAATGAACACTCATGTGGCCTATGTACTGGTCGAGCAGAACCGACTTGCCCTCGGGATCCACTCGAGTTTGCGCCTGTCCAAGAAAGAGTTGCACTATTGGATCCCACCTTCCATCCTGTTCTTTCTTTTCCTAGTGGTGAGCATTAATCTATTTAAAATTGTAATAAAATACTGATTAGGATTATTATTTAATTGGAGGATCCTTTCAAAAATAAAACTTAAAAATGGTTAGGTCTTAATACCTTCTGTATAAAGTTGTGTGTCATCATCAATCAATAATTGTTGTCATATTTTTGTTTTTCTAATTCAACTTACTTGATTGTCACCTTACATTACATAATAATACTTTTTTTTTCTTCCTGTGTAAAATTCGAAATATATGTCAATAGTGATATACCAACTTATTTTTTTAGAAGTAATTGTATAAATTTAAAAAATACGTATTCAAGATTGATTAATTATCAATTTCTCTGATTAAATATCAATGTCTCTATTGTTTTAAGATGTCTCTGCAAGTCTGCATTATGATGCAATTATGAAGTGTACTGACTGGCAGACTCGTGCTTCAAGAATCCAGGTGAAGCCTTCAATGTCAATGTCGTATCATCATATGAACAACACTAGTGATACATCTTTGCCCGAAAATGTGAACTCTTTGGAGGCCAGAAGAGGAAGGAAGATGACACAATTCGCTACAACTGTTCCTACTTCAACATTGAACAATTTAAATAGTAATAGTAGTAGCAATTGCACTACCAGCAGCAAACCTCAAACACAGATTCTTATGCAGGATCAGTTAATTGATCTTGAAAGAAGTAAATCTGCTGCCTTGGCTGTTTCAAACAGTTAGTATTGATTTATTATTTGAAGTTAATCATTTAATGTATAAATGTTAATGTAATTTTATTTTTGCTACAAAGAACTAAGACGAAAAATTGCAAGAGGAAGGAGACGGCGGAAAAATATGGCTGTTGACCGATACAATAAACATAAAAGAAAAAATCATGGTAATTACATTTATTTTACAATTGACTTTTTACTTCTATTTATTTTCTTCGATTAATCACTTTAGGTTTATACCTAGGTGATAGCGAAGGATTTGAAATGGGAGAGGATACTAATGACACTATTATGAGATATCCATCGCCAGTTCCTTCCCCAGCACCATCTGCAACATCCAAAGATAAGGATTTGTCTAGTATCAAGTAAATAACAGTATAACAGATAAATAGATGATAAAACCAAATATGTTTAATTTTTCATTTATTACAGGCGGAAAAGAGAGAATTCTTATGATATAGATAATATTGTCATTCCATATAGTATGGCATCTGCCACTCGTCTTGAAAAACTTAACTACAAGGAAATACTAACGCCTAAGTAAGTTTTTGTCACAATTAAAACCCATTGAGGCAGTTATTACTAATTTATTAATAGTTGGTGCAAGGATGATCAGGGTATGAAAACCGTACTTATTAATTATAATGGAACTACTTATTATTGTAGAGCTGTGAAGAAGATCGACTAAATTATCCAAAGCTTGGCAAATTACAACAGTAATTAATCTTAAAATATTCCACAACCTTACATCAACTGTTAATAGAATTAGAGTCAATGGTCAACAAATCCTTACATTAATGTGTTAATTATTTTTAAGGTGGAGGAGGATCAAAGATAATGAACTTAAAAAAGATAATCTTGATCATAAAAATGGAGTTGTTCGAAGATCTAGTCATGAAGTGGAGGTACGTTGCAGATAAAATAGTTTTATTCCTACTTTGAATTTTTATTCAAGGAATAAGTTACAAATCGTCAACAAAACTATTTTGCATATAAAATTGTGCTTAACACATTGATTGCACCCAGGGAAAAGTGTTAACTTTTTCTAAATAAGGAACTTTTTATTTAAATGCATTTTTCAATAGAAAAAATTAGTGCCGAAGTGTATTCAGTGGCAGCATCAGAATAGACTGGTTATGCAACCCCGCAAAACACAATAAATGCCATGTACTCCACTTGTTCTATTTATTCCAGTTTTTAGTGATAGTTTTTGCTTTTTACTACTTACATTCATGATTTATTACATTATAATCTAAAATAAATCAATTATATACATAGTGCTCAAAAGGTCAAAATAGAAAATAAAGACAAAATCAAATGTTTAAAACCGTACATTTTGATTTGGTACAATATGTATTTTCACAGAATGTAAAGCTTTTTACAATCTAACTATTACAGTCGTATTTGCTTTTCAAACGTATCCGTTTTTAACATAAAAGAAATTTTGTTTTTAAATGTTTCTCTTCTTAGACTAAATGTTAAAACTTGACTTAAAAAGTGTATTTAAAAAAAGTAAACTTAAAATTAAATCCATTATCAAAAAACATTTTTGATGATATGTATGTAAAATGTTTTACAAGGCCAAACTGCATAAAAGTAATATGATAGCATATATTTACAACATTAATCAAAGCAAAACCCCCAAATCCCTATATTGCAGCTAAATTTTCCTAAACCTTTCCAAATATTCCCGCTGAATAAGCTATGGCAGAAGCGTCAGGGAAGGACCTTCTCCGCCCTAGCATATATGACGGTAGCAATCATCGTGATAAACTGGACACATGCTGTACAGTTAAATATGACTTTAATAATTTAAATTTGTCCATATTTAACAGCACTAGCACAATTTAGATTAGACATCATTCAACACTTAAGATTTAATTTCAGGGTTTTGAGGATATGAGTGAAGAAGCATATATATCAAGACATGAAAAATGTGAAATAGAAGAAAGAAAAAAGTTTCTTAGTTACCTTAAAGTTCCCAATTCAGGAGGAAGTGCAATTACCGGTGGTGGAAGTAGGCATAGAAGTCATAAACGAGCTGATTCCAGAGCAGAATCATCTGGACCTAACACACCTGGTAAAAAATATTTAATTATTATATGTGTGCGTGTGTGTGGGTGCAAGTGTACACCATTCTAAAACAATGGTGTGCACCCAATTTTTTCAAAAAAGAATTTTCTAGTTATTCTTGATTTTGAGAAAATCGGGTGTGCGTACCATTGTTTTAGAATGTTGAATTGTAACTCATTAATTTTTGGTGTAAAAATCATTCCCGATTTGTTAATTTCAAATGGCACCCCCACATTATTACAATATGTCATGAAACAAGCATTTCCTATATATTTATAAGTTCCTACACATACTGGACTCAAATGAAGAAAATATATTACTGAGAAGTACTAATATAAAAGATGAATAAAAAGATAAATAAAGACAAACCTTCTCGAGAATATTATTAAATGGAAGCAGAACAATACAAAGTCTGTCCATGAACTAAAATTTACCTGTAGGTTGTATGAGGGCCCTGGCTTCTGTCCCGTCCAATAATTCTTTTGATAGGGTAAAACTCGCAAAGTGTAGTTTACAAATCTCCCCCAAGATAGTGCATGCAGCAATTAAATGAAGAACATTCTCCACAGCATGTGTATTGCAGAGCATACAAATCGTGCTACCACCCCAGAAATGATTCAGAGAGTTCAAGTACAGGGCTTCCATCTGCATTTAATCAGCATCTAAGGTCCTTCCATGACAATCTCCCAAAATTAGCTTTTCTTAAATTAAACATACCTGTGTTTAGGGAGAGCTGACTGTAAATCAACTGACTATATTTGGCCAATTCTAAACATTCGCAATGGTGTTGGCTGGAGATCCTCAATAAGAGATTTGAGAGAAAACTAGGAAGTCAAAAAATAGAGCAAAAATAAAGGACTTAAGGGAAACCCTGACCAACAACACATTCCAGTTTAAAAACTTCAGACAATCCTCCCTGAACTTTCACTTTTGATCTCATGATGATTAAGTTAAATGGAGAAAAGATGTTATCAAAAGTGGAGTTGCCTTTCCTAAATCACATTTGGAATTCACTGAGCCTAATCATTCTTCGACACAAAAGAATCTATGTGATTAACCAGGAGGCTAGAATTTTTGCTACATCATTTAGATATGAAATTCCTCAATAACTCCCCACATCATTGATATCACCATGCTTAAACAGAGGCAATATAATCACTTTACCGAAAGATGGAGAACAGCACTTATGTTATAAATGTGCAATAAATATACATGGGTCAACCTTGTAGAAACCATTTGTGATTCTGTCAAGACAAAGAGCTTTTTTGCTTTCGTAGTTATAGAACTGCCTCCAGTTCCTTAAGGGAAAAGGCTTAATCCAAGGAGGGAACAATATTTAAAGGAATCGCGTAACATAATAGCGTTCTGTCATTCCTGTTCGAATTTAGGATTCTGGAAATGTGTGAACCATTTGTGTAGAGGGATACCGTTACCACAAATATAACTTATCTTTCAAAAATTGTTAATTGTTTTCCAAATAAATATATTTTTTTATTTATATCACAATTTTTAAATTGGCTTTCTTTTTTGTTATCATAAAAAGGGATCTCAAGCGATGTTTTCATTGAGGTTTGTGCGAACATTCAGAATTGTAGAAATGGTGAATGTTGGAGTCAGTGCGGTGTTCAATCCTTTTTTAAAAAAGCATTATTCAAAATTGTGTCCATAACGAACAATGAACACCCTTTGATGTACTGTCTCTGACTAGGAACAACTACAAGCACAAACAAATATTTGCTAATGCTCATAAATAGGTCCACACTGGGTGAGAAAAACATTAACAAACGTTCTGCTCGCCCAGTGTAGATGTGGTGCAACAGTTAATTTTAATCATTTTGTTTTTCTAACAGTTGTATCCAAACCCTGTACACAAATTACAGATTTGATTATTAATTTCTATGCCACAAATTTAGAGGGGGTTATCATTTAAAACAAACTGATATCTATTCTTCATTTTGAAAAACAATGTGTGGGTGACATTAAGGTTTTCCAACCTGTATGTATGTATACATTTAATTAATTTTATTATATAATTTAATTTTTTTAATAGATGTTTGCTTAGACCCTATGTCACCCAACGGCTCGAGGGAAGGAGGTGATTCATTAACAAGTCCACCTGCAACACCTCAAGCGGTCCAGTCTGAGCAGGGTATGGAACAGATACCTCAAACTTCATCCAACCAGCCAACATCCTCTTTACTTATGGTTAGAAGGAGGACTGTAAGTGCTTCCAAAACACCAGGAGATCAAATTTTCGTTGAATACGTAAATGAGGTAACTTTATATATAAGAATAAATTATTCAGAAATCGTGAGATGCGGTTTGTGTGATGTAGGTTTCAGAAAAACATTTTCTTTATCGTGCCAACGTTTCGATCTTTATTGAGATCATCTTCAGGGCCTGGGATTTACAAACATTGTTTACATATAACAATTACATTTTGGATGTGGAAAAGTGAATTTATACAATGCAAAATATATTTTTTATATATTCAATCAAAGTATTTCTACTCACTCAAAGTGTTTGTCTTCTGTGTAATTGTGCCATTCTTGCGTGTCGTGTCGAGAGTGCCAGTGAGATTTTGCTATTTTGTGTTTATATACGTTGGATTTTGAAGGGGTGGGGAAGGATGTCGGTATAGAAAAGACATTTTTGTATAAGGCGTCGGCTTCTTTGAGGTGAAAAGAGCCGACGAAGGGAAAAAATGTGTTGGTAATGGTTCGGCCAGATTATCCTTTCAGGATTATATAGAAAGGGATAAATAGGAAAAGGAAAGCTAAATTGTTGGGAAATTAGACTATGTGAAAAATATTTGATGTGTGGAATGTAATGTGATGATATATGTATGTTATCTGTATTGAATTTGATTAATGATATTGGCGTAGCTGCGACTGAGTTTACATGTATCTGTTCTGTAATTGATGCTGTGTTTATCTCTGTTGATATAAACCATTTCTAAGAAATTACGTTTATATTTGTTTTGTTCTGTATGTAATATTTTTGGATTTTTGAAGTCAAAATTGTGTTGGTGTTCAAAGTGGTGGGTAGCGAGTGCTGTAGGATTTTGCTTGGGTTTTTTGCAATCATAGATATGTTGCTTTACTCTCTTGTCCAGATATTGGGATGTAAGACCGATGTAAGTTGCCGGACAGTTTAAACAGTTGATCTTGTAGATTACGTCAGATTTATTTGTTATTGGTGTGGGATCTTTAATTTTGGAAAAAAGTGTTTGGATTGTTTTATAATTTTTGAAAGCTATTTTGAAGTTATCGGACGAGAGAAATGTGTTTAATTTATGTGATAGGCCTTGAATAAATGGCATGGAAATGTATGCTGGTTTGTTTGTGTATTTGATAGACTTAATGTAGTATTATTAGTAATAGTGGATGGTGTTAATGTTGAGTTGTAGTTGTTGATTATTCTGTTAATAATGTGTTTAGGGTAGAGATTGTTATGATCTGATATGAAACATAATGATATCTGTTTGTATATCTTTATGTTCTTGTGGTTTAAGAATAAAACAAAATTAATTCATATGTGTAAAAAATCAATTGCCCTTTTTTATAGGAATTTGCAATATCAGCACTCTAATCATTATGATCATCAACATCCCCTAAATGTTATTCTTGCTTATCAATATAAACTAGTAGAAGTTGTTTTAAAGCAATGACCACTGCTAACACGGATCAATTATTATCAGTGTTTTCTTGTAAAACCTTAAGCGTGGTTATCAGGGATCTATTCTCTTCTACCTGTATAAAATTTTAGGGCCAACACACACACACAAGAGACTAGCCTACTTGTCAGTCTAGTCTGGTTAGGCTGCAATTGCACACTCTAGGCCGACTAAACTTTTGGGTTGGTTAGTGGTGCACACACTGTATAATACAGTCAGTCAATTTCTATACAAGTTGCAAGTCAAAGGCAGCCTTTGTCTAGTAGTTAAAAAAAATATTATTTATTTGTTATTATAATTGTCAGCACCCTGTGTATTAAACAAGCCGCAATCTTGCAATCCCAGGCAGTATAAGAAGAGGGAAATGAACTTGTAAATTTTTCTTAGTAATGGGTTTAGAATTAAGTATGAAAATGCTCATAGCACCATACATTTATGAACTTAACAACTTAACTAGTGAGACATATTCCCAAAAAAGACCAATTTTTTTAAAAGATATTCTTCACATATTTTAATGAAACATTTTTTCTATATTAAATTTTCAGTATATTTATCAAAATTCTCATTAAACAAAATAACGAACTAATATCACATACATCAACAATTGGGTTGTTGCCATGTGTGCACACTCCCATAGTTAGACTAAAAAGCAGTCGGCCATCAAATTTTCATGTGGGAGGCAATCAGGCAAGTTATCCAAACCCGCTAGCTTAAAGACTTCTGAGATTCAATTATATTATTATTATTAAGTGTCTTTATTTTTAATTCATACAAACATCATAATTATACAAACTGTCTAAAATGAAAATAAATTATCACCTTAACATAATAGGGACTTTTAATGAATAAATGATTACTTCATAAAGACAAATATCAGGGTCTCAGACAGTCAGAGAAGTCTACTATGATAATTTTGAAAGAACATGATTAATAGTACATGATAATATAATACATAATAATGATAGTAATAAGTGATTATAATTAGTACATACGAATAATAAACCCTAACATTGATAATGCTGTGCTCACAGTAAAAATAAAAAATTGTAGTTTTAGGTTTGTAACTTTTTGTTACGAGAGGTGTTAGACGCTTTAACTAATAGTGTCCAATCTCTGCCGTTAATATACTCTAACATTTTTTAACCTGAAAGTATTTATAATTTAAGTTTAGCATATCGCCTCTTATTTTAATGATAAAGATTTTGTATGTTACAACCTGTCATTCCTTATAACTAGTAATTTGTACTGTAATTTATTTAGCTCTGTTTAATAACTAACAGAAATTTATACTTACAAATGATTTTGTTGTTCAGGTGATGCCTTATGAAGCTCGCCAATTTCCGCTTAGTGAAGAGGCATACACAAAAATGTTAGCTGAGAACAGCGAGGCTAACCAGAATGCATACCCTACCTTTGAAGCTCACTATGGGAAACAGTATGATGTAAGCACCAACCAAGTTAACTAATTGTTATAGTTATAAACAGGACAAAACATTATTATCAATGATTTTCTTCTAGTTGGAGAGTGTAGATTCCCCCCAGAGTGTAACAACAGACTCTGCAGACTCCCTTATTGGTGAAGATCCAAACGACCCAGAGTGGACTTCAGCCGAGAAGACAGAAAAAACGAAGAGATAAACAATAATAAATTGCCTCTTACCAAAGTTATTTTGTAGATTTATGGACATTAGATTTGCATGGATATAATTTGTATAGTAAACGTCGTCTTGTATTCATTTGATTTAAAACATGCCACTTTGTACATAGTTAAGTCCCCATCCCCAGGGCAATGCATAATTAAAATTAAATGAACAATGACAGTAACAATAAATAAAACCTGGATAAATCAAGTTGTATGCTTTTTCCTTATGTTAATTTCTTTTCAATTTTGCATATTTATATATGTATACATACCTATATGTGTGTAGGAGAATTCTGTGAATTTTTTTCTTTTTACATTTTCTCAAATAAAATACTTTTTTATTTTACTTTTTCACACATTACTTTTTTTATGGCCCATTTTCTTATTTTTTTTATTTACCCTATTTTATTTTTGTAATGTGTGAATGGAAAATTTCAGACTGGTTCAATGATAATATTTGTGGAAAAAAATAAATAAAACCCATTTTTTTTTTATGATATAGAAAATAAAAACACTAAGTAAAGGTGGGGAAATGCACTGCATTCATATATTTATAGGCGTAAGATTTTGTATCTTTAAAATTAAAACAAAAAATGGAAATTTCCTGTTTGTAAAAAAAAAAATTTAATATTATTGACAAATGTAACAAGGAAAAAGAAAAAAAATTGTTTTATTTTTAAATTACAAATTAAAACATAAATATACTCTTCATAAGAGCTTTACATATTATGTATATATACTAGAACTATTTGTTAGTTGTTTCATTCAAGATTTGTAGAAATCGTTGCTGGTGGATTAAGAAGATAGATTTTCTAAATTTAAAAAAGAAAAAAAGATTGTTTATTATATAAATAGAAAAGTGACAGTTTGATAGTTTGCAAAATTATTTGTATATAATTATGTACTGATTTTTTTTTTTTTTTTTTTTTTTTTTTTTTTAAGATCATTAAAAAATATGCATATGTTCAAATAATTTCCTATAGTCGAGATTATCTAGTCTCTATCCCCCCAGGCTGCTATTTCTATTTTAGCGATTGACCATTTTGTTAACATCTGGGAGAAAAGAAAGGAGCCTACTGTTATTTTATAAATTGTATTAATATTAACATAGCCTGTCATGATGTTTTTAATGTAACTATTGTAGTCTAATCTCGGCTAAAGAAAATTAGGTAAATTTGATGTTTTTTGACATCTGTAATACACACAGTGTTATAAATTTTGAGGAAAATATTAATATCAGCAGAATTATAGCCCTTTGTAATGTCATAAATCCACTTGAGCACACTTACGCTTAAATGAGAACATGTTGAACAAATTTTCTGAAATTGTAAATATTATAAATACATAATAAAGACAAAGAATGTTTAAAATGGCGACCTCTCAATAAACCAATTACCACTTTTACTTATTTAAAAAAAAAAAAAAAAAAATACTGACTTACAGAAATAATATGTGTTATTTAGTGACCAATTGTTCAATGTTTGTCGTTTCAAAATTTGTTGAGGTTCCTGACTGCTCCTCACTACTTCAACAAATTAATATTATTAATTACTTACTGTTACTTTATTCTGATTTTAGGTTATTCACCATTTTATACCTGTGCTTATATTTAGTAATTTGATTAAATAATTTTCAATATGTTGTAAATTTGATGTTAACAGACTTATTTCATTGGCCACACACTGTAGTGATTACAAAGCAGCTATGTAGTCAATTCTAAGTTTCCCTAGAAATTGGAAAATAAAAAGGAAAAATTGTATATTTTTTGAAAATATATTTGTTTAATTAATAAACAATGATATACGCATTTATTTACTAATTTTACAAACATTTGTAAAATAGTAAATGAATTTTCAAAAAGTTTACTTGATAAAGAATTTAAAATACAAAAGACCAATGTATTATGGGTGCATTATTTTTCATTTACACGTATGTACATAATATAATATTAATTCTTCTATTACCAAAAATGCAGAATGCGATGTTGTTTTATATCAATCATTTTAGTCCTAGATTTGTTAATTAGACAGCAAGTCGGGTAACAGGTTTGCACTTTTTGTCTAGTTTTTATATCCCATAATTCTGTAAAAATTTGATCCCTCTTGTACATTGAATCTATCTGTACAAGTATCATATCAGGCTTAATGAATTGAATAGAATCAAGATAGTCATTCACCATTATTTCTCCATCAAAATTAATGGATTTTGTACTAAACAACCTAATTTTACCCTTGGAGCTACTGAAAACAGTAATATAAGATGGACTGATGAGCATTAAATCATCATCATTTGTTGAGAAGTTCTCATCATAATTTATTGTAGAAACAACAGCACCAGTTTTGTTATCCCAAAATGCGACTGAATGCGCATTGTGATCCATACTAATTATGTGCTCTTCAGTTATTAACGGGTACCTCACAGGACAAGGGATACTCATATTTATTTTAGTGAAAGTTTTTGTGTTCAAATCGTAATGGAATATAGGGTAAAAGTTGACAGGGCCAGCACCCTGAAATGCAAAATCTATCAATAATGTAGAATTCCGAAGTGTTAGCCTCATAGATATATCAAAAAAATTCATTCCAGGATTTAAGAATTCAGTGCGTTTAGTACCTTCCTGGATGTCCCAAATGTGAAACTTAGCACCAGATATGTATGAAATTGGTGCGACAAAATACCTGCTGCTGTTACAGAAAGAATAAAACCCATGTGTTTGTTTCACATTTTTGTCGTACCAATTTGTGATGTCTTCATCATCGGGAATATTTTTTGAAGCTGTTGGTTCTTCAGTAATTAACACTCGCAACTGGCGTGTAAAAATACAATTTTCTTTTTTGACATAATACACCAACAAGTTTGACTGTACATATATAAAACCACAGTCGGTGAGATTAAAAAAGTCTACATTTTCAAAACGATGAGAGCAAACTATGGGAACCGTTTCAAAAATATCGTTCTTGAATTCCCAGATCCTAAATTTATGAGTGTTGTTCATCTGGTAAGGAGCGATTATAAAATCTTCACCGCATAGCATATCCACCTTCGATATCCGCTCCAATTCCTGTGCCTCAGCTTCTCTCATTGGCTGTTCACGAAATTTACCATTTTTCCAATTTCTCGATATCCTCATTTCCTGCATGAAGCGCACCCTCCAAGGGCAAATATCAGACAGTTGGTCACAATCGTTCACAGGGTGAGAAAATGCTGGATAAAACCGGCAACTCCTAACATCTAAAATCGGGTTCTCCATCTTTTCCAACCAAAACTCTTTCCGACACAAGTTAAACCAAATTTTGTTGTTATTGAGTGCGTTCCTCCAGAATTTAGACACCAAACAACTGCTTAGAACATCCTTAGCATCTAAGTATAAACCGATTTTCACTACTATCTCTTCAGGCAGTAATATTTCCATTCTAAGACTTATTCGATTAATTGAAAGGTAAACAAACACAAATAACTTCGTCCTGTAAATAAGACGAAACTCTACCTACACATTACATACTGTTTTAATATTTGATTTTGATTACCACGATTTCTCAGTCAACGTAAACAAGTAACAACACTTGCAAAACGCAGTTTTCACAAAAAATCCCCACTTAAAAAACAAAATGTATTTTTTGTATCCATTTCTCTTTAAAATATAGCTTCTCCAACTTTTTTCTAATTTTACAGCAGATGTAGATAGACTTATCTCTTTTTTACAAGTAAAGTTTTACAAGTTGTGGTCGTGCATTACAATTTAAAGGGTTTTTTCAGCAGAAAGCAGCTGCTCGGAACTCCCACTCAACATGCACGGTTGCAGTAGTGATTACTGATTAGTGGTTAGTGATAAAGCGTGGAATCGGAATCTTAAAATCTAAAAGCAGTCTTAAAGCCCTATTTGTACCTTTTAAGTAATTAAATAAATTTTTAATATAATTTTTTTTGTTCTTTAAATATTTTCATTTCTGAAAACACATTTAGCCTGTAAGCATTGTAATTTCATCATGTTACTGGGGATAGTCTGTAAATAAAGAAATTTCTATCAGAACAATACACGTAGCAGTCAATTACAGTAGACGCGTCATGTGCAGGCACTTCCGCTCAAATTTGCCTTCCTAGTTGAGTTATAGAGGCAAGTGGAAATGAGTATGAATCATATCGGCCGCTGAAGAGGATAAAATGGAAGAAAAACATGAATTAACTATAGAATTTGGATAAATCTTTCGATTAGCTCAAAAGTTAAAATAAAGTAGAATAAAATAATATTGTAAAACAAAGCATCAATGTAACAAAATTAACAGTGGTTGAAAAACCTGGCAATGCAGCCTCTTATAACAATGTTCTTTGAGAAAGCTAATCAGCAAACCTTACTGGTTCATCAGTCATCACCATCTACTTCTAACTGTAGATCTTTTGTAGGCCCTAATAATTTTTCTCATTTGTTTCTATATCGTGCATAGGTGTATACCTGTTGATGAATGGATGTACATATTGTTTTCCTGAGTAGAATAAGATATGTATGTATATTACTATGTATTGAATTTTTCTTATTGAAAAAAGAAATATGTGTAAATAATTCATACGTAACATTGTCGATAGGCACAAGCAATGCAGTGTTATCCATCGTGATGTTTGGTATGTATCCGCCTTGGATAAGGGAAGTCTCCTGTAGTTTGAACTTTATCAGTCAACCAAGTCTCAGATTATACTGTACAGAGTGAAATCCATTCATAAATCATTTCTCTAATTACCAGGTTCATTGTAAGCACCACCTTGATATACATTGTCTTTAACTCCTGGGTACCTTTGTAAAGGTACTTACAGAAAAGTAAAGTAAAAAGGTACAGGTACAGAAAAGTCCATAATACATTTCTCTAAAATATAATGAACCATATTTAATGTTGCAATAATAACAAACAAAAACCTCAAGATTATTCAGAAATCGGTCTGGTGTGATGTAGGTTTCAGAAAAACGTTTTCTTTATCATGCCGACGTTTCGATCTTTATTGAGATCATCTTCAGGGCTCAAAGTGTTTGTTTTCTGCGTAAGTATGCCATTTTTGTGTGCCGTGTTGAGAGTGCCAAGTAATCACCACTCAAAAAACCTCAAGTTTATATCTATACTTAGAGAATAGTAGAGTTCATCAGACGTAAATGTCTAATTGTAGAGAACCAGTGGCCGCAATGGTTTAGGGATCACAACACTACATGAAAGCGAATTTCAATTTAAAGACAAAATATTTCCTTACAGCAACAATGCAAAACTTACAATGGTGAACAATCATTTACCACTTTTTATGTACCAAACATCTAAACTATCAGTTTAGAACATAAGAAATTAAAAGTAATTAGTGTATAATTAGAAGTAATATTAGCTAATGAAATATAATTAACTATTATTTGTTATAACTCATCCACAAGTGGATCAACTAACATTACTGAGAGTTGATGGGTTTTGGTCTGCGAGTCGATGAACTCATGCTGGCCCAGTGCCGATTCAGCATAATTTTATGAATGATATATAAAACGAACATAATTTTAGTTAATCCACTTCATATATTATTGACATACTTTTTATATCTCATACTTTGATGTCTTCACATTAATTTACTGTAATAGACAAAAAAAGGTAATAGGTCATAAATGTATATTGTTGAAATATTGGTTTTAACAGACATTTACCTCTGTCAGGGATGGCAGAATCTTTTTACAATTTATTTTCCAACTAAATAACAAATGTACTGTAAACTAGTTTTTAATACCAGTGTTGATGATAATATGATGTCCAAAAATTCAACAAAATAAGTTGCTTTTGTTAGACCATTCGTTTTTAAATTAATATCAAGTTTGTATGCATTTTATGAAAAGAGTTTTTAGAAAATTCTGATTAGGCAATGGGTGTGTGTTGCCCATGAACGTGTTTATTTTAGATATTTCTGTCTTTTCATATAATTGTGTTAATACATTCTCCTTTTAGTGTTCATGTTATAACAAAATGAATATCTTGGTGATGAAGTTCTGTGAAAATAAATGCATTAGTTACATAAACATCATCATATAACAATGTATATATACTTATTAAATGGAATTTCAATTCTACAATCGCCAACTAACTTATTCTTTCCCCTTGAATAACTCTTGTATGCATAAATGCTGATTATCATTGCACAAAGTGAAAAGACAATGAGGAAGATGCATAATGGCACAGGATTATCACTATTACAGAAATTATTAATAACTCAAAATATATTTTCTAAAATAATTTTAGCATACATCTTTTTGTGGACTGGCATGAAATGTCTATAGTTAGGCATTTTGGCAAAATAACTCAATCCTAACTGGATTGTTATTATTAATTGGTTTTGAATTAAAACTCCAAAAGCAACAATAGAGTTTTCTTACTTCAAGTCACGCAATCCAAAAAGTAATTTTGCCTTGAAAATTTAACAGGTATGTATTTACAATTTGAGTATTTCTAATGTTTTTAAAATTATGTTAAACTGTGCAAGACATGTGATTGTGGTAAAGTCATTCTAAACAAATGCTTTATCCTTTCACCTCTCAATGTAGTATATTCAAATGTACCATCAGATGATTTAATTATATATTTTATTTTGTAAAATTCCTCACACAAATACTGTTTTTCATTCATACTAGAAGGCTTTACATTTGACTATATTTACAGCCATAAGTTTCTTGGACAAGGGAAGTGGAAAGTGTAAAATCCCATAATAAAACAACAAAAAGTGCTATTTTTTTCTTTTTTTTAACTTATATAAAAACATTAATGAGTAAATTTTATTAAAATTCACAAGGGCAAGAAGTTAATACCCTAATTTTTATGAATCTGCCATAATTTTCTCTGCTTTCAGTCTGAGAAAGACCTCTTCTTGATTCCTGTATCTTAACGTTTTCTTGAGATAGTTAGTCCACCCAGGGAGTTGCTGGTAAAATGGTGGAAACTTCTTTTTTTGCAGTTGTACTCTTCCTCTCATGACATATTCATCAAATGAAGGACAGCTTTTGGATGGACCAGTGGGCGATAGAGGTGAAGTGAGGAGATTTGGGAAATAATTGGTCTCTTTCCTGAATTCTACAACATGGTACCCAGTCTCATCTGCCAGTTCTTGGTGGGACTTTTGTTGAAGGAGCCCAAGGAAAAATGCTTTTACGATATGTTGTAAATTATGGGAACCTTCAAGCTTTGCATATATGTCTTTGATACCGACTACTTCACAAATATTACGAATGGCCCTATGACAAACGAGACCATATCCTTCTGGCACATGTTTAACAAAAACTTGTGTCTGGCCAAATTGGGCATGAAAATTATGAAAGACTGTGCGGTCATTGAACCTCTCTATATACATGAGTCTTTGACCAGCTCTGTTCTTAGCATTAGCCAGTGCTGTTTTTCCTTCCAATGCTTTACCCAGTCCAAACCCTGCTAGTCCATTTCCGTTGCCAGTAACGACAAACACACTCATTTGTCTTTTGCGGCCCATGTTACCCGTCATATTAAAAACACTTTTGGATTCTAAAACCTTTGTGTCAAAACCTTCAAAAGTTTGATCACCGATTGGGTCCGGGGGTCCAATGCTCCTTCCGGGCAGTCTATTCCCTGACCACCCCCTTTCTGACGGGAGCAACTTCAACCTACGAAAGACACCCATGGAGTTGCGCAGCTTAAGAAGCTTCTCCTCCCTTTCAGGGTCCGGAGGAAGCTGTTGTTGTTCCACCAGTTCTTTGCCACGGAAGACAGGCGTTGTCAATCCAGGCCATACCATGTTTACTTTCCCAACACCGATTATCTGCCCCTTGTTGAGATCTTTCATCATCTTTTTACGGGCTCCTTTACCTCTACCCCTTTTCTTACCCGCATTACTCACGCTTGTCACCCCTTTCCATAAAGCCTCAGCTGGTAATTTGTTAAAGAAGCTTGTAAACCTTATCTGCTCCATAGATATACCCACACGGACTTCATTTGGTCGGAGAATGCCGTAAGTAAACAATGATCTTCTGAATAACACTGCACAAATCCTAAAATTAGACATGGTCAATATTCTAAAACTCATTTAGTAATTTCAACAAGATTACACTGAATCCTTCCTTTACTATCATACTTACATTTTGTATGTACAACAGAATTATATTATCTTCATTAAATCACTGAATTAAAGGATATTTTATATAAATGTCATTTAAAAAATGTTTGAGTATTTTTTTAAATTGGACGATTAGAGGTTATTTCACATTCCTGATAACAGTACTGTTTTAATTGAGGTTCCTGTTAAGGTTGTTTATTTCCTTCAATCGACTTCTTTGTCTAGATTTACCTAAAATTTTTAACATTATTGTTATGAAGAAAATCTTTTCGTTTAAAACGTAATCCGCTTAAATTTTTTAAATGAAAATACTCGAGTTAAGAGATTCGAGGCCGATGGACTCGAGCTCCGAGTCTGGCAGCGAAGACGAGCTGGGTCCGATCAACGAACTGAACGTAAAAGACGTCGACTACGCTGAATTCTACGTCAATTACCTATTGAACAACAGACCCTGCCTCATAAAATCCGTCTCGAAAGATTGGCCGGCCCAGAAAAAGTGGGTAAAACACGGAAAACCGGATTTCGAATACATAGAACAAAACTACGGTATTTTTTAATTTTTGTAAAGAGACATATTAAAATTAAAGATTAATAAGTCGAAATGTCGTAGGCACGTCTGAAGTTCCCATTGTCGACTGCAACCGGCGCTACTTCAACGTCCATGCTAGGACTTCAATGAAGTTATCAGAGTATTTGGAATACTGGGTGAAGTACATTGAAGAAGATTACCCTGACGAATTACCGTGCTTGTATATGAAGGTAATATTCCTGATTAAATTAATATCTTTATTCATTAAATAATGAATATAATGGTGAGGTCTTTGTCATGAAATAATGAATTTCGAAGATCGTGTTATTATCTTTTATCAACCTCTGGATTTGTAGTAAACTGTTCAAAAATGAATAGGAATATTTGAAATTTATTATTATTCTATTATTTTAATTAAATTAATTGATATATTCTTGTTAGTTGGATAAAACAAAATAGAAAATACAAACGAAAAACAAACAAATGTTAATCCTCATTTTTAATATCCAATTTAATTAAGAATAGTAAACAAGAAGATTACTCATTTGAAACTTTACTTACTTTTTCTCGTCTTTTTTCCATTTTAATCCAGTTGTATTCTCTGTAACCATGGAAAAATATCATCTTGAACCGGAAGTTTGCAATATTATTGTGAGAATGAGTTATTGGTGAGTGGATACTGGCAGAGGCAGTTGGTGTTTCTCAGAGCATGGTCTCCCAGGCTTTAGCCCGATTACGAGATAATGGAAGTGTCAACAGGAGACCTGGTGTGGATCTCAGCACGTTACAACACACAACACATTACTATTAAGAGAGGATAGAAATATTGTCATTGCTGCAAGACGGAACCATTTCCAAAGTGCCCGCCTTATTCTAAATGAAGTACAAGATGGTTTGGCAAGGCCTTTATGCACACAAACAATTCATAATTCTATGCCCCTTTGTGATGACCTGCAGCAAAAGCCGGCCTCCAGCAACTCAGTAGAAAATGGTGCATATGATAACAACAATTGGAATGCTGTTGTGTTTGATGAGTCATGTTTCTGTCCGTATAGTGATAACAGGCTCTGAAGAGTCTTCTGAGAACAGAGAATGTGTACAATGCTCCCTAGTGCAGTTTGACGGAGGCGGTGTAATGGTCTGGGTTGGGATTTACACTGGAGGAACGAACTGGACTCCATATTGTAGAAGGCCATTTCACCACAGTTTGTTATGTCCAAGAAATTATCGAGGAATACATTCTATAAAACAGGGATGCTATAGGCAGGGATTTTTGATTTCTGGATAACAATGCCAGACCTCACAGAAGCAGAGTTGTTCACCGTGTTTAGAAAATATGGGACATTCCCATCTGCCCCTTCCCCCATTGTCTCCAGACCTCACTCACATTGAGCACATGTGGGATGTGTTGCAAAGAAGGCTTGTTGATCACCACATACAGCCAGTTGACGTGCAACTACTGAGTGCAACATTGCAACATCTAAGGAATGAAATTCAACTCACAACTATATACAATACATGTTTCGAATAAACCAAGCTTATCGACATGTGTTTAGATTGTCACCTGTTTTCTAGATAATTCATGCTTTTCTCATAATTTTTTACTCTAATGTGATGCAAGGTTTTTTGATATGAAATTTTTGGATTTTTTGAGTAGCCATGGACACAGAAAAAGTAATTCTTTTAATTCAAGAAATGTTTATGAAATATCTCACAAAAACTTAAAAATCCAAACAAATTTAATTAAAGAAGGAATTAAAAGAGAATTAAAAATGAAAGGAAAGTTTGTAGTTTTTCATGTTCTTACAACGTAACTATTTTTTCTCTCTCTCCATGTTTGGTAATGTTCAATGAGAAACCCCATTTATGTTGCAGACAGGTTCTCTAGAATCTTGAAAACAAAGACGAGTCTAATCCCAGGTGTAGCTTTTGTTCTGAACAATCAATTTATTAGCATACAGAATACATTTGGCCCCTTGTATATGCCTAGGTATTTCAGCTTGTGCCTACAGTAGATCTGTCTCTTCTTCCTAGCAATATCTGCTTAGGCTTGTTTCTGTGAGTTCATCCAGAGTATGTAGTGTCCAGTTAGCAGTCCAATTGTAGTCCTAACACGTCCTAAATTTAGTAGTTCTGTCATTATTTTCTGTGATGGTATTTTGATCAACTTTTTTGCATGCCTCTCATTGATGCCTGCCCCATTAAACAGAGAACTTAATTTCAATGCATTGTTGTTTGAATGCGTATTTTTGGCAGTTTGATATGCAACAAAAGGGTTCTAAGCCAAAATGTGACCTCATCAAATTTTCCTTAACCAATTTATCAGCCTTTCATTGTCCCTCCGCTCTGTGTGCCCTGGTACCCTGACAAGGGTAATTTTGTCTTCCTCAATGTCTGACAGGACCCTTATGCAAACCCAAACCACTCTGGAATTTACCACTGATACAGTAATTGCCTTGGGTGAATAATTGAAATGAGGACTTTGTCTCATGGGGTATAGATGTTTTTGTGATAGTGGCTTAGAGGTAGGCTTAGGTGGAGCATTGGAGAACAAATGCAAAATTGTTTGTGAGACGTTTATACATTTTTCTTTTCAACAAGTTTTGTACACGTTGATTACTTTATTTAGAAAATAAAAACTGTAATTAAAATATTGAACAAGCTTATAAATAAACAACATGATTAATATAACAAACAGATCATGTACTGTTGATGTTGAAATGTTACAAAAATATATTTAACAGTTAGCCACTGAGAATAAGACCAGTAAAATCAATCATTATTTTAATATCCACATTTCAAAATATATTGTTTTTTTTTCTTCTTTCAGGACTGGCATTTTCCACATGAGTTTCCTCTTGACGTTGTGTATAGAGTTCCGTACATATTCGCTTCTGATTGGATAAATGAATATTTAATTAATTGCAAAAAAGACGATGATTACCGTTTTGTGTATTTTGGTCCCAAAGGAAGTTGGTGAGTTGAATAAACTATTGAATTAATATTTTGCAATTGGTTTTTGTTCATTATTCTAGGACACCTATCCACATGGACGTGTTTTCATCCTTTAGCTGGTCTGTAAATCTTTGCGGTAAAAAGAAATGGGTGTTTTTTCCACCCGACCAGGACATGTTCCTTAGAGATAAATTTGGGAAACTTCCATACAACATCCTTGAAGACTTTAAAGATACTATGAAATACCCCCATAGTTCAAATCTGATACCTATAGTTTTTATACAAGAGGTTGGTGATGCAATATTTGTACCTTCTGGGTGGTACCATCAAGTCTGGAACTTGGTAAGTATTCTTTATAATTTTCAATAGATAACATTAGATAAGAATGGTATCTAAAAACTAGACTTTGTATACTATTTGGATGATTGTTTTAAAGCATGGCTTAAACCAGCAATTTTTTACTTACTTTTAATAATTGTTTACTCAATGGAAAATTATACTTTTACAAATAAACCTATATTTGTACACAAAAAATGATTAAATCTAAATAAAATAAAATTTCAGGATTGTGCATTTATTACAAAATTAATCTTGTGACACAGTTGTGTATTATTAATTCCATAAAGGATTAATTAATTTGTTAACAATATACCAAAGTTATTTAGAATATAAGGTAGAGTTAATCTAAGATATAAAAAGTAATAACATTATATCAAATATTAGTGTCTTTATTAAAAGAAAAGAAAGTTTTTCGGTGTTGTCTGATAAATTTTCAAAAGGCCTCCACTGGCTTCTTCAAAGCTGAAACCTGTTATTAGTTTCATTTCACACCGCACAGAAAGTGCCCAGAGTTATGTCTCTACGTATATCTCTATATTTTTAAAAAATTTAATTGAATAATAGGTAACAAAATTGAACCAACTAATTTGCATTTTTTAATTCTAATATTTATAATAAAATTTCACTGGATATTATGTCATGGTCTTTCTTTTCCTCAAATCACATTTCTGACATTTCTATTTCTGCCATGATGTTGATGCAAAGTCGTACTGTCCATTTAAATACAATATACTCCCTCGGCCACCTACTACAGTTCTCTGTGTTTCGCACACTTTCCCCTGACTTCTCATACTTTAATAAGCTACTATAAACTACAGGCCTACATCATCAGATTCTTGAACAACTGTAATTTTACTTTCAATACTCATATACTATTCCATATGATGTAATTGCTTCCAAAATTATTTCCTTAAAAATGCTTTGTACAGTGCCTGAAGCTGTTCCTGCCAAACATACTTCTTAAAAACTGCTTAGCACACTCAGTGCCTCTCTATGAATTATTTAATCAATCAGTCTACAGATCAGTTTCCAAACTTATGGGAACTTGGCTTTGTTCTTGCCAATAAAATCTGGTGACTAAAGATATGAAAAATGATCGCCCTGTTATTATTCTTTATGTTATCCCCAAATTATTTGAAAACATGATTTCCTATAAATTATTTATATCATTACACTCTCTTGAGAAAGTATTTTATTTTTATATTTTTATTGTCTGTTTACAATAATTTTTTATTTTAGGCATGTTTGATTTTTTATGATTATTTACTTCTCGATTAATCAATCTTTTGGCTAGTAACTTGAATCAACAATTTTTCTGTGTTATTGTTAATTTCAATGTCATATATTTAACAATTTTCTTTAACTAGTATATTACTTAACTGATTTTAGGATGATACCATTTCAATAAATCATAATTGGGTAAATGCGTGTAACATTTATGGAATGTGGACTTCCCTCAATGAAATGTTCTCAAAGGCACAGGCAGAGATAGCAGATTGCAGGAACATGGGAGACTGGGATGCAAGAGCACAACTGATGCTCAAATTGTGTTTCGGCATGGACCACTGTGACTTTGCTGACTTTTTGTTTTACATAACTGAAGTCCGACTGCAGCACGTTTCAAAAGGGAGTTTCCTATCTGTACCGGGCGACTGGCTCATGGGTGGAAATCAAATGATATTCGATCTGTCTAGAATTCGGCAAGTGTTTGATGAGATGTGTGTTATTGACATCCCTTGCCTGGAGCAACACCGGCCGAGACTTCTTGAATTTATTAATGAAATTGAATCAGTGTGCGATTCTATAAACTGAATAGCCCCAATATATTCAATTTTAACCTTAACATATTAGAGAAGTGTTATTTTTAAATTGTTATTTAATGTGCTCCCACCAACATTAAAATGTCACTGAACCCAAAATGCATAGACAATAAAAAGTGAAGAAAGAAGGTTGTACAGTTCACAAAAAATCCTCTCACATGGAATTATTATTTATTTATCTAATTCTTTCCAATATGTATGTACATGAATGATTTTAGGTATTTCTTCCCTTAATTGAGATAGATTCTCCTATCTGTAACAATACAACTAACATGTGTGATGAATACTTGAGCCAGCTATGTGTTGGTGTTGTGATATGTACAGTATGAACATTAGTGTAAAGAAATTATAATCAGAGTAAAATTAGAATTGAACAACTTTAATTTAACATAATTACAAACTTAAACAATTTGCTTTGTAATAAAAAAATCTTCATAAAAAAATAATAATTTGCGTTTTGGTTGGAATAATGCCACTTAAGAAAGGTTGTTCGACCATTCAAATAATATATTTAGTAGTAATCAGCTTATTTATGAGCTGAAAAACACGTGTCATTGCCAACCCTCTTTGTGAAAGAATTCTCTATTATTTTATTTCTTTCATCTTGTAAGGGCATTACACAATATCTCTAGTCACAATTTATACATATCTTTTCCTATATAAACTTTGTACTCATTAAAATGTTGGATGTAACTACAATAAATAATATTTTCTTTGTACTTAGGACTTTAGAATAAACGTGTTGCAATTGTGATATAATTTTAGCTTAAATAACAATAGTTAATTAATAATATATTTTTGTATTTTTATTGATAATTATTTCTTTTACCAGCTAATAAATTTATGCAGGAAAATGTTCATTTTGATATATTTTAAACTATTATTTCTTTAACAGAATTACCAGTCTTAATGGAAAGATAGTGCAGTGATAGTACATAGAACATATTTACATAAAAACCATAATTTTAATTTTGAAAGTATAAAAACGGATAGAGAAAAGAAGAAAAATGCTAGAAAATGTATATTTTATAAAATAAATGCGAAGTTCCAATGAGAAGCTGGTTTTAATGCCACTCAATTTTTAACATGTGAAAAACGTTAATTACTACACGACTAAATACCTATACATACTGCAAGAAAATAATTTTAAATTAGAGATTAATTTGATGTCAATTACCATTTAGGTATATGTTTAAAATAGAAGGTATATGAAAATCAATTATAATATTTATGCATTTATCTCCATGTTTAATTTTCCATTTTTTATTTAAAATTTTGATTTTTTGTTTTGTTTCGGTCTGAATGGTTTCAAATACAGATTTGGGCTTCCTAATCTTAACATTGGTTGCCCTGAAGCACAAAAAACGACGGTGGGCTAAGGAGTGGTACAAACTGAGAAACCGCTTCACTCATGAACATCTACTAAACTTTCTGTGTGAATCGGAACCAGAGGACTACAGGAACTTTTTGAGAATGGACCAAGAAAGTTTTGATTATCTACTGGAGTTAGTATGCCCCGAAATTGAGAAGAAGGATACAAAAATGCGTGAAGCGATTCCTGCAAGTCAGACATTGTCTGTCACATTGAGGTACCTATTTTCTGACATGGATTAGAAGACCTGAAATTCACGTGCGCCATTGCTCCTCAGACTCTGGAACGCATCATAATGGAAACTTGCTCAGCAGTTATCAAGGCATTAAAGGAAAACATTCAGTAATTATTGCCCAAGTAAATCTCTTTTAATTTTAAGGAAAAAAGGAAAGAATTACAATTTACAAATAAAACAGATTACAAAGTACAAGAAGTAATGTACATGATTACTGAACTGAAAAAATTAGGGGCACAACTTCACATTGAGGTAAATGAGGAAAAGAACGTGGCAGCCTTTTTTACATTAGATGTTTCATGGTCTCGCTCTGGGTACGAAAGGCATTCACTTGGACGCGAAGTGTACGGTGCCTGAGCTGAGTTGGGGTACCCTTGCCAACTATTAATTGAAGAACATGCCGTTGAAGGTGGCGAGGGTGACCAGCAAGGGTAGGACATTTGAAAACGCACTCATTCCCTTGTCAAGGTGCCCATTTCTGCTTCAAAAAGTCATTTATGATTTTTTCTGCGAAGCGTCGTTGGTCTGGAAGTAACTTTTTCAATTTCATAGCCCACCCCTTAGCCAGAATATCTTCTTCAGTCAGGTCGCTTGAAATATTCAGTTTGTTCTGAGAACATTAATTTTTTGTTTCAATTGCTTTACATTGTAATCCGGTTTTAGCACTTTCAATGCCCCCACTATTTTCTCTAGCGCCGCACTTTTTTTATTTCTACTGAAATAATCTTTACTCTTTACTTTCCACAATTCGGGACAATCACGATATAAACCTATCAACAAACTGATGAACTCCCGCTCCGAGTTTTCGGGAAGCGCGGTTTCGGTTGTGGACGCCATGACTTCCACCGAGTGACACGCAATGCTTGATGAAAATTGCCCTACACTATCAAGCCGCTTGATCATCTGATTGAGTCATTCAAACTTCCTATCAAAGTATCAATCACCGTCAATACTTGCTTCAAGCGACAATCAGGTTTCTACACTATCAATCACGCTTGATACAATCGATTTACTCAAGCACTTGATCAAGCCGCTTGATAGTGTATGGGGCACCTTAAGGTTTTAATTGTTTGTAATTTTTTTATAATTAGTAGGTGTTAATGGTAGTTACGACATACGGTCTATGAGCCAAATGAATCCAGCAGTTTTTTGGGTCCATGGTGAAAAACAATCTGCTGGTATTAACAGACACTATGTTTGGCAGTTTTTTGGCTACATGGGTGAGAAGAACGTGCTGGTAACAGTGTCTATATGTATGAATATAGAAAACCCACTACAGACTCTGTGATACCAGCAAATTCTTCTCACTCATGGAGCCAAAAAGCTGCCAAAATTTGGTTAAAACTACCACTTTTTTTAAACCGACAGTATTGAATAGTCAAAACCTCAAGTCATAACTGACACTTTCAGTACACTTATTAATAGTATAATGCATTAATTGTAGTATACTTATTAGGAAATTACAACATAAGGAGCATTCCCCCACACTTTTAATCCAATAAACTAACACAATATGCCAACCTGTCCTTGTTTCCAATGCTTATTTTTTATTTTATATTATTTGTGTATCAATGTTTATAAGAAATTTGAAAAACTCACAGTAATGTGATGCAAATATAGAAAATGAATTAATGTTGAACCCTGAGTCCAAGGTTCAATCTGCAAAGGGAGTATTTGTAAGAACTGATTTCAATGCTAGGATGAAATTGTTCTTCCTAGTACCTTTTCTTTTCCACAATTCATTCCTATCTAATTAGGAAGGCACATCAATGAAATTGGTTAAACTTGTATGTTCAAAATAAAGTTTTAAAAAGGAATTAAGAAGCAAAGTTAATTTAATTTGTATATTAGTATGTATAACATATATACCAGGTACGGAGTCAGGTACCTTAGAAGAGCTGATAAAAAGTCTAATTCTAAGATCAGATGGGAATGCTACATTTTCAACATGAAATAGTTGTTTTTTAAGTATATGTTACGTCATATTACATAGTTCATAATTACGTATGTTATGTCATCTTAGGGTAATTTTAATTTTATTTTGAATTCAATGACGTAGTATTTTAGTCGGAAGATGTGAACCACTGTTTCTCCTCGGTTTGTGTGGCCCGTGTTGCCCTCTTTTGTAATTGAACTGAATCTTCCAAATTACCGTTAACTTTCTCTGTATTTTGTTTATATCCTTTCATTATCCGAAAAAAAATCCCAAATGGTAGTAGCCCGTTTATTACGAGTAGTCGATTAATTGTGGATATTTTGAACATAATAAAACAATGGGTGAGTCCAAGCAATTAATCTGATTTACATCAACAGGTCTTATCTGGGTGTGTCATCCTCTTTGTTTACCCTTGTATATTATAAGTTTATTTGTTTTCTTTTTAAACGTAAAGGGAGGAGGCGGTTAGAAATGTCAAATGCACAGATCCCTTTAAGGGCTAGGTACGGTTATTCTCAAGAAAGTTTCGCTAAGTATTCCGAACCTTCGATAAGGTCCGAGTACAGGAACGGTTAGTAATAATTTGCACTGCATGAATTTGAAGCTCTACTTTCAATTTATGCTTAAGTTCGGATTTTCCGATTCTTGTTTTTATTTCATAATTATTTATTAGACGATTTATTCGTAGGAAGCAGGTGTGACGAGTGCATGACACGAGTTCCCTATGCGACTCTGATTGCAACGATTATGTGCCTCATCGGTGTAGTGATATTCTGCTGGACGATGTACAGAGGAGCCACCCTAAGTGCTGTTATGTTAGATGGAGTGTTTTTTGTACGGCTTGAATGGTAAGATTTAAGTGATAAGCAGACCACAAAGATGTCTTATTGTGGAACTGGAGAAATGGTAGATAAAGAAACTTTCTCCCCAGACTAAAAATATTTTTAATTAATTCATACTTACTGCAACAAGTGAAGTACTCAAATTATGTGACTTGAAGATCTGGTTTATGGTCTGGTAATGGCTCACATATTTCGTGGTCAACCGACTTAGTGTACATACTCAAATTATGTTCAAGAATAGTGTAATTTCTATATGGATGTAATGTAGTGTGAGCCCACAATAAACCTTTGTCTCAATTAACAATGTACATGTCATAATTTTAATTTTCTGTTTTGTTTTAGGCTAGAAGCAGTTCAGATGTCAGTTGTAGGTATTGGTGCTACAATGGGTGCTCTTGGTCTTATGGTGCTCGTTGTTGGGTGTTTGGCAACTGGAGCGACAAGGCATAAAGTATATAAGGCTTGGAATGCAAGGATTGGTGGTAGAATCTCTTGTGCTGTGGTATTTACCTGTATAATAATGATTTGGCAACGTAAAATTTGAAAGAGCATTAATTATTCGTATTTCAGTTTATGGGAATTGCATATGTGCTCCAGATAACCTGGCTTATATTTTTTGTGTTTCTCATTGCCATAACTATTTTTGTCACATTGTTCTGGGAACTGTGTTCGTCCAATGGGGTCAAGGAGACAAAGCAAATTAACTTTCAGCAATTCGGTAAATATTTTAAAACATAAAAGTTTGTATTAATATTATTTTTATGCATCTGTCCCTATTTTGGTGTAGATTTTCTGTTTCCGGGCATCAACAGGGATTATTTAAATATTAATACTGATGATAGAATAAAATTATTCTGTAAGGATTTTGTTGAAAAAGCTGAAATGATGTTTATATTAGCAACTTTTGCTTGTATGCTTGTTATTCTTTCTCTAGTAAGTGAAAATTAAAATACACTCATTGTTGGGAACATTTTAACATTAAATTGCACATTCGTTTACAGGTTCACTATCTTATGTGCCTTTCAGCTAACTATGCTCATATACGGGATCATGAAAAACTCCAAGAACTTCAGGAACTTCAAAGCCTCAATGACCTAGAGGGATTAACATCTTCAAAGGACAGGTTTTAGCGGTTAAGAGCGCGTTCGTCTTCACATCTGTATGAATCTAATCTACAGGCGAAGCTCCGAGCGCTTAAATAATTTTTAATACTTAATAAATTCTATTATACTTTTATTCCATTTATTTTATTTTTTTATTTATATTGCAACATTTATTTACAGTTTTTAAGCTTCTTTACCAAAAAAAAAGTTTAAGTTGAATTATCACTCAAGATTTTGTTTGAAAGCTTGTACTTCTTTTATTTGCATGTTATGTAATTGTGTTAGTTCAAAAATGTACTTGCTTGGAAAAATTTATTTAATTATTTTTACACAATTGAAGATGAGAAGCTTTCGTTAAGCAAGTAAGAGATGAAAGACATTCATTAATTAAAAGTTAAAATTATACCCTTAAGTGATAAAACATTACCACCTTCATTTAATGTCTTTCTCATTATAAAAAAATCTAGCAAATGAATTGAACTTTTTTCTAGTGAAGTGATGGAAGTTAAAGTTTTAAACTGTTGATAAACTATTTATTCATTGCACATAATTTTCCAGCTCAATTTGGAATTTTATATTATTGCCTATTGATACAAAACTTAATTGTCACATACTATTAAAAATCTAATAGTTAAGTATCATAATTTATTGAAATTGGTGTTTATTGTAGTAATAGATCTCAGAAATGGAAGAAACAAGAGCAATAAACTTCCACTCATTTGTAAGTGCCAAAATGCAGGACCAATCATTACTTGAGAACATATCCACATAACTCATATCACTTAAACTTCTGAATCACAAAAAAAAAGTTTACAAAGAACAAATTAGTTTTTATAATCAATTACTAGCTAGCTCAAATAGAGTTTTTAAGATATACAAATCATTACAATTTACTGATTTTTTTTTTACAATAAAAGTTGAAAATAAGCAAAACGGGTGATAAAAATAGTGTTATCAATGCTTTTCGTAGTTGTCACAACATAATAATAAGAAGAAGAAGAAAAATTGAAGAATTTCCTTATGACACTTGCCTGCTCACAAAATTTAAAATCAGACATTATTATTATTATTATTATTATTATTATTATTGGCCTAGCTTTTTGACGTTGGCCATACTTTTTTTCCATCTTTAAAAAGGTGTAACCCATTTTCTAACGTAGACTACAGTTAATTTGAGGCCATTACCATTATTTAATTATAAAAAATAATAATCCAGATTCTGTCTTTTGTGATGATTTATTGTAACTGTGTAGTTTTTTTAATTTAAAAGATGAGGAGTTTTAAGATGTAGATTTTATCACATATCAGTTCCTGTTTCAAACCTCAGTTCCATAAAAAATGTAATTGGTAGCATTAATCCTACCTTACAGCTAGTTAAGCATTGCTACTGTCATTATAATTGGATATAACCTAAATTATATTAAAAATAATAAAGTGCTTTCAGAAAGTAATATAGTACGTAATAATACGTATTCACTTCGGTTGTGAAGTGAATTTTTTGTTTAAATTATTTTGCATTTTTATATCTTTATAAAATGTATGTTTACAACTGGTGAGTTAATTACTTTCTCTTAATATTCAACATTGCATTAAAAAAGGAATATGTATTTTTAAAGTGGAAAGGAGACTATTTTGCTGTTAATTACTTTGTCTGAGACTAAAATATCTTGGCTTATTCGTTGTACATATTTCTGTTATAAACAAATATCAATATCTGGTGATTGATTTGTTGGTGTAGGTAATTAAATTACAAATGTTATACTACTGTTCAAGTGGTGAAACAACCAATTAATCATAAATATAGATGTTGTATTTCAATAAAAGTGTTCAAATATTATGTATGCAGCAAGATTATTATAAAATTGGTTTGATAATGTTTAAGTGTGAACGATAATTTTTAAGATAAATAACGTTATCCTTTAATTGGTAATACAATAGGATTAAAGGTTCATCAGAAACAAAATATAAATCTTTAGCTTTAAAATTATTTTAAATTTTATTCCCAGTTATTAACTGCTTTTTTTTATTCCTAAAATAATTATTTTCCGTCCTTGTTTCATTTTATGCAATGTAATGTAAATTTTATGTATTTTATATTATTGCCTTACAAAATATAATTTGTATAAAAAATAATATTTGCTATTATCCAGCTTCCTTATACATATTCTCAATGTAAGATAAATGTAATATAAATTAGTTAGCATAGTAATAACTACATGCTAGAAACAAAATATTTTTCATATAAATGCACTTTTTGTATTTTCGATAAATATTATTTTTGTAATGACTTTTTTTACATTTACTTCCTTACAAATCTACAATAAATTTTGAGATTTCTGTATGTGGTAGTATGTGGAGTTCAACAGATGATCCTGTATTTAGCTGTTATTTTTGCTGCTTTAGTCTCAACTTAACAGAAGCATCTTGCCGGAATTCAAACTTCATACGTTTGCTGTTGTATACACGTCTTTCCGCCTTGCAGTCACAGTTACGGTACTTTTGTATATATTTATTGTACTCCCAGAACCACAAAACAGTTAGGAGTTAAAGGAACTAACTATTCCTTAATTGTTCATATTTTATGAATAATATAAGGTAATAGAACAGCATAATTGCAGTTTTGACAGACCTTGGTGGCATTTTAGTTAAAAACTCTTATGTTGAAGCATTCAGGACTCCATCTGAAACAAACAATGCAAAACAATAGTTTTAACATGACTTGCGTTTTGTTGATAGTGTACGTGTAGGATTTGTGTAGATTTAAAAATTTACAGCAGAAGAAATATACAAAGTTCTATTCTTCAGGAAATGGCTAGGTCATCGACACATCGCTGTGCACTATCGTCAAAGCGGTCCAAAGTTAATTTCTATTTTAAGCTATCATTGTGATCCCATGTTGTACCCACCGATCTCGCCCTGTGGTGACACAGGATGGGACTTAAACAGCAATGAGATATAACTGCATGAGAAAACAAACAATGAATGATTAACAATGTTACTGTTTGCTTGTTATTGACATTTTTATACAACAAAACAGCCCTATTTCTTCTGAAACAGGAACCAAATACGGGCTATGGAGCTCAAGTATAATTCTCAGACTGGATAGCATTCCTACTTGCTCTCCATATGGAGCCAAGGAATGGTATCCTTCAATTAAATGGGACAGATTGAGACATGTCGGACACATATTGTGTCCAAAAGTAAGTGCCTCTGTGTTAATGTCACATGCCCTATTCTTAACTGGATGTCAATTCACATTTGTCGGAACAATTTATTTTACTTGCAAACAAAAATCATATAAAAGTTTAAGTCCTAATGATGGTGTTGTAGCACCCTTCTTAGCAACAACATTAGCTTGTTTGTGTTACTCAATTTGTGTAAATCCTGGAAATAAGTAGACAATGACAGTCAAGAGTCATTCCTTATTCATTGCTTTCCTTGTGTATTGAGTTAGGTGACAAACAGTTCATAACTAACTTCGAGCTGGTTAATTTTTTAAATTTATTCTATTAGCGAATTCATAATTTCATATAATTAATAAATCTAATTTAAAATAAGTAGAAATTGAAATAAGTAAAATATTAACAAGATGAACAACAATAATAAAACAACTTTGACACCAATTAATTTTGAATTTCCCGGTACTATTGACAAATTGTTAGTACAATTTAAAAATTCTCTCTTCAACTAATTGTAACAATTTTAAAATTAAAATATATGTTCTTTTCGATGATTAGGTTGTTATTTGAAAAGTGTTTGTTTAACAATGAATATAAATTATACACGACAAAAGTGTAAAAAGTCAAGATCGAGAGGTCATAGAATGTAACGGCGGATGGAAGTTTTATCAGCCTCTGTTTAAAAAGTCAAAGTGACAACAAATACTGTTACGGTTAGTGTAGTGTTACAAGTGTTAGTTTATTAGTGTATATTATCCTGAAAGAATCAATACAGTGTAAAAAGGGTGACATTATTACAATGCTCTCGTAGAGTTATGGAGTCGGATAGAAAGCTGACGTTGCCCCCTGCCGTCTGTGGGAACATAAACGGTACGCTAAAAATAAGGGTCGACGAAATTTATTGGGCGGATCGTCGTCCGAAAGACAGCTATTTCGTCAGGTTGAAGTGGTGGGGCAGCCAGAACCATCACATTTTCTACCCGGAAGACGTGTCGAAAAATTTCAGGACAGACAACTACCAAGAAGGAGTGAACGACGTCGTGTTCAACGTGTGCACATCGGCCGGCCTGTTCGAGGCATATTTGAAGAAATGCCACCGGTTGAAATTCCACCTCTTGACGGACAAGGGCCTCCTCCTGGGGACGGCCGTCGTCGGCGACATGGACCGCATTCTCGCCCTGGAGCCGTATCCGTCTTACTACCCGGTTGTGGACAAGACGGGTAAGCGGATCGCAGACCTGCACATCTATTTCGAGCTGTCCTTCCTGGACGAGAGGGAGCCGGATTCCGAGGACGAACTGGAGTGCGTTTCGGATGAGAATCTGAAGCAAAACTTCAAGCTCCGGAAAGAGACGGTCAGAAGGCTCAAACAGGGCGATGAGATCATCAATTCAGTTGTTGTAAAAGGGCAGGAGTTGAGGAAGGCGATGGTCAATTCTGTCCTCGCTCCTTGTGACATGGAAACAGTTGAACAAGTCATCGACTTCAAAAATGCCCTTACTCTCTGTGACGTTTCAAGGACGAAAAGTGAAGATGCTAAACTTATGGATTATCTAATGGGTATTTCGTTTTAATAATTATATTACGAAAGATATTTTTTAATAAGATTGTTTCAAGGGTTATGACTCGGATACAAGGTAGTCTTCCAGACTTAATGATTTCCATATTTACATAAGGCGCAAACTAATCAAATCCTTGGTAGTACAATTTGTATATTTAACACACCAAATTTTTTCTTCTCAATGTTCGTTTATTTCATTGTATACTGCCAACTCATTTTCATTCAATATCTCATCCTGAACCTTTGAATATAGGTGTACGTTTGATAGAGGCTCTAACACAAATCCATTTATATTTGGTGGTCATAATTGACTATATTAATTATTACAATTAATTATTCTTTTTATGTAGGGTCTTGGTTGAGATGAAAAGGTTAGTGCCATGAGCGGGATTCGAATCCAGCCAAAGATCATGGGTTCGAATCCCGCTCGTGGCACAGACTTTTTCATCTCAACTATGACCTTACATAAAAAGAATAATTAATTCTAACACAAATGTTTAAACATTGAAAAAATTTATTCAAAATGACAAATTGACAAAATAATGAATCACAATCAATACGAGATCAATGGGCAGTATGTCTTTAGAAGTCGATGTAGTGCTCATGAAAAAATGAAATCTGTGAGACATTATTCATTCCCTTATGAATCATTTTGACTCAATGGATGTCCTAAGGGTTAGAGAAACATGCCCTAAAAGGGTGAAAAAGCTTATGAGGTTCCTTATAAGGAAAAGATAAACTTACACATTGTAGATGTATATTTGAAAGGTACCTACCTATAATAATATTATTTTATGCTTAGTACTTAATGATAATAAGAGAAAGAGAAAGATATTAAATAATATTGAAGAGAACAAAACAGTCTTAACTTTAAGAAAAAATTGATAATTGTAGAGATTTATGAGAAAAAATGTTATAATAGTACATAATTATGATTCTTTAGATAATAATCAAAAGTTCAGTGTCCTGAAAAATGTTAATATATTATGGCTAATACTCCTGCGTACAATAAACCTACAAAAATATGAAATACATTACACTGCGAGGGTCAAAGGAAAAATGAAACTTTACTGGGTACAAGGTGGTACACTACCAACTACGAATGTTTGATGGTGAAAGACAGGAGTGACTTGCTGATCCGAAAGATGATAACTTTACAATTTAGTTTCATATACTGTAAGTTGAGAATACAATCCCCACAGATTTTTGCAAAACTGTAGAACAAAATTGCTAACATTTTTATGATGAGGGAGGTAGACTATTGCTTGTGCGCCCACATGAATGTTAAATAAGTGGTCCATTGCTCAGAAGAGGTGGTAGTCTGATGCAACAATAACAGTAACAGGGTGGGTGTGACAAGTGCTTGCTTCTTTCTACGGAATGGATTGCTGTCTGTTTAAAATAAACCTTTTTATTTACTAAAGCCAGATATTGCCTCACTTCAACTTGTTAGAAATGTAGGCAGGTGTGCTCTTAGTTGATGACATCTTTTTATGAGAAATTTCAAAAGGATTAAATACATCAACTTTTTAAAAACTAAGAACATGGTACCCTGTAGAGCAGGCTGACCACATTATACACTGTCTCGAGGTGTTAGGATTGCTCCAGTAAATCAAATTTTGGTTGTATGTAACAATTATTTTGATGAAATGTTCATCAATTGTGGTTGCTGGAAATGGTGAATTATCTGGACTTTTTCTCTACTATTTACTCTATTTCTCTACTCTACTATTTTCCTCTCCAATTGCTAACTGTTTGATGATTGACAAGTGCTTTTTTGTTGAATCTTCATTAAAAGCGCCCTGCTATTAACGATTTTTTTATTTATTTTTTATATTTTTAAAATGCTTTTAGCCCATTTACTGATTTTTTAATTCTTCTCTACACTTTAAATATCTTCCTGTTCGAATTTACAAATCAAACCTGTGGCTTGGCGGATTTGAATTTTCTTCGCAAATAAATAATAATCCACAACAAATAAACAATTATTAAGTGTAAGAATTAACATAATCTCAATAACAATACCATATGGAGACATAGTAAGTAATTCCATAAAAGAAAGATTAGAATAAAATTAGAAGGCTGAAAACCAACTTTTCTTCTCTCTTTCCCCCCAAAAACCCTGACATATAATTACAATATGTTATTTGTCCAAGCCAACACAAACTGTTGAATCACTGTTCTTGTTGATTACATTTTAATTCAATTAATTAAGGTTTTAAGTTGAGATTAAAAAGGCAGTGTCACGAGCGGGATTCGAACCCATGACCTTCAGCTTGATATGCTATCAGCTATCCCCTCGGGCACTAACTTCCCATCTCTTGAATTTTCCCTCCTTTTTGCCATTTTTCAAATGTCGTGTAATCTATTTAATTCTCGGCAACAAGTGAAATGGCCACGGAGAGCTTTAGTGAAGTATACTTCATTTTAATTCATTAAATTCACTATTTTTCGTGGTCCGCTTGACCAATTAAAACTTAATTAATTGAATGATATTAATTGGTCAAGCGGACCACGAAAAATAGTGAATTATGTTTTAATGTTTCCCTGGTTAACATTGATGTTAGGAAAGCTCAATCATTAACAAGTTAATTATACTATTAATTTGTAGATGTACATTATTTTCAAAAATTCCTGTACAAACTAATTTTTTATTGAGTGAATGAAACATTTATTGTTTAGAAAAACTGATTTTAAAAAAATTGAAACTATTTTTATTTTTGTCTAATTTATTTTTTTTGCAAGGGGTTGCAACAGCAGAGGTCATATCAACCCCAAGGGTACTGGTGTTTTTGAAAAAATCCAATTTTTAAGTTGGGTCCAGATTCAGGGTTGAGATTTCAACTCAAGACCTCTAAAGAGATGAGTCACATTGTCACTGTCTAAACCATTGAAGCAAAAGTTGCCCTCAAAAGTTTTTATTTTGCAAATTTAATAGTTACAAAAAACAGAATAGCTATGACCTAGAGAAGGAGAGAAATATAGAGAGGAGAGAGGCATCATAGTAACAAGTTGCCAGTTATATGTTATTTCTTTTAATGTGTCTACTTGTATGCGATGGAACCTCATCATGGATAGGAATGATGAAGTTGGGATGAGTATGTAGATTCACTTTTTGTAACTCCTTCATCGTGATGTTGACCGCTCATGCTTGAAATCTGGATAGTAAATAACAAATTTGTTAGTAGAACCATCTTTTATAAAAACTCATCATGAATTGTTTTCGTTAAATTCAAACACTTTTAGTTCCAACAGATTTTTTCTTATGGAAGATGCCTTTTGCTCACGTTGTTAGCATCGGCCTACAACAGGTATGTATTTTAATTATATCAGTTACAATGGTAATTTATATTGCTCACCTTTTATTGAAATTCAATTCACTCAAAGGTGAGCAATGTAAATTAATATTGTTATGGATGTAATTAAAATATATACCTGTTGTAGACTGATGATGCTCGCACAGCGAGCGAAAGGTGTTTTCCTTAAATAAAAGAAAATCTGCTGTAACTAAATGTTTTTGAATTTACCCACACAGTTATATGTTAATTTTGTTTATTTATTTTTATTTTATTTTATTTATTTTTAAATATAAAATCAAGAAGTAAAAAGTGCATGAATATGGCACAGGATACGGTAAAAAAAGTATTTAAAAAAACCAGATCTCATGACACTTATTTAACGAGTAAGTAGTATTTTATGAGTAAAATGCGTACAATTCTATACAATATTTAATATGGTTAAATTTCTTTTCTACATGCACAAGGTTTTATGTAAAATAAAAAAATAATTTAGTAAAAAAATTATTAATCAATATCAAATTTGATGCTTTTGATGTCTGATTGTAGTTATATTTATTTATATATAGTTATAGTCAAAATGTATTACCCTATACAATTAAAAAAATCTTTTTTGGAATTAATCTAACACGTGATTTGACCATTACTTGTGAGCCCTATATCATGTAATTGTTGATTTTTCACAAATATCGAATATGGTTTTGAAGTAGCTATTTGTTGTGCAATGAAGGTAAAGAAATGACAAAGGAGGAAGAAGAAGAGGCCATTAAACTGTTACATTGCAAATCCCCTGTATTTGGTAGATCTTTACAAGAAAGATCCTCTACAGTATATACCAGAGATTTTAAAACTGTAAGATATTGACTAATTTTATAATGTTGATAAAGCTGTTAATTTCATTTTTTTTTAAACAAGTGTGATGTTGAAGATGATGAAGTATTGGCCTGTGGTGCTTATTCAAAGATTAAACATAAAAACCCATTATCCGCATCTGTCATTGCACTGATCAAAACAAATGCTCTTATAAGTATTAACTCTTACAGAGTGGGCTTATCAAATCTAATTTTGACATCTAATGGATTAAGAAAAATTTTCAATACGCCAGATTACATTGCTACCCATCTGACTGGTATTACTTGCAAATCATAATTACATACTTTATATGTTTTACAGTTATATTTCCACAGGCAAGGTACCATCAGAAACTCAGTTTATATTTGAATACCATCCTGTTATGAATTTGGGTAAATCATGGCACCGTCCATATGTATTGATCTCTAAGTCTTTTGAGGGCAATGGTAAGATAGTTTACTTTCAAAAAATTATATGTAGAGTGTGGGTTTAACTTTGTGTTGATTTGATTTTAGTTGTTAAGTTCAATGAGTATGCAATTTCAAAGCTTAAACCTGGACCAAACCCTTGGGAAAGAATTGAATCATTAATTGCAGGATCCCAGGTAAAATACGTGTTCTACAACTTACTTTTAACACTCAAATCATAAATAGGTCATCTTGATGGATACCAATTTTTTTCAGATTAAAGTATATTGGAAACATTCTAACCAAAAAATGCCTTCTTTGCTTGGAACCACATCATATCCCAGCGCTTTGCATGCAGAAAATTTCAGCAAAAAGATTGTAATCCCTTTGTACACTCGCTACAAGTTACATGTTGGGAACTTACAATTGAGAATCGAGCTTGGATTAGGAATGATCTACGGGGATGCTATTGGTCAGTAAATTTAATTAATTTTCAATGTGAACAAAGTCAAGTGTATGCTGTAAATATTTATTATTTTGAACAAAATTAGCTATTGTGAAACATGATTAGTCTTCAAGGAGATGAACTTTATCTTAATCATCCCTGATCATCATTGTCTTTCTATTCTCACTGTTTTTTTTTTTTTTTTTTTTTTTTTTTTTTGTCTGTCCCATTTGATCTGGCTTTTCTGACAGGTCAGACTGTAATACAAATTGCAATATGCAAACCAGGTTGATCAGGGACTATGAGAATAGAATAACATAACTTCACCATGGTGAGACGTGTGCTAGCTTCCCCTCTCCCATAACCCTAAAATCTCCAATCTTCATTTCAGCTTATTTGATGATTTACTACTTTTTGTAAACTCAGTCCTGCACATACATACACATGTGTACAGAACTGAACCGAATATCAGGCCACGAGAAACACTTGGCAGTTCGAGGACAGACCTCAGTCTTATTGGCCCTGGTGCCCAAGTAAGTTCCAGGGGCTACAAACAGCTAGGTCATTCCAGCCTCCAATTAATTATGCAAGAGTCTTTAAATCTAAACCTACTCACCCTCTCACTCACTCTTAAATACATTCTTTCATAAATACATAACATTGACCCCATAACAGTGGCATCACCTTTTTAACTTTCACCTCAGTGGTGTCAATGTGTGGTGTTAAATTTTGGGTGCCAATTAAAATATTTTTAAAATAGTTTGTAGCCCTAATATGGTTACCTAAAAATTAAACTTTGCCTACATTTTCAATTTATAATAGAGGGTTCAGGCTATTTCCTAAATCCTAATCACGGCGGTAACTCTAGGGTGTGTTTAATGTATTTGTGGCAGTGTAGGTGATTTTTCTCTCCCGATCACCAGTAAATTCTGATGGGACGGAGTGTAGGGAGAGAGAGTGTGTGTATATAGCATTTACCTTAGTGCCTGGGAGGTTGCTTATCATATACTTTTTTGTTTGTTTTTAAACCCTACGCATACATTAATGAAATGTGTATGTGTGTTACACATGTACATCAACCGGGACAATAGAATATTCAAACATAAAATTTATTACCTAATCAAAACGTTGACTTATAATAAATCTTTTAAAAAAATAAAAATTACTCATTGTTACATACCTATCAAATGGAGATATTTGAAATTTTTTTAAGAAAAAGTTTTAGTTAAAAAAAAAAAAAACCGACGATCTCCAAATACATGAGGCAGTGAATAAGTTAAAGTTAGACGACTGTAATAAATTCAATAGGATCTTCATAATTTATACTGATTGTACCAAATAAATAATTCCCTAATTTCGTGGTCCACTGACCAATTATTATTCGAATCCAGCTCGTGCCATTGACTTTTTTATATCAACTAAAAACCTTAATTAATTGCAAATAAATAATTTAGAATTAAATTTGAATCAAAGTTTTGTTCTAAAGTTTCACCATATTAAGTCCCTACATTATTCTAATACAAAATAAATTCTATTACACTGACCAGGTTAAAGTTGTGAAGGATTATTCGGAGATTGTGAGATGCGGTCTGGCATGACGTAGGTTTTAGAAAAACATTTTCTTTATCGTACCAACATTTCGATCTTTATTGAGATCATCTTCAGGGCTCAAAGTGTTGCACTCTTGGCACTCAACACGACACACAAGAATGTTACAATTATGCAGAAAACAAACACTTTGAGCCCTGAAGATGATCTCAATAAAGATCGAAACATTGGTACTATAAAGAAAATGTTTTTCTAAAACTTACGTCACACCAGACTGCACCTCACAATCAACTTTAACCGGGTCACACACAGTTGTAAAGGATCTCAAAGAACTAATAGAATCGAACTTCACTTTCATCAAGCATATTGATAATTTAATTAATAAATGGAGGTTTACCCAGTATGATGTAAATTGTATTAAAATGACTTATATTCATAAAATTTGGTCAAGTTTAGAGAATGCAATGCACCTTTTTATGAGGTACGTGTGGACTGCATTAAATAGGTCATAACAACTTTCTATAATTTGCTGTATATAAACTGAAATTAAACCTGATGAACATTAACTGTATAACACTATGAAACATATTAAATTTACAACACCTAGAAGATTAGAGAAAACTAGGGTGTATCATTCTACCATACCATTTAGAAAATAAAATTATCCAAATCTAGTAGATTATATAAATTTTCACACACACACACACACACACACACACACACACACACACACACACACNTATATATATATCAGGCTTTATAAAGAGCATTTAATATTGTAAATGTTTTGTCAAAAATGGTAATAAATTATACATCTGAATGATAATCAGTATCATCAGTAGTTATCCTCCTTGATTTATTATTAATCAATAAGAAATCATGTGAGGGAGCTACATAATTTAAAGGTTAAGATAATTAGCTATTTGTGAATGAAACATAACTATATTATAAACAAAGCTGTATTAATTTATCTTCATGAATAATAAGGTTACAGATTTTTGAAACAATACAAATATATAATGTCCATCCAGGCCTAGTGGTTATAGGAGTTGTGGGAAAGCAGCACACTTTTCCTTTTCCTTCACCGTGAAGGAGCCTGTTATTCTGTTGTTCTTGGTGATCAGGGCTGAGTTAAGGATAAATATGTCGGTTTAGAAGATTATTAGGATTAAATAAAAAATTGTTTAAATTGGATGCAATGTATAATAAAGATTAACCAAGGCAGATAATAATATTAATACAAAATGAATAGCTTTTAAGCTAACTATAAAACATGCATATTTCAGATAACATACCATTTAAAGTGAAGAATAAGGATGGTTTATCGTAATTGCCTTCTAAGGATTTGAAAGTTTGTTTTGCATGGGAAGTTAACATTAATAAAGGCTTTATTAAACAGTCATTTTTTATTTATTTATTTCAATTAAACATTATGATAAGTTTGATATCTAGTTTAGATTGAACATTTCAGTTAATTCAGTATTAGTTTGTTCAGTATATTGATATATATTTGCACCATTACAAATATATGCTGACAAGTCACATTACATGTTATTTTAGCAGAAAATTAGGTTAGTTTTTCCTTCCTTACTCACTGCTAAATTCTGATCACTATTTCAAGTTCATTCATTTTTGTTTCAAGTTCAATGTTTTGTTTATTAATTTTCAATAAAAAATTATTTTTTAGACAAATACCGAAAAGACATTTATTCTAAAGCACACAAAGGTTTCAACACAAAGGAAACTTATAAAGATTTATGTTCTAATAAGACTGATCTACAAGGCGATGCTGAAGAAGTGCTTGAAGAGGCAAAAATTACATTTTGTCCCATGTCTGAAGATGAAGAAGAAAAGAACAAACAGTTAATGGTTCTTTCAAAACAGGCAGTCAGTTACATGGAAAAGACGGAGCAAAAGAATACCAAAGTTCCTTTAAGGGATGCAATAGCTAGCCTTGCTGGGAAACTCCAAGAAAATCTTATGGCAAAAAAATTTTTTCAAACAAACGACAATTTGTATGTATCACATTATCACTTTAAAACACTCCTTATGTAAAAGCTTATTGCAGGAGTCAGCCTGATAAACATGAAGATTTTTGTCAAGATCCTTCAGTTACTAAAAACATGGATGAAAATGATAGGAATATGGCAGATGATTTATCAAGAATGACAAATAAAACAGAAAGCAGTGATAATGATAACAGCAATGGTGAGTCTATTAGATTTTGTCAGTGGTATGTCCTCTTTTTTTATAATTTTGGAGATATAAACTTTGACAATAACATCATTAATCAGACTAAGGTAAATAACATTTTCATTGCTCTCCTATAAAAAAGTAATAATGTAACTTAGTGTCATGTACCTTCGGAGTACCAATATATAATTATTTCAAACTGTTTGTTTAAATAAAAGAGCAATATTTGCAACTGATTATGAGAGAGACACATTGACTTACTAATACATAATTATTGTAAATATGTAGGATTTAACTGTTTCTTTTTATTTATGTTAACAGAACTCTTAGAATCACTTTCAAATATTAATCCTGGTTGTTGTGAATATTGTTGCTGCACACAGAAATACTGCCAAGCAAACAACAAGGGTGGTAAGTCAATTCAGATTAAAAAGCAGTGGGAAACAAGGTCAAAAACATGCAGTTGTGGTAACAGACAGGCATTGTAAGTTGTTAATTTTATTTTTTAACTTATAACATAAACATGTGAGTTCAAAATTATATCACTACAAAATTTCTCACACTGGTCAAACCTTTTGGTTGAAGGCTCAAGGAGAGCGACTGTAAACAGAACTTGTGCAATGAACCAGTTTTAAAAAGAAAACCAAGAGTACAAGCAACAAAATGTAGACAAGAGGTTGAAGGAATTTCAAAACTACCAGAATGTGGGTTTACTAAGTGCAAGAGTAGCCAAAGTTTCTCTAGACAAAACGACTCCCAGATGATGGTTGAAACAGCAGAATCATTACCTGCATTCGGCACAAGTACATCCAGAGAAAAGCCTATAATAACATCACACATGTACAAAATTGATGTATACTCATGTGATGCACACTTTTTCTATCAGAAAGGAGAACTTGAGTTTTATCTCACCTATGATTTTCCAGTTATAAATAAAAAAACAGGGAAAGGTAGGAATTTTTTATAGTATAAACTAGAATTTTGTTGTCTGATCCCTTGTATCATATGTTAACATTTTTATTTTCATCTGAATACTTATTACATACACCTGAACACTTTCTAATTATTTATTATAGTGTATTGTAGGACATTTTATTATTGACATCTACTTCAAAGTTTGTTGGCAGTCCGGGCTTATGTCAATTCAATCCCCAACTCATGCACTTTTTTAACCTAGAAACTCATTCTTAAATCCCTTCTTTTCTGCACCACAAGTAGTATTATTCACACCATTCACTCAAGTATGTTAATGGAGTAGTTGATATTTCTCTATCAGCCTTTACACATAATATATAACTAATTTAATTAAAGGTCAATGGGGTATTTACATTCCACCATTTTCCTTCTCACACTACTCGGTTGCGCTAATAAATGCAATGCCGAAGACACAAAAACTCTGTACATGCTAAACTCATACTAGTCTTTGACACAAAAGTAAATGTCTCTCTGTCAACCTCGTACAGTATATTCTTAATTAGGTTCCCTCTTTTAAAATCAGATCATCCAAGGGCCACCTTATTGATCGTACTTTTTATATGCAAGAGCTCTCACTATTGTGGCCATTTTGTTTCAACCATGGTTTTTTTGCATTTATAGTATCAAAGTGGTTAGGTCCTGAGATTTAAACATCCCGGCTTAACCTGTCAATTTAAAATATGGATTGCACTTACAAACAAGTGACGAATGTTTGTTTTTATTATTTAACATAACTTTACTGTAATATTTAAAAATTTGTTATGTGTACTTTATATGATGAATAAAAAACGGTTTCCACTACCACCAGTTTTTGATCATTTTAACTCATAAAATATTTTTTCTTGCCTCCTAGGGCTCCCTTGGATGAAACCCTTGGACATGTGTCTAATATTTTTCGACTAAGAAAAACTAAAAAAAGTTTCATTGACATTGGTGATCCCATAACCATAACTCCCCTTGTGAGTCATTGTGGAAGAGGAAAATTTTTTATCTATGTCACATAGTTATTTCAAGCATTTAACATTCTCTTACAGTGTACATAAATAATTGATACATAATTAAGATGTTATGAAAATTAAATTAATGTGCATTAGTAACGGTCATATTTTAAAAAGTAAATTTTCAACATTTAAATTCACAAATTGCTCATATACATTTGAATCATTTGTTGGACATTTAAATTATTTGAATGAAGAAGTTAAATTTTAGATAAAAGTTTAATTTTGATTGTCTACTCTAATCTGGTTTTATAGCTGATTTATTTGTTTTAGTTAAATTTCCTCAAAAACCGACTTGCATTGAACTCGATGGCGAGCCTTATCCACAAGAGCACTGCCTTTTTACCATAACGTCACTTACTGATCAATTGATTTCCTTGCCCCGGGACCACATTACATTTCAAATTTGGGCTCGTTGTTTTAAGAAACAGCAAGAGCATTTAGTAGCTCAGGTAATTAATTAAAATTAGTCTAATATTACTTATTATTAATGGTGGTTCAACAGGCTAGATTTCCTCTTAAAAAATTAGTTGAATGGGAAGCTTCATACATTTTTGCCCACAGCAATTCTTTTAACCCAAAGTTAAAAGAGACATCAGATAAATACTTTACCCCTCTTCGACTTTTTCAAGAGCCTTCCAATTTATCTATTGGTAAGTTTCATGTAAAAGTATTTAACTTGAAAAAAGTGTCTTTCAAATAATTAATTGTATGTATGTTAAGGTTTTGACATCTGGAACCTAAAAAATTTAACATTGGAATTTGATTACGAAAGGTTTTGTGGGAGTTGGCCTGAACTGCTCTCTTTGAAGGGATTCGACCAAGAGTTATATAATGAAAATTCAAATCCAGGGAGATTTTTCTTCAATTCAGAGATTTCAGAGCTACAATTAGGCGAAAGAGATGAATCAAATTTAAAGCTGCCAGCTGGCAAGCAAGATATTGGAAATGACACTGAAAATCAATTGCGATTTGTTGAAAAAGAAAGAGCATACATAAGCCCTCAATTGACAGAAGAAAAATATAGGAAAAATGACTGGAGGAATGAATTTCGAGAACCTGTCATTACAAGTGATCCAGTTACTGGTGGACCCAAAAGTGAAAGATTTTTATTTGAAAAAGATCAAAAGCAATTACAGGATGATTACTGTTCACAAAAACCACTTCCACATCATTCTTTGTCTAAAGGTACTTTTTGTACTTAATACATTTTTCTTTAATGCTTTTTTTTTCTCTAACAGATGAAGATCATTGGGCATCTAAATCTTTAGAAGAAAAACATTTTTTTGAAGAAGAAACCAATAAAATTTCTGATTTTAAACCTGCATCAATACCACCTAGTTTTCTTGGGGATTCTACCCTCAGTTCGTTGCCTCCAGATGTTGTATTTGTAGATATTATGTCAGAGAAGTTATCAGAGGGAAACAATCCTTTTGAATCTCCTAAAAAACTTAAAGACAAAAAACATTGGAAATACATAGGTGAGTTGTTGATTATTTTATTTTAAATATAAGTCCATAGTTGTTAGTTTAAAGTTACTGCAGAATTTTGATATTTATTGCTTTCTAATGTAGTTGGCCATTCTTTGTAAAGTTATATATTTCTAGAGTCAACTGATTTGGATTTTATTTCAACGGTGGATCAGACTGTAGAAAATCCAAATGTTTACCCAAACTATGCAAATAGAAAGACAGATAAAAATGCTGAAAATCTTATCCCTGGTTTGATTTACTTAGATATTTTAAATCAAACATACCCATTATTATTGTTGTTACTGACAATTTTCAATTTATTCCAGTTAAGCATAAAAGTGATATTCATTTTTACAAGAATCATGATAGTCACTTCTTAGATCAACCAAGAAACTTAATCAAGAAGCAAGAAAAACATCCTCATATTTTGTCAAACAAAGAAGAAGACAAAAATGTCATTGGCCAAGAAAATATTAAAGGTAAGAAAAAGAAAATGATTATAAAAATGTCTGCTATTTTGGGAAGGTTAAACATAATTTATTTCATGAATTTTTACCACGAGAAGATCTAAATGAGTGGTTAGGTGTCCAAGATGTGTTGGATGATCCGTCAGAGTCTATGTGCAATAAAAAATGTATAATATTAAAATCCAAAGCATCAGATAAAAGGAATCATCTTTTCAACCCTACTGCTGTAGGGCAAATAGAAAAAATGTCTGAATGGGAAGAAAGTAGATTAATGGAAGAGAAAGAACATGTCTACAAAGAGTACCATTTTTTGCATAAAAAATACAACAATCCAGAAGAATTTTGGAAGAAAGAGTCTTTGTCTTCAATGAATGAGTTAGATGATGTGTATGATGAAAGAGAAAAAAACGAAATATTGAATTTTCAACTTTTGGAGAGTCAAAGAATATCTAGTTCAAATGATATTCCAAGTACATCTAGTGCCTGTAAGCATGTTAAGGGTCAACTTTCCGATTGCAGAAACAATATATTTGTCAAAGAAAAATTAAAAAGTGCTTCATATTATACTGATCAAAATCAAGAAATGGTCAATGACCACAATTTGACTTGTGATCCCACAAAAATAAAAGAATCTGATGATTTTAACAAGTATTTACCTAAGAAAAGAATGTTCACTAGGCCTAGAGTATTGCAATCAGATGGCATGTTTGATGTTATTAGGCAAGAAGAGTCAGTAGGATATTCTCGTGAAAAACAAGAAAGCCACAAAATGAAATTGGAAACAGATCAATCTGTTATATCAAAATCTGAGTTTGAAAAGATGGGCCATCTTTTGGAAAAATATGAGGAAGAAGTTGGCAACGTGTTGAATATGCTTCAACACAAAAGAAATGAAAAAGAAGACTTGAGAATATATAATATAAATCAAATGCAAAATGACAACACTGTATGTCAAGAATACTCATCCTCGCAAAATATTGTGCAAGATCATGACGTACATTGCATTTCAATAGAAAAAGCAAAATTTTTGGAAACAGGTTTGGAAATTCAGTACAAAAATTTAAGTAAATTTGGCTATTTTTATGTATTAGTATTTTTATATGTTGAAAATAATTTAACTTTGTAGTTTATTTTCGACATATATAGATGTTACAGAAGCAATTATTCTCTATCCTTGCACATTTTACTTATACACTAATGTTGTCAAAAAACATAAAAGTATAAAAAAACTAACACTAGCACAATATAGGCTTAATGTTTGTTATTTGATCTTTTAATCCTTAGTATGTTTTTGCAATACCCCTCTCCACTTTCCTCACATTGTAAAACGTAGTAAACTTTCACGGTATTTGTCAAAATTTGTTCTGTCACTGTTCATTTATTAAAAAGAAATTGGATTCAGCTAAAATTCATACAAAATTTGGTCAAAAGTGAAATTCATGTTGAACTAGCATAGTCACTTATTGGGTGTCTCCACATTCGGTTTTTTTTTAGTTATTCAAATGCATTTTGGCATTGTGTCATCTTCAGTGAGGAAAAGTGAAATTTTAAGAGTACACATAAATTAGTAGTTTCCTTCGTAGATTTGAAATTTGTGCACAGATGTTAAATTTGCTACATGCTTTCAAGAAAATTCTGCTGTTATATATACGCATTCATTATGATATATTATTTATTTATTTTACTTAATAATTTTGAAATTTTAGGTAAAAGCATTCAACAGAAGTCTGGATTATTAAATGATACCTGGCCCGGACATAAGAAAAGTAATGATAATTAACACATAATTTGTTATGTCTTATAGTTTCAATAATTAAAATTTTATTTTTAGAAAAAAATGTAATTGATGAAGCTTGTACTCCTTCAACAGGATATATAATAGGTAATAAGGCATTTTAAATTAACCTATTACTCTAAGTAAATAAATAAAAAATAAAGCAATTTTTTTGCATTATCTGATGAGCTATAGCTATGCCAATTAAAAATATTTTAATTTTTTTTATTATTTTAAATTTCCTTTTTTATTTCCTTTCAAAATGTTTGAACCTTCTTGTAGATGTTAACATTTCTTGAGGCTAAAATTGTTTTATAATTAAATGGAAGCTGTATTACATCTTTTATTTCATTGAATAGCTCTTCTTTTTTCATTTGATTTTTTGAGCATTCCATTATTATTATATGCTCCACAGTTTCTGTTTCCACACAATACACACAAGTTGGTGAATCCGACACGATTTTGTGAAGGTACTAGCATGATTGAAGTAAAGACGATTGTCTTACCCAGACAATCTGTGATAGTTGGTTCTCGTTCAAACCAGCATACTGTTTGGAAATGAGATTGAATTTGTTTGTAAAACCATCCTTTTTCTCATTTTTTGTATCACTGTTTCCTAATTTCTATGTATCTACTTTGCTGACTGTTCATGAGCTCTGCATGCTGAACAGCAAATTGGACCATACCTTTGCTGATTTTTTTGCCAATGTACCTTTTATTTTTTTCATTACCTTTTATTTTGGCATGGGCCCGAACATACATATGTTTCACCTACATCCACTTGATATATGTTGTCTGAGGCATGGTATTTTTGATTTTCAATTTGGTCAGCAAGCTTATTGAATCAAAGATAATCAAAATTTTCTTTTCTTTTAGGGAGTCCGCATAGCTATGTGAATTCGAACTTGAAAATATTTCCTCTGCATAAATACTGCTGTTGTATGGCAATTTAACAAGACATTCATATTTAATTTTGAAGTGATATTATGTACAACCCTACCCCGTCTTTCATTTTAGAGCCATCTGTATATATAGAGTAATACCTAAGCCATCTATCTCCTACTTTCATTGGTTGAGTATACCGGCAGCATTTCAATGTGTTTATTTTTATTTTCCAACTTTTTCATATTTAGAAAGTTCATTTTTACTCCAATGTGTTTTTGTGTGTCAAGGTTTAGGGGCATAAACAACTAAGTTTCGCATAAATTGGTGGATAAACAATGCTACATTTGTGGGCTTGTTTGATTTTAAGAGAGGGATGACCAAGCTATTCATTCCATTGGGGAGGAAATGACCCATCTTTCCATATTTTCTTACATATATTTGGCAACTGAGATTGTTAGGGATAGGGGAGAGAGGCGGCCACTAGGCTTACTGCACCTCAACCTAAAAAGATCTATTGTGCTCCTCTGTTAATTTATAACTCACTGGCCAGCTTCAGGTTATTAACCAGCCTCCACAGCTTTGCCAGTGGTTCCTTGGTGTAGGATCTTGCTTGTGGTTTTTCTTGTCCTAGATGCAAGAAACTGCACCTACATAGACCGCAGAAACATAAAATGTGTTCTGCAATCTCCTTTTCCTGGCAATATCTGCACAGTGTTTCTTCTGTTTGTGCTCCTATCCCGTGCATGTGCTTTCTTAAGTGGCAATGTCCTGTCAGGAGTCCAACCAGAATGCTGGTTCGGTTGTGGTTGCCTTCCAGTAATTCTTCTGCAGATGGTCCTTCTATGAATCTCTTCGTGTGCCTCATACCTGTGGTATTGTTCCACCAGGTTTTGGACTCATTAAGGATCCATTTTAAGATGTTTCCTCTTTTGTGGCAGGCTGCTAGGCTGCAGTAGGGTTCTGGGCTCATACAGTCCATGTTGGCTCCCTTTTTGGCCAATATGTCAACCTTTTCGTTGCCTCTATGCCCCAAATGTCCAGGGACCCATGTCAGGGTCAGGTCATTAGTGTCGCTGACTTCTGTCAGGGCCTCCATGCATTTCCAAACACTCTTTGCCTTTGCCTCGCATGAGGTTAAGGCCGTGAGAGCTGCCTGGCTGTCAGAGAAAATGGCTATCTTCTGGGAATGTATTCCAAGCCTTTTTGTTTCTCTGGCACATTGTTCAATCGCTATGATTTCAGACTGGAAAACTGTAGCATACTGGCCTAGGTTTACCACCAGTTTGGTTTTGGGGTTCATCCCCAAGACCCCAGCTGGGAGCCGTCAGTATACCAGTAGGAATTGCCTTTAGTGGTGTTCCCTTGGCCCATTCTTCCCGTTCTAGTATTAATACTTTGTACTTCTTGTTGAAGTTGTACTTTAGAGTAGTGGCATCAGTTGGCATACCTAGAATGGCATCTGCTTGTATTTCCTCCCTCAGTTTCCATGTTTATTCACATGGCCTATCCTAGCATATGGTTGTCCATTTATAATCCTGTGGGCTGCTGCTCTGGCTTCTCCTTGGATTAAAATGTGAAGTGGTGGGAGGTTTAAACTTCCAGGTCCACAGTTGGCGTTGTGCTCATGGCACCAGTGACACTGAGACACGCTTGTCTTTAGGTGCCACTTAGCAGCCTTATTGCTTTGGCCTGAAGAGTTTTGATCCACCACATCATGGACCCATATGTCAACATTGGTCTTAGGACACAGGTGTATAACCATAGAGTACAGTCATTTTGGGGTTTAGACCCCACTTCTTGGCGCAGAGCCTTCTGCACCTCCCCCAGGCAATTATCGCTCTTTGGGTAGTTTTGGTTAGATGTGTTCCGCATTCAGCAGTGAGCTGCTGATCTAGTGTAATTCCTAGATATTTGGCTTCTTTGGAAAATGGAATCAGAGTCCCATTTACGATTGGTGTTTTTAAGCTTCCTGTTGTCATTTTCCTTGTGAATGGAATAGTTATGGTTTTATGGGGGTTGATAGATAACTCCTCTCTTCTGCACCACCTGTCAACCAGATTGAGGGCTCGTTGTGTACGATCCATCACGATGTTTGCATGGCGGCCTTTTACTACTACAGCAAGGTTGTCCGCATAGCCTAGGCAGTCCTTCTTTTTCCATCATTTGTAGGAGTTCGTCTACCAGCGTCGTCCGCAGGAGAGGTGAGAGAATGCTGTTTTGGCCTGGATGGTCGCTCCATCCAAGGTGAATGTAATTATCCTGTTCCTTAGGCCTTCCTCCACCCATTGGCATATCTTCTCCGAGACTCCCCTATTCTTAATAGCTCTATGTAGAGAGGCTGTTGTTGCATTGTTGAAAGCTCCCTCTATATCCATAAAAAGCGTAATGGCTATCATCTTGTCATTTATGGACTTGGTTAGGCATTTACACAGGTCATCCAGGGCTAGCTTTGTGGATCTCCCTGGTTGGTTTGCGAATTGTCGCTCACTGAGGGGTTTATTCTTCAGTGGTTTTTCACGAATGTGGTTCTCCACCAGTCTTTCTAATGTCTTTAACATGAATGATGTAAGATAGGTCTGTACGAGTTAGGCTTGTAGTCGTCCTACTTTTGGTATGTATACCACAAGTATCTCTTGCCATCTTTTGGGAATATAGCTCCACGCTAGGCCAGCCCTGAATATTCTCACTAAGTATCTTGTCCTTTTTGTAGTAACGCTGGGTATAGTCCATCTATTCCTGGTGCCTTGTATGGGCTGAACTTCTCGAGTGCCCAGCTAAGTTTTATTATGGCGGCCACCTCCTTCCACTCTTCCTTTGTAGTTTTTATTAGTTTTGAGTGTTCAGGTACATGTATTTCTTCTTGTATTATTTGTGCTCCTGGGAAGTGATTTTCAAACAGTATAGAGAGTGTGTCTTCTTCCATTTGTGTGAGCTTCCATCTGTCTTTGTGATGAAGCTTACCTGCCCCCCTGTACCATCCTTGGTTAGGGTTCTGTGTAAGTGGGCACATTGAGGTGTTTCAGTGATTTCCTCACAAAATCAACACCATGAGTCCTGTTTAGCTTTACAGATTTCTTTATTGTACTGGATCAAGGCATTTGTATATGAATCCCACTCATTATGGGCCTTAGCTTGGTTGACTAAAGTCCTTACTCGAGCTCTCTGTAGTTTAGGTGTTTGTTCCACCAGACTGTTTTGTGTTTATTTAACCTTCTTGCAGTTTTCAGTACATGAGCTTAATATGGCGTTAGTTAGCTCCTGCATAGAAATTTCCAGGCCCTCCCTGTCTCTGAATTCCTTCTTTATCCCCTGTTGTGTAGTTCTTGTATCCCCTATGTTGGAGGGTTCTTTTATAGCCTATCCAATTGGTATTCCTGGGGTTCCTGTATGTTATTTCTATGAGAGAGGGAGTATCAAATCTGACGTGCCTGTGATCACACTTGGATGGTTCCCTGGATACATTCCAGTTTAAGATGTACTCATCAGCCTCTTGGGAAGTGATTGTCAAATCTAAGACTCCTTGCCTACATCGGGTTATGAAGGTGGGTTCTGTGCCTAAATTAGCAATATGTAACCCTTCACCAGTTAGGTAATCTGATAAGGACTCTGTGTAAGTGGGCACATTGAGGTGTTTCAGTGATTTCCTCACAAAATCAACGCCATGAGTCCCGTTTAGATGTCAGTGCTACCCCATATAATGTGGGCATTTGCGTCACATCCCATGACCAGTTTCATGTTTTGTTCTCTAGAGTACGTCACAATGTCGTCCAGCAACTTGGGTGGGCACTGTTCCTCTCTTGGGAAGTAGGCAGAGCAGATTAACAATCTTCTTTCTCCACCTGCAGTCTTTGCTGTTAGGATCACTATAACAAAGTCGCCAGAACATAGTTCCGGTATTAGTGTGCAGCTAATTCTTGTATTAAACACTATACAAGCCCTCGAAGCAGGCTTTGTCATATGAGCTGACTTTTTCTCCTGCTTCTTTTCCTTTGTCGGCTTCAGGGTCACCTTTATGAAGTTGTCCTGGATTATTGTCCTTCGTGCCTTCATGTATTCAACTCCCTCCTTCCTGTTTCTGGAGGCTCCCGACAGGCGGACCTTAATAATCTCATCTGCCAAGAGTTGATCGATCTCCTCCAGGCTTTTTGCCTTGAAGGGAGCATATTTGGGTTTGGCACTGCTGCCTGGATGGGTGGCCTCTGGGCCTGACCCGGGTGATTGTTTTTTTTTGTATTTGCATTAGATTCCATATGGCTCCCACGAATAGCTAGGGATATAAGGTGTCAGCCCCAGCAGACTGGGGTAACCTAGATACAGCAGGAGGGTGTTGGCCGGTTCCCTGAGGGCTCCGTTTGAGACACTATTCTTTTTCACCCCAGTGCCATTCATCCTTCGCCACGGATTGCATAACAACTTAGGATTAGGGTGGCCATATCTCCTTTTAGCCTGCCTCAATGCGCTGGCCAGGGGGGAAGTTGGGGGTTGGTCTTGTGCCTCCCAACTGAGATTGTTGTTAGGAAGGTAATTTTTCTAATAATACATAAGGGATTTTATCGGGACCGTGTGCAGAACTTGCTATTTTTAAACGCCATCTTATGTTCAGGAAGTTTTTAGAAGCAGCGGCTTATTGAGACAAAGGTCATGGGTTCGAATGCCGCTCGTGACACTAACTTTTTCATCTCAACCAAAACTTTAGATAAAAAGAGTATTTAATTGAAAGAATTAATCTTTTCATTTTAATTTTTAAATTTTTTAAAATGAATGATTGCTCTTATACAAAACACATTATTCAGGCAGACTGAAATATTTAACAACCTATAACTCATGTTATTTTTGATCAGAAGGGCCACTCCTATTTTTCTGTTTGATCTATCATTACTCAAGGTATAACTTCTAAAATTATAAGAGTGATCTGGTCAAAACCAAGTTTCGGTTAAGCTACTGTAATAGCTATTATATTGTTTTAGTGTAGAATGGCTTCTAAGTTACCCTTATTTGCAACTAGAGATCTAGCATTCCATTGAATTCTTAATATTACATCTATCTTGTATATTTTCCCTTTGTTAAACTGTGTTTAGGATTCTTTCTATTGGAATCTGTAATGACTTCCCCTTTAAGACTACACTATATTATTTATTCTGTCACTTATCATTTTTTTCCAAAGGATTATCATTGATAATTTTAATATTCACATCTTGTTTTAAATTTTGCTCTTCCTGAATTTTCTGGATGATTGTAAATGCTGTTTCATATCCATAGCACCTTTGTTAACAATGTCTCTTTCATTTCTACGATTTGGATTGAATTTGATTAATCCTTCTTGCACATTTTTCAGTGTTACCTCATTGTATTAATTTTTTTAATTGGAAGATTGTTGTTTCTTCTGTAGTCAGCAAGAGGAGCTTTGTTTTTTGATTGTTTCCTTGGACAATTCTTCAAAATAGGCAATATTTTGCTCCTACAAAATCTACATTATTCTTTTTTCTGTGGCATATTGCGAACAATTTTTTGGAATCTGTAGTTTTATGGGACATATATATGGCACTGTACATATTTTAAAGCTGTATTGACACAGGCATTTGCCTCGAGTACTTTGCCACAATTTTTGCATTGTTTGCTGCCTTTACATTATCTGAAAAATGTCCAAACTTAAGAATGTTTTCCCTTTGTATTACTCTTTGTATGTATGGAATAACGTCACAATGCATAATGTTTACGCACTACATTAGGGGGATATTGTTAATGTTTTGTTATTAAAATTAATTAAGATGGCAAAAATTTGTCTTCTCCTGTTTCATCCCTAGCCCTTTGGTTAAGTTGTCTTATTTCTAGAAAGTTAATTGATTCCTATAACAGTCTCTTATTACCTCTTAAATTTCTTATTGTGAGATTTCTATATGTTTGCCTCTAATAATACATCTTTGTGCTAACAGATGCTTGGGAATATATGTTTTAACATTTTATTTTTTAATACTTGCTAATTTAAGAGATTGTTTGCTGATATTGCATAATTCAATTCCCCTCGTAATTTTTTCGGCCAACTTTTTGAAATGATGTAATGTTGTTTGTTACGTCCTTGCATTCAGTAGTCATTCTCTTGATCGTCACTGGATGCATATTCTTGTTACATCAGTTCTGGCCAGGTTTTTATTTTCTATAATAACTTGAAAAGGACCGGGATCCCGTAACTGTACTAACCTTTGTATTACACCCAGGAATGTTCATGTCAGTCTCTCATTCTAACTTATCTGGTGGTTCTTTTCCATCACTGTCTTTCTCCATATTTCAAGAAAAAGGATCAGTTAAAAAAAAAATCCCTTCGAGAAAATGAGAGTCTCTTAGAATAATAAGAAGCTAAAAAATTAAATCAAACTGTGCAATTCTGAAGCAAAAATGAAAGAGCTTGAGTCGACTACAACGTGATTTGCCAAAATTCGTAAAGTGATTGTAAATGTTGTTTACTATAAATAGTGTTTACTAGATAAAGTAGCAAGGGGCAAGAAAAGATGTTTGTCACTAAAACAGCTGGAAATGAAGGCCCAAAGGGTTAATGGTCTTGTTTATAAAGAGCTCAACTTTAGCTGATATTTTCACACAAGTAATTCTCACACATAATATGTTTTGAACTCCTTACCAGTGGTTTGCTCTATGGTTTAAGCCACAGGCCCAATAATTCTGGGATCGAACCATCACGAACTGATAACCAAAATCCAAAAGTACTCGCACTTGTGCAAACCAATCAGCTCACAATTGTTCAAATCATGCTACAACTTGCACAGTTGTGGGTAAACTTTAAACCGTAAATAAATTTCTTCCAAAGTGGAGCAAAAAACAAATGTCCACACAATTAATTTAAGTAATCATTTTGAGCCTGTTATAACTCTTATGATCCCTTTAGAGGGAAGCCAATTAGGCCCAGAAATCAGTATTAATGAATAAATTATTGAAGCAGTTTATTAAATTATTATTAAAGTAAAGGCAACAAGGAAGAGGTGAAGCAATTAAAAAAATCAATAAATAATACAATAGTTAAGACAATAGGCATTTTTATTTATGGTGGTGGATAACTACCCAGAGTTATGTGCTCCACATACCAATAACAATAATAATAATTACTATATACATAATACAAGTAATTCTTGTATTATTTTGTTTTTAGATTCCGGTTTATCTGAAGATGTCATAGGTCAGTGCACATAAAATAGAATAAAATATTTATTCCCTACACAAAATCAACTTAGGATGAGTTTATATGAATGCTTATGATGACCAAACTATGAATTATTTTTAATTTTAATTTTTCAGATTTATCAACACCGCCAAAACAAATAGTGAACATAGACACACAAACAACAGACAGTAATTGGTCCCTTTTACAAATGGAACCTTTCAAAATACCCAAATATTTTAGCGCCAGAGTTGATATTGGAGGTGCTATTAATTTACCTTCTGTGAATTCTCTTTTCAAAACCTCTCAAACTAGTAAGTATAAGTTAAGGGATACTTTTTAGTTTAAATATTTTATAAATATAGCTCTCTAGTAATTGCTACATAAGTTATATTACGTAACTCTGGGAAGTATGTGCTCATGTGTGCTACCAACAGACCTCGCGGGAGCCCCTCAGGTCTTCTATGTATGTGTATACAGACATTCATACATACTCTTAAATATCATTTACAATAATCTACAGTATGATTTTAAAAGAATGCTGGTATTCCTGACAACTTCATTAAATATGGCAGTACACCGGTTTTCACAATGCATGACAGCCTGCTGTTCAAAACAAAGAGTAAACAAATTATTGAAATTATGAACTTCATATTCTGTTAAGTTTAATACAAACAAAAATGTAATGTGTAATTGTAAAAAATTATAATAATATGTAATATTGTACAACAAGAATATTGTTTTAAGAAACTTTTGTATATAAAAATTATTCTTTTATTTTGTAGGTCTTTTTGAAAGTAGAATTTCAATGAAAAAAAAAATCAATTTTCATGTGTTCAACAAATTTGATTTTGTTAAAACAATTATTAAGAACTTCAAATGTTTTAAAAAATTGAAATATCGAAGAAAAAATTTTTTTCATTCAAATTCTACCTTCTAAAAGGCTCAAAAAAATAAAAGAATAATTTTCATCTATACAAAGAAAAAAATACAATGAAGACAGAAGAAATAAATTGTTTTTCATAAATAAAAAAGTTTAAAGAATATTAGATAGGTTTAATTAAAAAAACCTACAGCATAAAGAAATTATGTTTTAGGTAATGATAAGTTAACTTCTTATGTTACATTTAATGCTCGTGTAAAAGGAGAAGATGTTGTATTAAATACCCCTGTTATATGTGATGATCTAAATCCTGTATATAATACTGGCTGGAAAGTTGAGCTTCCTTCAGGAATGCTTTACAAGGTAAACCAAATGTGTTAATCAAGTTAGTTAAATCTTAAAATAATTGTTAGTATTTACTTGTAGGCAGATAATGAACTCGAATTTAATGTAGTGTTGCAAATAACAGACCAGAAACAAATTTTAAAAGCAACAGTTGATTTAACGACCCTGTCTGCTGGTCTTGCTTACATAGATGGCTGGTACTTCCTTTTTAATGGTTCCAGATCACAAGGACAGCTAAAGGTTGATTAAATTCATAAAATAAATTTCTATTAGTGTATAGATTTCTGTACTATATGTATATACAAGTATTTATTACATTCAAATTATTTGTAGGTGAATGTTACACCTTTAGAGGATATTGGAACATTCAGGGAGGTTTGGACTCAGGAAATTGTTCGAAAAAAAGAAGAGGCGAGGCACTGCCCAACTAGGTGTGGAGCTTTCAGCAAAGAATTGTTGAATGATCAACACTATGCTAAATCATTACAGTTAGTAAAATGCTAAATTAAAAATTTAATGTAGTTTGGTCATTTCTGATTATTATTGATTATCCTTGCTGGGCTTGGTCTTTATATAAGACAAGTTCAACATTTTATCATCTTCACTATTTAAGTCTGTGTACTGTTCTTTGTGGGATCCAGTTCCACCACAATTGGTTGGAAATCACCCAAACTATAAGGTGAAAAGTTTTCATTTTCCTTTTTATTTCAAGGGAAAAAATGGAAGAGCTTGATAGGTTGACAGAAAAAATGAAGAAAAAAATAGAAAATATTGATTCTTGGTCTGATAGCCCACCTATAAACCTGCTGAAAGAAGTTAATGCAGCTGCTAAAAGATTATGCACAGATGACGAACTACCACTGAGAACAAGTAAGACAAATTTATTATACAATATACATATATACAATTTTATGTAATACATTAAAAAACATAATTAAAATGTATACATGGTAGTATGCCACATTGGATAGTTTAAAGAGATTTTTATTAATATATTCAAAGACAATTGGACACATGTAAAGTTTATATATATANAATGGCTATTTTATTGTATGAAGGTACTATTAGACATTTGCTTATGGCAATCAGCTTCGCAGTATAACTATATATATTATGCAGGGTGGGTGACCAAGACCCAAGGGGTTAAATGCCTGGGTAGACTCGTACCCCATCCCTAAAAGGTCCGGGACTTGGTCGGCTCACATGTCCTGCATAAACCTGTAGAGATCTGTTCACAAACCCCAAGATTTTGAACCGTTTAATCTCGGGGAGTGATTTGATGATGTTCTCTCTTTCAAAGATTTCAAATCTAGACCTAGCATACCTATCACACTCAGAGAGGTAGTGCCTTGCCGTTTCTTCTTTTATTTTGCAAAAACGGCAAAAGGGATCTGATAGAATACCCATTGCGGAGAGATGTCTCCTCAGTGGGCAGCGGCCCATCAGGATACCTACCAGCCTCCAAATTCCCTTCCTTGAGATAGAGAATAGCCATTTCGATTCTGCTGGTTTGATCTTAACAAACTCTTTCGATTGCCTGTGTCCGGGGGATAAATTCCACTCCCTAAGGAATTGTTTCATGCCCCAGTTATTGATACTCTCTTTCGCTGTGCTCATAAAGTGAGGTAATACCGGTTGTGGTCCAACAAACGCAGTATAAGAACCTTCTTTGGCTAGGCCATCCACCTTTTCATTGCCATGGTGTCCTTTTTGTGCTGGTATCCAAATAAGGGTTACCTTGTTCTTAAACCTGAAAGAGATCCTATTGATAACATCTATAGTTTCCTCCACCAGTCGTGAGGTTGACAAAGCTTTTTCTAATGCCCTAAGACTAGCCTGACTGTCAGAAAAATTTTTAATATCTTTTCCCGTAATTTTATTTTCCATAAGTGTTCTATTACACACATTGATGGGCCAGATTTCCGCCTGAAAAACGGAGGTGTTATTGCCAAGAGGGGAGGAAATCTACATACCAAAATTAGGAATCAGCATCTCCTCCCCTCTTGGCAATAACACCTCCGTTTTTCAGGCGGAAATCTGGCCCATCAATGTGTGTAATAGAACACTTATGGAAAATAAAATTTCATGATTTCAAGTGCTAGGGTGGGTGTGGTTGAAAATGCTCCTGTCATCATCAAACAACCTAGTCTTTGAAATGACCTTAATTTATTACTATTCCCTTTGTTTTCTAGACCTTTCCACCATACTAAAGCTGCGAAAAAGAATCTAGGTAGAATAATTGCAGTATATAGCCATTTGGCTACCCATGGCTTGTTGCCCCATGTTTTACTGACAATTCTCCTACATTGTACCCTTGATAAAGTGCCTTTCCTGTATATGTTATTAATATGACCTTTCCAATCAAGTTTCCTGTCGAGTGTCAGTTTCACACCAAGGAATTTGATGGAATCCACTAACTTTAATTCTATGCCCTGAAATTTAGGGTTTTTAAAATTACCTAATGTTCTTCTCCTGCTAAACATTATCAATTCTAGTTTAGCAGGATTAATTGATAAACCTTTGTCACAACACCACCTATAAAGCAATCCCATGGCGTTTTCCATCAGTAGTGAAAGACTCAGGGGATCCCTACCTGTAAGCATTATGGTACCATCATCTGAAAATAATTGACTGTAGAAACCTGAATTATTCAGAAGTTCTATTAAGCTGTTTACTGTAATTAGCCATAAAAGAGGTGACAAACAGCCTCCCTGTGGACAGCCTCCTTTGACATTAATTCTAAGAGTGCTACCACCTAAGCACATATTGACCATCCTCCCCACCAAATAGGTCTTCACCCATCTAGTAAGGTGATGGTCGACATTGTAATTATCTAATGTTGATATAATGCAAGAAGTATCAGCATTATCAAATACCCCTTGAATATCGAAGAAGCAACCTAGTGTATATTCTTTATTAAACAATGATTTCTCAATCCTGCCTATTAGTGAGTGCAAGGCAGTTTCCACTGATTTTCCTGGTAAGTAGGCATGCTGATTGGGATTTTTCCATTCCACAATCATGCCTAATATATCTATCTAAAATTTTCTCTATAATTTTTATGAAATTATAAGATATACTTATAGGTCTATACAATTTAGGTATTTGATATGAGACCTTACCTGGTTTGGGTAAGAAAATTACCCTTATTTCCTTCCAGCATTTTTGTATATGTCCCAATGCCAGACTTAGGAGATCCCTTATTGTACTAGATAGACTAGGTGTATCTTTTTGAAGGAGGGCAGGGAATATTCCATCCATCCCAGCTGCCTTGTATTTCTTGAAGGACTATGCTGCCCATTAGTAGCCCTCCCAGGAAATTACCTCATTAGCCTTATGACTGGTTTGGTGTTGGTAGTTCAACCTCGGCTGGGATGGTGGAAGAGTCTGACCTGGGGAAATGAATTCTAGCCATCAGGTTCAGGGTCTCCTCACAGGATGTGGTGTACACCCCATTATCATCCTGTAATAAACCTAAAGGATTAATACAATCCTTTTCCAGAAGTTTAAAAATACGAGAACTTTCCTTAATTGTTTCTGTTTCCAAGCAAAAGTTCCTCCAGGCTTTATGCTTAGATTTCCTTAACTCTTTTTTATACTCTTTCTTCATGGAGAAATAATTCCTCCAGTATGGTTCAGAGTTCCATTGAAGGGACATGTAAGGTTAAACATTTTACTTTTTACTTTTAACTATATGTATTTGTATCGTTATATTTATTACAACTTTTTTTAAAGATATTATTTCCCTCTTTGGGAAATTAGTTATTGCCCTTTATTTTTAAGTTATTGACTTTGGATCTGTTATCTAGAATAAATTTTCACATTGTGTACATTCAGAAAGATACATTTTACTTTATTTTTGAAATAAATATTATGCAGTTCGGCTTTTTTAATATTTTTTAATACACGGAACCATATTTGTTCATAAAGGTTTGAAACGCAAAATGCAAGTGGAAATTTAGATTTTGGAGGTCAAATTTTTTTTTTACTTCCCGCATGAAGGCTTACCTACGTTCGTTAGTTCGTAAGCAACAAAAGTCTAGGGACTATGCTGAGAATCAATACATAACTTGTAGTCAAATGACAAACCCAAGACCCATAATGAACTGTGAGGCAAATGTCTAACCCACTTGACACTGTTGGCCCTAATTTTAAATGTATGTTTGTGTTCAAATAAATTGTTTAAAAAATAAATCTATATATTTAATTAATGTGTAATTGGCTACTTAATGTAAAGTAGCCAAAGGCAAGATTCTTGGATTTGAATGCAATTGGACAACCAACAGTAGCCCACCCAAATGGATAGAAAACCGTGAATCCTACCACTTCACAACTCTTTTATCAAAAAAAATCATTGTGTTTAGTGTATGTAAAACCAATATTTTAAATAATCTATATAAAGTTGTTGGACTATAATGGTTATGCTGTAGACTATGATGGTTTTGCTGTAGATTATGATGGTTTTGCAGATAAAGAGAAGAAGAAAACATGCAAAACATCCTTGCATCTGAACTTAAGTCCTGCTTCATCTAGTAAATCTGATAGCACTCCGCTTAGATCTCCAATTCCACTCATTGATCTGACAAGCAGTCCAGAATCGGATGGTACGTTAAACAGGTAATTTGTTTAAACTTTAAGTATTATTGTAATGATAATAAACTAATAAGTCTTTACTAACAAAAAAAAAAAAAAAAAAAAAAAAAGATATCCTCCAAAAGGTGGAACAGGGGACCCTGAAACTCACTACATTAACATTACTGTTTTTTCTTTTCTTTTTTTTTTACTGAAGTAAAAAAATTTCTAAATACACGTTCAGTTATTAAAGTGAAGGTCATTCGGTTGTTGGTTTCCATGATTTGTTATAAAGGCAATTTTAAATGAAACCTTTTTTGCCAAGTAGTTTTGATTTATTAAATCATCATCATGGCTACAAAAATGACTGAACATTACAATCAAGGCAATTTATATAATATTTACAATTTTGTATTTTTACCTGTAATCACATAAATCAAAATTTTTATTTAAAATGTTCAGTTTAACTCTCACAACACAATTTTTATTTAAAAATTGTGAGTTTTAAATTACTAATTCCTGTGATAACAGGTAAAAATACAAAATTATAAATATTATATAAATTATCTTGATAGTAATATTCAGTTATTTTTATAACCCTGATGAAGATTTAATAAATCAAAACTAATCGGCAAGAAAGGAAGTTTTTATTTATTTATTTTTTTTACTATACACCAAATACACAGCTTACGACATTTATAGACATTAGTATTTACTGATTGACTCAGATTATGTGATGTGATTAAAATTACAGTAAGAAAATTATTATTTTGCATTAATTGGTGGGTTCATTTATGTAGTCAGTTATATTTATTTGAAACATCGGCATGTTCAGTTCAGAATATTTGCTTCCAGCAACACTTGGGAAGAGGTGAGTTTCATTCTTTCTTCAATTGTGAAAAGGATTTTTCAAGCTAACGTAGCTTTACTTGAATAATATTTAATTATATGCACAAAAATTTGTCAGTAATATGTAAGTAAAAGTCCCTATACAAAGCATTCAATACTTGCAATCAAAGTCTATGTTTGCCTACAGGGTTCTGAGTATTGCAGATTCTGATGGCAGAGTTAATTTAAGTGAAAGTAGAAATTCTCCAAGCAAAAATGTGATGCAGGTGAGTAATAAGGAGAAAATAAAACTTTTGTTAAATGACATAATTATGTAACATTTTGGTACAGGAGTAAAATTGTTTTAGGTTGAAACCTTGTTTGAGGCAGTACCAAAAGATAGCCTTGAAGCAGCATCTAATTCTATTGAAAAGATTATCCAAGATCTAAGGAAAGCAAGATTAAATGAATAACACCAGTGTGATATTTGTCTTATTATGGAGATTAAGTATTTTCATTTTAAGAATTTGGTTCAAACTTCTAAAATCTTGTTTTTACAAGCTATATATATTTAACTAATTATTTTTTGAAAAAATGCAGTTGAAAAAGGCAGTCCAATGAAACATGATTGTTACAATATTATTTTTTTCCAACAAAAATATTCTGTTAATTGTACAAATAAATTTTTTATATATTTGATAAATAATTAAATGTATTTAAATTGTAATGTCTAATAACAAGTTTTGTAAAACACAAAAAAATTTACGTTTTGATTTCCCTTCCCAATTTAAAAAGAAAATAGATTTTAATACGCTTTTTAATGAATGATTTAGCAAAATTTTTAAAAATTATTACATAGTTTTGTTTAATTAATTGTTGAGGCATTTGTGGCCACAATAATAAAGGCATTGACATGGCGAGTTATCATTGTAAGGAAAGTTCTAAGGTTCAAATTCAGAGGTCAGATGTAGATGTATTAGTTGAGGTGTGAATTATACTGCGCTCTTTAAGAGCTGTTGTAACCCCCATTCTGTGCTTATAGTACACTGGTGAGTCCTAGTTCATCTAAGAATTTGATTAGTAGGTTTCAGTGGTCGAATTTCTTCTACAATTACATTATATGTCCCAAAGCACTCCTTCCTGCAGGCAAATGTAGCGCTACAGTTTGTTAATAGGTGTGTTGGTGTTTCTTCTTAAAAACGTCTGTTTAGTTTGCAGTGTCCTGTTAAGAATCCTGTTAGAATTGCCAGTTTTTTCCTGCTTCCCTTGATACATTCTACTACTTCTTTCCTTAAAAAAATTGTTAGGAGGTTCTTGGATTGTTTTGTGTCCAATGAGTGAGTTCCATTGTTCCCTCATTTTCTTTTTATCCTTCTGTCTGAGGTGTACAGAAGGGTACAGGTCCTATCAGCAGTACAGCAACCTCTTCATCCATACAAATATTTTTTTTATACGTCCCAGGGGTTGATGTGACCTCTGCTGTTACCAACCGCTTAAAATAAACAATTAATTGTTTTAAAATATGGCCATTTAAAAATGTTAAATGAATTTACTAACACTTTTTGTACAAACAGTAAGTTGTTGATCATGAAACAATTGATGGTTCAAAGGCTCAAGAAAATCATGCTTTCTGACACTGGTTTAGTTGTGTTTAAATTTAAAGTTCTAATTTCCAATATCAATGAAATTGAAGGTGTTCCAGGGAGCTCGATTGGTGGGTGCCAGACACATTTGGTGGATTTGTACAGTAATAAAAAATTGATAGTAGGGTTAAGGGAGAATGTGGAGTGGTAGGAACTTGTCCAGTATTATTAACAACTAAGGAGGGAAAACTCAAAAGGTGGGGTTGAGATGGGAAGTTGGTGTCCGAGTGGATCGAGGTCACGATAGCTTAAGTGGTAGAGCAGCGGCATATCTAGCCAAAGATCGTGGGATCGAATCCCACTTGTGCCATTGACTTTTTTATCTCAACTAAAAACTTTAATTAATTGTAATTATTAACAACAAAATTAATTGAAAATTAAATTAAAACACATATATTTTCTGCCAATTTCTTGAGTTGAAGAGGTTAGAGAAAGCCAAATGATGAATCCTTCTGAAAATGTAGCATTTGGCAATGAAAAAGCAGCCAGGTCAGAAAGTTGCACTTCAGTTGAGCATAGATTCCATGGGCAATGTCAAACGAAGCTATGGTGATTATCTGTTGACATTTTTCAGGCCGATCCCCGACTTTAGTAGATACGGCAGATACAAAATCTTTTAAACTAAGGGAAAAAATATTCCAAAGAGAATTGGCAGAAATGTAAAGTAAGATGGCCAGTCTCCCATTCACACTTGAGCAAAAAAAAAAAAAAAACCAAAATTCTGCCCTGCTAAGAAGAAATACCATTGATATTTTGATATTTGTTAGTTTTGAGAAATTGAGCTTTGAAGTTTTTCATGCTGATTGACCTCAATTGAGTTGCCATATTTTTAAAATTTTGTGGCCTAGGACTCGTATCTTCACTTTTCATAATCCTGAAAGCCTTTTATTATAATTAATAACTTATTTATTGATTCACCTTTATTTATTTTTTGTTATCAGAAAAGGTTGTTATGTGAAATGTAACTATCAAAGATTTGTGATAATTACTTATAAAAAAGGTGGTATCCGAAAAGAAAGTGCTTTTACAAGCATACATTGTTTTTTTTTTTTATTATTCTTTCTTTTACAATGCAATAGAAATGTAACATAATGAAATAAATATTTAAATTAATACCACTGCATTTTCCTTTCCTTTGTTCAATAGAATCCATCTCCCTACTAATTGATATGTTTTATGCAGGAAATGAATTTTCATGGTGTAAAACAAGTGAAAAATAACATAACGTAAGTGGCACTTGAGTTAATTTTATATAGTAATAGAAGCAATTTTTATTTAAGATAGGTAAAATTTTGGAAATACTTTTTTTTTACTAGTATTTTCTTCGATATGCTTTAAGCTATGTAGAGTACATATTTATTTTAAACTGATATTTTTAATATTTCTGAACTGATTTACATATATTTTATCAGTTTGTTCAATAGGAAGCATACCTAAGAATACAATGGTAAAAAAAGTAAAACTACAAAACTTAGGAGATACAGCACTTCTTCTTACAAGGGAAGAACTGTTAATTAATATCAATAATTAATTTAAAATTGAATCCCCCAAAAAGGTGCAATTATTTAAGTTAAACAAATATATAGTACTTTTCATTAAAAATATTAATCATAGTAATAAAAGGGGAAGATCATAATTATTGATGTATTGTACATTTACAAAATTCTTTAAGTTGTTGCCATTGTTCATTTGCGTGGTGAGGTCCTTTATTTTCTGAGGAGAACCTTCCAGATGAACAAGCATTTTTTTCTTTTGTTCGTTGATTATACTTCTGTGCTTCTTGGTGAGATGATGCTAATATATCTGGAATATGTTGTACAATCTGAGGAATCATTTGCTCTGAAATCTGGTCATATGGTATTTGCACTTGTTCTTTTTTTAACTGTTCTTCATTGTCTTCTACCGTATGCTTAGAATTAGTGTGTTCCAAAGCATCTAGGCGCCGCATTTGTATTTCAGAATCCAACACTAAATCTTCCAACACTTTCTTCCAGTGTTCAACTTTCTTGTTTATCCCAGCAACCGTGTTGAGTGCCTCTTCTGGGTCGATTTCTTCCTCATCCTTACTTCCATATGTAGTCTTCATATGACAATTTGTCTCTTGTTGTGATGTAAGATTCTTCTGTGCTGACTGCATATAAGGATCGTAATTGGGGTTCGCCATCTCTGATGGGCAGTCTGGCAAATCATCTAATTGGTTATTGACAGATGCCGGCCAAATGTTCCCTTTGCAATTGTATTCAAATTGTGGCATGGTCGATTGTTGGCCCTGCTTTTGGTTTGGACAAGGGATATACTGAACGTTTTGAGTTGTTTTTCCTTTACCACATTCAGTTTCTTCACTCCAGTCTATGTTTTTACTCTTTAGATATGCTGGACAGACAAGGCCACGGAATGGACTTCCCTTCTGGAAAGGAGGTCTAAAAAATAACAAATTGTATTAGTAACAAAGATCAGTTCACTGAAGAATGGTATTTATTATCTCAGGCATTAGATTATTCTACCAAAGAGAAATGTTCTAATTAAAATTTACCTAAACAACAGAAAGAATAGAATTGATTTTTACACTAATTGTTTTATCTGATAGCTCACAACTAGTTGAACATATCTTTAAAAATAAACACTTTTTAAAATAGTATTGGAATTATTGTGAATACTATTTGCTGTAAAAGTAAGTAATAATTCATTTGTTCATGTCAATATTTTCAAAATTGTTATGGAAACAAAATGGGGGTGGTGTGAAGATAGACCAGTGAAATTAGTTGAGTGAGGATCAGATGGCCATTTAATTAATTAATGACCATTTACCTGATACTCTCTCAAATAAAAGGAGGGATTTAAAATTCCATTAACTTTCTGAGTTGTATCCATTTTCATAAGATGAATTTAATTTTGAAACAAGAATTTTGATTTTAAGTTTAAAACAAACTCTTTACTTACTTTCCTTTTAGGATGTGATCTTCTAATACTTTTCTTTGAATGATAGTATCAACATCTGTGCATTTATATCTGAGCCACTCTCTTTTAGCACGCCTAGGAGAAAGTACTATTTTTTTCGGTTTTAGTTTTGTAGGTGGCAATTCATCTTCAGAAGAATCATCCTCATCTGTATCTCCATCATGGTATTCATCAAAGTCTTCTTCAAGTATCATCGGTGGACCTGATAGAGCAGCTTTGAAATAGGCCGGGTGAAAATGTTCTGTAACTCTTTCACTTTTTAGCAATCTATTTGCCCTCTCTTTATACGGCCGTGACTTTCCATTTAGTTTGAGCACTCTCAGTGATTCAGTCGGCTTTTCTGGGTCCACCTTTTCATCGTTTGGGTTCTCTGTAAATAGTAAAGGTTCCAATTTTTAAAAATAAACATTCTGTAAAACTACTTACGGTCATCGGTCAGTGGATGTGTTACTTGGTATCCAAGACAAGTGAGCCTTAAGTCAAGATGTACATATCCTACATAATGTTTCTGCAAAGTAAGTAAAATATAATTAATTGAGAAAAAGTTTGACATATAATCAGTAGCCTACCTTATTGTAAATAGAAAATTTCTCATCGAGGATAGCTGAACAAGGAATATTTCTATAGGAATCAAGAGAAAGTGATACAGCTTCGGCAAACTGTTGTAGAGCAATAAAGGTATTCCCGATTAATGTTGGGCCATCAACAAAAAAGTTAACTGCTAATGGCACCTTCATGAGCGTGTATAACAGTTCTGCTGGACTTGATGCAAAAATTACTGTTTGTCCTAAAACAGCAAGATTATTTAATTTACCAATATTAAAAGCAGATATTTCGTTTAACATTAACTCATTCAAAAGAAAAATAAACAGAATAAGAACAAAAAAAGGAAAATTCTAAAAATGACATGGCGGTTTGTATGCCAAAACAAATGGACTTGTCTTTTGATACTATGCATCAAAGAATTTGCAACCAAGGCAGATCAGACCATTTATTGGTGTCTAATTATTTACATGTGTTTCTTCTAGAAACAATGAAGTTTACAAAAAAAAACTTGTATTGGTTAAAAGCTAAAATTATTTATGACGAAAAAAGGTCATGTTAATTTTACATTTATATTATAATATACATATTGTACATTAACATTTAAAAAACAGGAAAAAAAAAGTTGTTATAATTTGAACATTAAATATACATTTTAATCCTACCATTATTAAATGGGATTGTCTTCAAAACAGTGTCTGTTTTGTTTGTAGCTTTTGTATCAGCAGAAGATATTTCTGAAATAATACATTAAATTAATATTCTCACTAAAACTTGCTTTAAAAACCTGCTACTTGTTCCTGAGTCAGATGAACTTGAAGATTGGTTACTCAGGTTAGTAGACTCTTTTTGCCTAGAATTGCTACTTTTGTAATTGACTGTGCCTTTCTTTGATTCTGTATCTGAATCTGCCTCGCCAGGAAGTTTGTGTACCTTTGGAACCGGTGGTTCCTGCTTCTCTTTTACAAGACATCTAGTAGGGTCAAAGCCCTTTATTTCATTTACCGGGGGCACGGCAGGACTTTCAGTAGCTGGGTTTTGTAAATCTGAGAATTTTAGAAATTATATTACCTTTATTTTATATTAATTAACAAGCAATTATACCACATGCTTCTGTTGGAGCTTCTTCTTTAACATTTATTTTGCTATGTTTGTTTGCTGAAGTAAGATTTTCTTCAACATTCCTTTTTATTTCTATACATGGCAGTGTGTGAAACTTGATTCTAAAGTCACAAATTAATAGTTGATGTGTTAGGTATAATGAAGGTTTGGTCTTAAGATAAAGCTGTTTGTATTTTTTTAAATTGTGATTTATTATGTAATCAGACAAATTTTAAGATTACACAACATTTTATTTGGTTTTGAAAAAGAAATAATTAAGAGTAATACTTTAATAAGGGGGCTTAATTCCACCCAACAAAGTTGTATGCAGCCACTTTTACAAATACATGTAGGGATGGAATGTATTTAGTTTTAGATTACAAAGCAAAAGTTTACTCGCATGCTTTTTTTTACAACAATATGTCAAGCAAAAGAAAAGAATGATTGGAAACCTAAAGAGACTACTGAAGTTTAATTTTTAGTTTGCTAAAATTGGAATCCAATAGAAATATTCAACAATACAGACACAATTTAGGATATCCCATATTGTTGAACCTTTTATTTTTCCACCTGACTTGTAAAACTAGTTGAAATTTCAAAATTTACCTTATTTTCATTTTTTTATCGAGATTTGGCAACCAATCAAGGACTTTGGTCGTTAAATCAGTGCTCGACACAAATACTTCCAGTGCGAACATTGAAGGTTTGTCAAGAAGATTCCAGTATTGGTTTTGGTAATCTCTCACAACATCGCGCCATTTCATCTTGATAGAATTATTGTTTCACTGTTTGTTATAAGAAAATAATGAAGAATTTTTTTTATAACTTGAAATTTTAAATGTTTTTGAGTGTTTCTCGGTAATATTTGTTTGTGATGCAAGTTCCTTTGGAAGTGTTTAAAAGGAAATGCCCCTTAATTGCTATGTAACATATGGTTTACAGTTATTTTAACAATTCACTGATGATATAAGTAATGTTCAGTGAGAAAGAAGAATTGTTTTGAAATTGATTTTAAAAAGTTAACTATAGCAAGACTAACTAGAAACATACTCTAAGCAAAGCAAGAATTGTCACACAAAGAATGGAGAAGACAAGTATTATAACAAATATGTGACAAAATAGATACATAAAACACTGTATTGAAATGTATGTTGTGCAATGAATCGAACAACTGTAAGAAATTCTTTTTATGTACGATTGAGGATAACAGCAATATTTCAATATATCATGATTGGTATTTATTACTTTTTTTCTATGTAGAGTTAACATCCATTTACAGAGAATAGTGCACACTTCTGTATACAGTATTTGCAGGTTATTATGTAATTTATCACATAATAAATAGTAATATGTATTTTCATTGTAATTAATTTTTTTAGTGAGAATACGGTGTTAAAAAATGCTGGCATTTTGAGACTTTTCTGCAAGTTCGGTTAATCTTTTCTTTTTGATATTTCTCCATCATCATTGGTCATTCTTGAGAAACTACAAATTTATTATTATATTATTATTATCGTTAGTGATTTAATTTGCTTTCCAATGAATGTAGATAGACTAATCAATAAAAGGTGGTTTATTTATTTACTAAAGGACCTATGAAAGAGTTTTGTTGATTCCTACGAAAGAAATAGAATATTTATGTATATAATATATATTAAAATATATAATACAATCTTTAAATATTACATATTGCTTACTACTTTACTAGTAAAGTATTTTTTTAAAGAGTTGATATAAATTTGCTGAGAAAAGGGCAATAGAAGAGCCCAAAACTGGTCCAAGAATAAAAAATGTTATACACTCAGAGTTCATTAAGGATGTTATTTTAATAAACCTCATCATACTATAATAAACGTTTGTAAAACAAACAAAAACAAAAAATACACAACATACATTATGTACAGGGTGTTTCAATGCTATAGTCCACCAATTTAATTCGAAAACGATTAACTTTAACGAAAAATGGTATTATACAAACCACAAGTAATTTTGGCTCAGAATCACGTGGTGGTAACAGATTTAACATAAAAATGGGAAATGATATTAACTTTGTTATTTTAAACGAGAATCCCATTTTTATAGTACAATTCGATTCTAGAGATTATTTTATGTCAATAATATTAAAAGGAAAATTTTGGCAGGATTGACCATTTCTGATTTATGCCCGACGGAAGACGCGTGAGGGGTGCTTTTTGTAACAAGATGGCCCACCCTCTTTATTGCTAAAACGATAGCACTAGCAAGTTAATTTAGGAACTAAAATAGCAATCGTCTCAGAATAGGGTAGGGATCATGGGGTTCCTTTTACGCTTAGCTTATATTAATTTAAAAAAAGAACTCTTGTTACAAAAAGGATTTTTTTATCATCAGTCCATTTTCATCCAGAGTCCACTTTATTTTTAAAATGACTCTCAGCTGTTATTATGTACTGTTGCAGATTGTCCATTTATTAAAATTTATGTTTTTAATAAATTCTCAAAAACGCTCGCTGCGCAAAAAAGGTACAGTATAAAACTGCATTTTAAATCTAAAACGGGGAGGGCCATCTTGTTAGAAAAAGCATGCCTCCCTCACACGTCTTCCGTCAAAAATGGTCGGTGCTGCCAAAATTTTTGTTTTAGTAAATGTGGCAAAACCAAGTTAGTGTCATTTCCCAGCTGGAAAAGAAAGTTATGTTAAATATGTTACCACCACGCAATTCCGAGCCAAAATTAACTTGGGGTTTGTGTAAGACCATTTTTCGCTAAAGTTAATCGTTTCCGAATTAAATGGTGTACTATACAAGTTGCTACATCCTGTGTATGTCAACTGCCAACTGTCTCAACCAACAAAAAGGAATGTCGGGCCCATAGTCGAATTACACCCTTTAATTATATACACCGACAGGCAAAAAATTCCACCCAATTGATTTTTTTTCATTTTCTCGGTAAAATAAAATTCTGCACTTAATTTGTGTCATTGTTTTTAGCAATAAATATTTGTTTAAGCTATGTTTTAAATTGGGAAAATCAATTAGAGGTAAACACACTTAATCCTTAATCTAAAATAAGGATAAAAGATTTTTCAATGTTTAATTTTTACGGAATTGAAAATGTTTATTTAGTCTCATTTGAATTCTGAAGCAGTAAACTGTTTAGTTTTCATCTTTGTTTTCTTCATTTCAATTTTTAAACTAAAAAATGCCTCTTACTTCTGTGGATGTTCCGCGTGGTGTGGCTCTTATTGATGATGGACGTTCCATCAGGTTTGCGGCTATTGCACTCGGAGTTCCCTACGAAACCCTGAGAGACGCCGTTAGACGTTTTCGAGAAACTGAGTCCTCAGAAATTGGGTCTGGTCATAGAAGACCCGGTAACAGAACCAAAGGATGACCGTTTTTTGACATAGAGAATTTTGCGAAACCGGCACCTTACTGTCGTTCAAGCGATTCAGCAGCTCCAGGAAGTACGAGGTATCCAAATTTCTGAACGCACTGCTCGAAGAAGATTAAATTAGTATGAACTGATGGCTTTTCGCACCGTAAGAGGACCAGAATTGACCAGAACACAGAGTTGCCCGGCTTGCATTTGCTCAAGAACACAGCATTGGTCTTTGGACGATTGGTCTGCTGTCCTTTTTACAGAAGAGTGTAGATTTGCTCTACGATCTCCAGATGTTTGTGAAAGAGTGTGGAGAAGGCGAAATGAAAGGCATGAAGTCTGTAATTTTTCCCAGTGCCAACGTAGCTCAGTGATGGTATGGGCGGGAATTTCATTGGAGAGTCACACAGAGTTGGTTGTTGTTTGCGTAGGGTCTTTGATGGCCACTCGCTGTGTGGATGAAATTTTGGAACACATGCGTTGCCTATCCTCGATGAAATCAGCGACAATCCTATTCTAATGCACGATAATGCCCTTCCACATGTCACTCGCATAGTACAAACGTACCTTCAATAGCATAACATCAGGGTCTCCTAATCCAGATTTGAACCCCATCGAACATTTATGGGATAACTTCAAAAGACGAATAAGAGCACGTCCATCACTTCCTGATACACTCCACGATCTTGAAAGGACTCTTCGTGAAGAATGGGCTAACCTTCAGCAAAGAGACATTTTAAGACTGGTAGAATGTATGCCGAGGCATCTTCGAGATGTCATTAAGGCAAGAGGAGGAAATACGCGATATTGAAATGCTAATTAAAAACCTAAAACAAAATTAAAACAAATTTTATCTGTCGGTCTTTTTTAAAACTTTGTTTATTTTTATTTTTTCATTTTCCTCAGCAACTTACTTTTTTTAAATACTTTTTTTGGACAATGACTCCAAACTTTTAAAGTTTAGTAATTACTAAAGGTTAAAAAACGTGAAATTTTGATTAATATATACAAATATATATCAAGTTATATTACAAGTGGTCGAAATTTTTTACCTGTTAAATGTTTGCAAAAGTATAATCTGTTAAGACAACATTATTGGGGTAATTGCTGAGAAGGAAGACCATAATTTGTTGTACAATTGGCACAATTGATCACTCTTGACCAAGAAAGATCCTACTACAATGATAGTGTGAAACATATCTCAGATTATGGATTAGAGGAACTAATAAATATCCTGTTTTCCTAATCAATTTTATTGTTAAAACAATTTGGATAAAGGAAACTTAAAAGGGGCCAGTTTAGATTTTGACTGTAAGATGCAGTGAAGGATGTGGGTCATCATCGTCAATTTCTTTATGCTCATCATCACTTTTATTGGCTTTTTTGTGTCTTCGTCTTCTTTTTCGTTGCTCATCCTGCCTATGAGCTCTGAAACACTGCTGAACTAGGAGACCGTCTGAGATTCTTCTTTCATGAGCATTAAGCATTTTATTGCAATGGACCAGAAGACGCATGTCCTCAATGTCCGCTTTCTCCACATTAATGCGGTTACTTTCAATCCACTTATTGTCATCTATTTTTTTAAAAGTAGTTCCTAGAAAAATAAGAAAAAATTATCGCCATTTTATAATTATAATTTGAATTAATTACTCAACCTATCAAAAGCGATGATTTTGTTTACATACCCTTCTTATGCGACTTTTTTTGCCGTTTGCCACGTTTAGGCTTTTTTGTTAAAATCCTAGTAGTAGTGGTTGCTTGTTCATTTCCTATTCCCGGCATTGCACTTAATAACGCCAAATATACAAAAGAAAAATAACACCAAACTTTGAACCAGCAGAAATTAAAACAAACTGCTGTCTATATTTTAAAGTTGTTCAGCTGATTGTCCAGCTGTATTTAAATCTTGCTGGATGGAAGTAAAGAGATTTTCACAGTCGTTGTGTACACCTTGAGCTGATAACATCGTGTTGCTGTCTCTTATCTCAACGATAATCTATCTTCAGTATTTAGGGAGTACCCATTCGTTTTTATTCTTCTCTTCTTTTAAAAAATTAATTTACTTTCAGAACTTTTCAGTTACTTTCTTTCCATTTACTTATTATTTGTATAATTTATTTATCTGTTCTACTACATACTCTTCATAGTTAAACTTAACTATGGAGGCTGATACTCCTCTAGCTTCTAAAACCTCTGATGAAAATAATCTTTTATTAAAACCCACTGGAAAGTTGTGTAAAAAACATGTTATAATGTCGTTCAGTGAAAATGAATTTAAGAAATCATTCAATGATTTCAGCCCTTTCAAAGTATGCAAATGCATAAAAAGTTACGCCCCGGATGTAGGTATTAAATTTCTCAGGAATGGCACTGTTCTCTTAGACATTTTTACTGAAAAAGACTTCATAAATATTCAGAACATGGAAACGTTTGAAAATATTCCTCTTCTGTTAGAACTTCACCGTTCTTTGAATTTATCCAAAGGTGTTGTTAATGTCCCTGAGTTGGTAAAATGCTCGGAGAAGGAAATTGAATTAGAACCCCAAGCACAAGACGTAGTTAAGGTTTTTAGAATAACGAAAAATGACAATAACACCTGAATTCCCAGACCAACACTTATTATAACCTTTGAAAAACCTGAAACTCCTGATAAAATCACTTTTGATTTCCTTCAAGTTAAAGTTAGGCCCTACATTCCAAACCCAATGCAATGTTATTCTTGTTTTTGTTTTCGGCACACTAGCAAATATTGTAAAACCAAGAACTGTGGCAAATGTGGAGACTCTGACCATGATACAAACACCTGCCAATCTGCACTGAAGTGCATCAATTGCCGCTAGGCACACCCTGCATATGATCGAAACTGTAAAACCTACCAACGAGAAAAAGAAATTGAAACTATTAGATCAAAGGAAAAAGTCTCATATAGGCAAGCAGAAGTACTGTTTAAACAACGCAATGTTCCACATACCCCACTCAATGTTACCTTCCCTCAATCCATCAATAAACCCAACACTCTAAACAACCATACTTCATATCAACCAATCCAAAGTATTGAACCATTAACCCAATAAATCAACAAACTTACTGAGATTGTAGAAAAACTATTAAATAAATTTAGCCATCTTGAAAACGTAACCAGACCAGAAATTCCTTCAAACAGCCAACTGGTAATAACAGTTCCCTCACAAAAACGTGAAACCACAAAACTAAACATAACAAACTCATATACTACACGTCTCAACAATCAAAACCTTTCATCTAATTTGCCCAAAACAATCTCAGAAAACAATAGCCAAACCAACCAGTGCATAAATAAAAAAAAAGCTAGAATCTTGAAACCACCTCACTTGACAGTATGCTCAATCTATCTACCCCCTAGGAGAGAGGTATCTGCCGTAGACCTCAAAGAAGTAATCAACCAATTGCCCAATCCTGTGTTGTTAATGGGCGATTTCAATGCCGTTAGCCCCCTCTGGGGAGGTGAACGAGTGAATAGAAGAGGAAAAGGAATTGAAAAATTTTGAAGAATGCAACGTTAATATTGTCAATAATGTGGCCATGTCTACACACTTTTGGGCAAGGACCGGCAGCGTTTCTAATATAGATCTAATTATTTGTAGCCCGAATATACAACACCTTTTAGAATGGAGTACTTTACCTGACACACATGGCAGTGATCACTTTCCTATTGTAATTGCAGTTGCTTCTTGCCCTACAATAACTGAACGACCTGCCTCATGGCACATATCAAAAGCTGACTGGGATAGTTTTAAACAAAATGTATCGCTAGATGGTCTAAACCTAGATGAAGACAATATCGATATTCTGTTGGAAAACATGAACAACAAAATTCTTGAGGGAGCCCAACTCTTCACACAAGAGAATGGTGTCCCTCAAGGTTGTGTGCTTAGCGCAACTCTGTTCTGTATAGGATTGAATGAGGTCTTGACACTTTCACTGGCTAGTATAGCCTGTGTTATATGCAGATGATTTAGCCGTCTTCAAGAAACACTTCAAGACTCACTATATAAAATTGGTAACTGGCTTAACTGAATGGCTTCAAGGTCTCCCAGAATAAAACAGTGGCTGTCCCTTTTGCAAAAAGAAAGCGTACGGTACTACCAAATATAGTAATAAACGGAGCCCCTATTATTTATCGGGATGCAACAAAATACCTCGGTCTGACACACTGGTTAGCACATTTAAATGCCTTAAAAATGAAATGTAATCAGTCTCTAAACCTCATCAAAATGGTAGGATCTTTCTCTTGGGGTGCCTGACCGTGTCAGCTTTTTAAGACTATACAGGAGCCTTGTGCGCTCAAAGGTTGATTATGCCAAGCGTATGCATCAGCCTCGCAGAGAACCCTTAATATTTGCAACACCATTCATAATGCAGGGCTACGCCATGCCATAGGAGCTTTTCGCTCAAGTCCTGTCAATAGCCTTTATGTAGATGCAGGTGAACTCCCTCTACACTATAGAAGAAAATTACTCGAACTAAAATACTTTGCAACAATATTATCTACACCTTTTCATCCACTACGGGAGCTTTTCCTTCCGCAACGACCCATTCCCTCAGAAACCATGAATACAAATAACTCATATAGATGTCAGTTTGCCTTTCGAGTCTTTTAGTCTCTAAACACCACAGATTTATCAATTTCCAAAATACAAAAGAAACATGTCTCCCCGATTCCGCCGTGGTTCATGCCTACCCCAAATATAAACTTTAGTCTAACAAGATTTCCTAAAGAAAATACTCCCTCATACGTCTCTAAAAAAGAATTTTTAAGAATAAAAAGTACAATCCCAAACTCAACTTTCTCATTTACGGACAGCTCCAGTAACCCGAGTGGTGTCGGAGCGGCATTTATTTATCAGGATAGAAAAATTATGTTCTCTCTTTCTTAGATATGTAGCAACTACAGGCCGAAATAATTGCGATCAATAAATGCATTAACATCCTAAAATCGAACCACACAGCCCTAGTTGTCTGCACAGATTCCCTTTCTGCTCTATTAACCATCAAAAATAAATTTTCCACAAATCCAAGAATCCAAGAGATTTTACTTGCTATAAAAAATAGTACGAGTACAGCAGTTAGTTTTTTGTGGGTCCCAGGTCACTGTGGTATAAAAGGCAACGAGGAGGCTGACCGAGCAGCGNCCTCTGGGTTGAGTTTGACCCCCGGAACTTGGGAGGGCTGCGCATGGTGTGCCAGCATCCGCAGCCCTCTGAGAAGTCTGCCACTGTCTTAACCACTAAGGTCTTGTGTGGAGAGAAGCTGGTCTGGGTGTCTGGTTCTTGCCTGGTCTTATGGTGTCCGGTTCGCTGTGGGGGCGCGCCCGCTCTTGATGTCCCTGCCCCTCCTGGCTTATGGCTCTCTGTTTTCTTCTTTCAAGGCAGTTTTGACCCATGTGGTTGAATTCTCATGGACTAAGGTGTGTAGGTGTGTGTACAGCTACCCAAAACTCTTCCGCCCGGGGTTTCAGAAGATAAAGAAACCGCCCACCTAGGGTGCATTTCTAGTATAGTCTTCTTCTTGCCAACAGTAGCAGGACGTCTAAATAACACTAATTTAATTCTTCTTGTAGATTTATTAAAACAACTCCAGGCAAACATACAGCGAGGGAGTCTACATTTGATTAAGGCAGAACACTTTACGAGACTGATTATTCAAAAGAATTATCCTGTAAATGTACAGGAACATCAAATTTAGATAAAATCTAGAACGTACATAAAAGTCATGAATCTTTAAGAAAAATAATGCCACTGACATAATATATCAGGCCCAAAAATGACCTATTTTTTTGTTTGTGATGAAAATTCTTATTAATGGATCCTTTAAGTACTTTTTCAAAAATATATTTTTTTAAAATTTGATTGCATTTTATTTTAATCAATTTTTAATTAAGAGAAAAATTAAATAAATTATTCATTAATTTATTATTATTAAAATTATTTAAAAAATTTACTGATATATAATAATCAACTTTGAAAGTATGTCCAACAAAGACAGAAAAATGAATTTATAATTTATATACGTCGAATTTATAAATTATTTTAATTTATTATTTATTATAGATATAATCTATTCATAAAAGTTATAAATCCTTTAATGGGGGAACAATATATCGAGCCAAAGATGACATTTTGTATTTGCGATGAACATGCGAATTTAATGGTTTTATGGTGCTTTTTCAAGGGTGGTTTTTGTAAATTTTTATTTGTTATGTCTAGTAAGTTTTTATATTTTTAATCTCATTTGATTTTAATAGATTCTTAACTAAGATAAACAATAACTGACTTCTTTTTTATTTTATTTATTATTACTAAAATTATTGTTAAAAATTTACTGATATATAATAATCAAACTTGAAATATATGCCCAACAAAGTTAGAAAATATATAAATCGTGGGGGGAAGCCTCCGATTTAATATTCTGAGCCAAACAATGACATTTTTTGCGATGAAAATTCGTATTAAATGGTTCTACATCGCCTTTTCAAAGACAATTTTTTTACTACTTTACTCGAAGCATCTTTTGGTTTTTGTAAATTTTTATATGTTTATCTTATTTGTTACAATCCTGCATTTTATTTTAATAGATTTTTAATTATGATAAAAAAATTATCAACTATTTTTTTTAATTATTATTATTAAAATTAATTTTAAAAATTTACTGATTTATGTAATATCAACCTTGAAATATATGTGGACTTTTGTGACCGTTAATTAATGATTATTTAGAGACTGCATCTCATGAGCTCTAAATAATGTTGAAATGTATTGTATATAATGTATGTACTCCAACAAAGGCAAAAAAAAAAATTTAAAAATTAATAAATAATTTTTTTAGCCCATTATGTATAATATTTTTCAAGTTAACGTTAGTATCACACAAAAAAATTCAGTAAAATCGTTGATCCCATGTTCGTAGCCTTAACTTGTGAGGTAGGAAATGGTAGAACAGTTTGCCATGCCGAGTATATCTGGGACGTCCCGGTAAGTGCAGAGTTTTAGCCATGTCAGTCTACTAACGCTGATCAGTTGGAAGTAATTAGCGGATCTTTGGAAATACGAATGAAGCGTTTTGTCTGATAGAGTAAATCATAGAAAGATAATCAGTCATATACTGATAATACCTTATCTTGCTTTATAAATCCGTTAATGTATTTGAGGGTAACCCCGGGATCCTGGAAGAATGATTCTGGGGCTAAACAAATCTCGCTAATATCCTAGGGCTACTTTATTTAACAATATTATGCCGGTCACAACCAAGCTCTTTATTTAAGAACTACTTATATATATTTAAATCTCGGCAAAAGGGGGGGGGTAGGCTGGATATAAATTACAGTGTAATTTGACATGAAATTTTTACGCCACAACTCTGATTAAAACAGGCACCAACGTTTTTTCCTGCCAAGAAGAAAGCCCACCACATCACACGAATTTTATAGAAAACTGCTTCCTCTGACTGCTCCGCGTCTACTGACCCCTACTGTTTCCGTTAACCCGGCCGAGACTGGGTTGTTGACATAGCACCTAGGTCCCCCTTTTGCCGACACTGTTTCTTATTCTATTTACAATTTTAAAATCTATTAAACAATATTTTCGAAATTCATTTATATTAAATATTCCTATCACTGGTTACATGAGTATTTATCGGGGCTATTCCGAAATTTAAACTGATATTTGTATCATATCGCTTAGTTGCAAGCTATTATGCTTCATCGTCCTCCCGCTGTTTAGATGTAGGATCGGGTGGTGCTGAAGCGAAGGAGGTAAAGCAAGGGGCTTAAAATCTAAATCTTGGAAAAAGTGGCAGTTATGAGACAAAGCGGTTTCAAACCCGGATCTGTTTCGCTATTTTGTGATTGATGATGATGGAGATGCGTTCAGGATTGTAATGCTATTCTGCGATGAGATTTTTTTTAGCTGCAGGTAGTATACGTTCAGAAACAAAACAAAATATCTTATATTGTATTTAATTATTTACATTGTGTTGTGTTGTTAACAAAGTAACCTTTATACATTTTGATTTTGCATTTTGATTTAATAAGAACAATAAGCTAGAATTTTATTTGATGATCTTAATAAAACAAAACAAAAAGCTTTAATCACGATGTACAGTATATATAGTAAAATGATTGCAACAACAATAAGAAAGTTAATTTTTGGTTAAATAAGAATAATTGTAATAAAAAATTGGTTAAATGATGGATGAAACAAAAACAATTGAATCAATCAATGGTTAATTGCTTGAAGGAACCTTCCATGCCAAAGAGGTCGTCGTAGGTTTTTGGCTTTCCGGGTCTTTTGGACTCGTCAGCTTTTACTTTCTCCTGGCTGATGAACCAGTCCTTGTAGCTGACCACCTTGTCATACCATTGTTCTGTAAACACACCGTTTATGATTAAATCGAATCCTTCACAAGTTTTTATAAGGATCCAAAGGCACATTATTTTTGAAGTTACACCCCATACATTTCTGAAAAATTGTTAAATGTCCTCTCAACATGTTGAAGGTTAAAAAGATTCCGCCATACTAAATTTTTATTGTACTGATTAGATTAAAAAAAATATATATATAATATGGTAAATATAAACATTAGATAGATTACATTAATGCACAATACTGGTCACGGTGCACAGGTCGTAAAATATGAACATATTCTAGCTAATCTAGGTTGTTCATAATTTGAAAAATAAACGAACTTACTGTTAATTTCTGAAACTGGGCCTGCATCGCCTCCGTACTCGCTGGGTAGAACTTCCTTCGGCACCAATTTGTGAAGGGACGCTAAATCACTGTGGACATGTATCTGAAAATTATAATAATAAAAGAAATTTATTTGACCAACTTAGGTTTTCAAACTTCCTCAATGTTTCTACACCAGTATTCAATTAATTTAATAACAACTTATTAATATATTCAATGTAATGAATGCTTTTTTCGTTTCAAAATGTTATTATAATTAATGAATATGAAATCCATGAGGAGGAATTAGACTGCTTTTAAAATGGTGGTTACGTTAACTGTCAAGCCCAGGATAAAATTAATAAATAAGAATTTACAACTCTAGGCTTACTTCATTCTCGTCATTGTTATCTAACATTTTCGCGTTTTCCTGAACTTCCTTGTGAATTAAAGAGTGCCCTTTTTCATCTTCTGACATGGTGAATCCTCTCTCTGGGCTTGTTTACGACTGAACGTTAACGAGCGGATGCAACATGACATCACGTAAAAAGTATTTAGTATGTTTTTCCAATATCGCTTTGACGGAACTTTTAAAATAGCTTTCCGTGCCCACGTTACGCTTTTAAATTTTTTTAAATCGAAATTCTTGAATACAATACTTTCTCTTATTCAACTTACTCTGTTTTTAATTTTTTCTTTCAAAAATGGCTTGACGAAGTTGACGATCGTGTCCACCATAGGGGAAACGTTGATTACGTGAACTTCCTTTAATTTCACTGGATACGCTTCCTGGAAAATGGGATTTAACTGTTAGAAACGAATGGAATTAATCGTGACAAGCTACTGAACGGACCTGGACACAAATGAGAAACTTTTTGATCAATGCCGGTGTGAATTTGGAAAAATGTGAAGCAAAATGAGCCGGAGTGACAATGGAGGCGTCGAAGATGTACACGTCTCCTGCAACTCCAGTCGTTTCTTCTTTTAGCCTTATATCACCTATCATGAGTACCGCTTTCATGGCCTCGGTCACGTTGATCACCTCGTTCTTGGGGTCGACTGCCCTCATGACAATGACCCTGCGGCCGTTTGGTGGTAGACCAGGTAGAGGTGGAAATTGGCTGATGAAGACATATGTTAAAAATCGTTAACAAATATAGAAAATAAATCTACTTACAAGAGGTCAAAAACTTGTTTGAATTCCGTTCTAGTCGGGTCCCTGTTGGCGAAAAATTCGGGCACCGCTGCTCTCATTGTGAAGTACATATCCAACTTCTTTTTTGTCTTTTCTAATGAGAACTTGCACCCTCTTAGAAAAGTCATCAGCCGTCCATCGTCTGAAACCAAAGATTTGTCTCTTTACAGTCTTTACAAGCGTTTAGCGATTACGGTTTTGCAGTAGGCATGTCCCTCGGTGGAACAATGAGCATACTAAACTTAGGAGCAAAACAAGAAGACCTTTTAATAAAGTCGACCGTACATAAATGTATGTTTAACAATAACATGCTAAAAGAAGAACGCAATGGCTAGTCAATTATTGAGTAAAAAGGATAGATTTTTGTTTTCTTTCTACTTTAGGTTACTTCTATAGATTCAATAGATCTTGAAGTGTGTCAAGATTGTTACTCTTAATGTATCCAAACTCGGCAGACACCAAGAACGGGAAAATCTAGGAAACTCCTACTCAAGCTGGCAGTGCACATAATAAGCTGAATTATAGAAGAAACAGGAATTGACACACTTCAAGATCTATTGAATCTATAGAAGTAACCTAAAGTAGAAAGAAAACAAAAATCTATCCTTTTTACTCAATAATTGACGAGCCATTGCGTTCTTCTTTTAGCATGTTATTGTTAAACAAGTTTAATTTACCAAATCTTATGTTGGGATTGCTTATTACAGTCCATAAAGATTGTTACTCTTAATTAAAAGGAAACTCGTCATTTTAGGAGCGCACGTAATATAGTCAACTCAATCCTAAAAAATGTTTTTGACGTCAATGTTATTGTGAAGCCCCAATATCCTAACGCTACTTAGGACTTCAACCTGCTCAAGATTAAACAAGATTTACAATTCACCACCTAGCCTCCATTATTTATTGGATCTATTGTTATTCCAGGTTCAAACGGCTAAAGGAGCTCTTTTTGTAAGGTTACTTAGTTATCACATATTAATGAATAAATTATGAAATCTAACACCAACAAACTTTACTGCTCCAGTTTTTCCCCCACTTAAGTAGATCAGATCGTAATAAGAGATCTAATTCTCTTGACACTTCTATTAGATTTCAACCATACAAGCACAATATTAGTAAGGTACTAACTGACGAGAATATAAATAGAAAATAAGTTAAATTCTCTATAAATAAAATACCTATTTATAGAGAATAAATAGTCATTGTACCTATACAGTACTCATTTATCCTAAATTTAATGATGTCAGTAATAATATTCATATAATTCAAACCTATATCAAAATTAGAAAACTATGGTATATGTATTTTACAGTACATACGGTTATATAAATGGAAATGGCATTTGAATTTTTCACGTATTTCGCTGAATGATCTCATCATTTCTATCCGTGTTCATCTCACGTCGTGCGTGATATCGTGAATTCACTCTACCAAAGCAAATTGGACAGGTTATACAATTAAAACCGAAATCCCTAACGACTGGGATACAAGGCTAGCAGACCGTGGTGGTTACTTTATGTTAGCTCACCTTCGAACGCGGGCAAATGAGGCTGCCTTTTCAGCCAATCCTTGATGTGCTCCAGATCCTTGTCTCTGGTCGACACGTCTTCGTTGAGCTCAGACCTGATCCGTATCTGCATGTCGGCGTTTGGTTGGACAAGAGTCATGTCGCTGTGGTAAATAAAAAAGAAACTGAATTAACTATACAAAACTTTTGTTAAGTTTCTACATCGGAATGCGTGCAGAAGAAAGAGTTTTGCTATGGATGGCAGGAAATTTCGTCAACAATTGGATTCTTAGTGTTCTTAGTTAGTACATGGTGCTACAACTAGCTTGCTTTTATTAAAAGAGAAAAGGATATTTCAAATGTGGGAAATTTTTATTAAAAGAAAAAAAAATTACTTTTGAAATATTATATTATCAGTACTAAGTTTGTACGAAATCTTGGGAATGTAACTAACACTGCGAGGAGGGCGTCGGTGGCCGCAACGGTTTAGGCGTTGACACGGCGCTCATCACTGTAAGGTAAAGGTCCCGGGTTCGAATCCAGCGGCCCTGCATTCGAAACCGACATACTTACAAATGGGCTTTTTTTTCATAAACACCGGCACCCTGAGGGTTTATAACCCCCCCCCCCCCTCTGCTGATGTCAAATAAAACCGACAAATTATTTTATTAAGAAAATAAAAACTGCAGAGGTTGAAAAAAAGGAAATATCCTTTTACCTCTTTAAGGGGTATGTTACGATTCATTTTTGTAGATTATGTCCCGCAACTACTTAAAATAAACGGATTATCCCAAAAGTTTGAAATTAATTTATTTATCGGTATAATTTCTTTTACGTATCGTCTCAGTGATTATTCCAATCAGAAAACCTTATTGTCAAACATTCGTTAATCGTTGCAAAAATTTAACAGATATTAATTAATCTTCTGTAAATCTCTCTCTCTCTCTCTCTCTCTCTCTCTCTCTTCTCTCTCTCTCTCTCTCTCTCTCTCTCTCTCTCGCTCTCGCTCTCGCTCTCGCTCTCACAAACACACACATAATACATATAGTTTCAAATAAATAACCAACCCCTAAATATAGAAGAGCATCCCTGTTTCCCTAAATATGGGTAAGGTACAAAAAAAATTGCTGCCGTGCCCATTATGCTTGGGCAATGACATATTCTCATGTCATTCCATTCTCGCTCTCTATATGGAGCCATGCCACCCACCGGGTAGTTTAGGCGTTAAACCCTCCTATACAAGAGGAATTACATGATTTGTTTTGAAGTAAGGATAGTAAAACTTTTATTCAATACACGCTCAAATTATGAAAAACAAACGTTTAAAAATAATCTTATTTGAACAGTTACAATAGTGATAATTAAACGACACAATAATTGATGATGGAATCGGCAATACATTGCAAGTTGCAGTTTCGTAAAAATTAATGTAATAAAATGCCTCTCTTTCACTAATATCCCTCAGGCTCAACAACAATTGATTTTGTAAAAATGTAGTTTAATACGAAGTATGAAGGTGCTGACTTCCGATTCTTTTTGGATTATGGATTTCAAATCTGGGGATGGCGACAAATTGAGATAATTGAAAAGTCCTTGTTTTTTTGCCCGGAAAATCTTTTCTTTCTTTCAGCTATTCCAAATTATCTACCATTTGGAAACTTCTCGTGATATTCTTTCTGTTTACACTATCAGTCTTATTTTTCTTTTATTTTAAAATGTCCTCTTTCTACTGTTGCACGGCTGTCCAGGGAAAGTGCTTAGTTAATTATTGCGAATGATTATGTTGGTTTTTAAAGAAATATTTTCAGATGTTCGGCCTAGACTTCTTATTCTTCCTAGTAAAACATTTCGAAAAAAAAAACTTCAATATATATTTAATAAATATATCTCAACTTAATCGAAACAACTGCCTTTTTCGAATTCAATCATCCTCAAATCACCTAACTTCCCTTGGATGATGATATGTGAGATGACCTACTACATTTGAACTCTGGAGGAGAGTGGGCTTTTATCCCAGTGGTCTTCCCGTTACAATGAGACCATATCACACTTTCTTGAGAGTGCGGGATCCTGTGGAGATAGAGATGGTTTAACTAATCACATAATTGTCGCGTTTAGAGTTTCCATCAATAGGAGTTGGTTTTGATCAATTTTAATCAGTGACATCAAAACCCGCAAGTTTGCACCACTCAGCAGTGACATGCTGTTCATTTTTCTGTTGCTCTCCACACTCTCACTGTTTCAGTTTAATTAAACCAACGTCAAGGCCATTTAATCTATTTTTTCCTTTTTCTCGATTTTGGAAACGACCTCCGGCAGATCGATTTTAATCCATGCCTCGACAATTTCGATATATTCGTATCTATTGAAATTTATATAATTGTCAACTCAGGGAGTAGCTCTACTCAGAACAACAAATGCTGATAGGATAGCCAGCCCCCATTCTCACCTCTAAGTCCTCACTCTCGCTTCACACCATTGATATTGTCCTTCAAATGTTGTTTCGTTCCTTTATCCAATCCACAAAATACTTTGTGCTTACAAATTGTGACTAGACTTACATTTCTGAACTGACAATTGTAGTTAGAAAAATGTGCACCCTTTTTAGATAGTGGAAGGGGCACCCACATCACAGAAATACCGAACGTCAGCCTTTCCCGTACAAACTATTTTCTTTTTGAGAACTACTAATCAACTGGTTTGTATTATGTAAATCCGCTTTCGTAGCCACAAGGTCTTTATCAAAAAACGCTGTGATGTAATCGCTTGCGGAAAGCATTATTACATTTGTTTTCTAAAACCTCCTTGAAAAAGAAAGAAAGAAAATGTAAGAAAGTCAGATTCAAATACTAATACGAAGAGCAGCGTGTTCATGATACTTTCACAAAATCACTTAAACTTTCACCTGTACCAATGGTTTTAGTGATCAGATGCGACCACGCAAGGAGAAAGGCCGAAAAAATAGTTTGCGTACAAAAAGGTTCATATGTTGATAGATTAATAATTTCTTTACAAACTCATGTGTCTACAATGTCGGACATTCTCTTAATTTTATGGGTAGTTGCAATTTTCACCCACGCCATACCTTGAATTATACAAATTTATTGCTATCGAGGTTAAAAAAAAAAGGAAGAAAAAACTAGGTAAGGGATGTGCTTTTGTATTTGGCCCAAAACCTTGGCATAAAATTAGTAGCGTTGCATTCATTACAGTTGACAAAATAAACACCAAACCACCAACAAACAGGTGTTAAACATAGGACAACATGTATTTTTACTAATTCTTTTAACAATATATATTGTTAGACAAATTTGTAAATATTGTAATAAATTTAAGCTATTTACTACATGAATAGTGTTTGGCAACTGATCATATGAATTTCGTTTATATTGTATAGTCAACTCGAGTAGAATTTATAGTTACTGCTATTATTAGTTGCATTAATAATATTTGTTAGGCTAAAAAGTTTACATTTCAACTAATTTTGTAGTAAAATCACAAAATAATAGGTACATTCGTGCCCAGTGGTTGGAAAGTATAGTTCTATTCACAAATTGTTTTTAATTGTGTTGTAACCATTCAATATGTTTTGACTAACAAATTAAAAATAGTTTGGGATTAGAACTTAATGGTTAACTTCGAACCTTTCCAATCGGTGACATACTAACTCAACCTCAATTATTTCTATTCGTACTTAGTTTCAATGGTAGCCATCCTGTAGCTGAACAAAATATTGCTTAATTAATTATTCGTTGATGAGATTCGATAAATCAGTCGAGTAAAAGCTGAATGAGAAAACTATACGAGAAATTCCAAAGCGACGTAACAATACGAATCATCTATGAAAGCTTTCACCGACAAAAAATTAACTCACCAAAACCACGTATCTACGTAGGAATGGAATTTTTATCCCGTAATTACAGGGGTAGTATCACTACGTGTGTGTCTGATTATAGATTTTTTTTTATTACTAACTATTACTAAATGAAATCTGACACTTTTACAATATTGAGGAATATAACAAATACTCGTATACCGCACAACAAAGACTGTTAGCTATAACAAATAATGTTAATAGCCACTGTAGCACTATTTCATATCGTCTTCCTTAAAAATTGTTATGAATAAGAAAATAGACGAAACTGAGATGATGACATAATATAAAAACCTTTGGATGATATTAAAAGGTATCAATGTATATCTACATTGAACTTTTTATTTGCTGGTCTTTATGTCTTCTTAATATCACCAAAAGGTATTTCCGTACAAAACATTTAAATATGAAGGAAGAATAATAATAATAACAATAACAAACTGAAGCAAGTCTAAGCCTCTAACATGAAGTGAATGAATACTTTGGTGAATTTATATTTGAATTAAAATTTGAAATTACATAGACATAATTTGCCCACTGTTGTGATCACGTTCGACAAATCGGTCGTCATTTGAAATTTTGGGACATTGGTAGGTATCATAAATTGTGTCTAACACACAAACACTTCTTCATTTAAGAGCATTTTTCTTTATATATCAATATCCTACGGCAGGCTTCGGGACGATCAAAGGGGAAACGCGTTTCTCGCCGGTTGTACGTACTGACTTGTCATTATTGATTCATAAGTTTGGATCAACAGATCAATTTTGATTAATAGAAAGGATTTTAAAACCCATTTCTAACGATAACGGACAAACGAAGTCTATGCAATAAACAATTAACATTTTATGTTATATTATGCCACCTCTATAAAATCCACTATTCTTTTTCTTTTTAATTGGCCAATGACTAGTAACGATCTACATACTTGCTATATGCAATAGTCATGAGAGCTATTTGCGAACAATGATTCCCTTTGGAAAGTTCGTTAGTGATCATGTTATAAAATAAATAATGTATCAATATTAACTAAACCGTTAAGCAATTAATGCGGTTGTAACACGCCTAATTAACCTAACAGAAACATAGATATTTATCTACATATTTATTTATTATAAATTTTCAATCTTAAAACCGACCCTCATTAAGTCTTCTAGAATTGAAGTCTTTAATCTGCCTTGTTAATCGTTTATAATTTAAAAATCTATACCTCCTTTGTCAAAAAGATTCCATACAACGAGAATAACATATTATTTTTATGCTGAACCGGCATAGGGTCACTTATTGCGTTTATTGCTCGACGAAGAAACGGGCAGAGCCCCGAAGTACATTTTTTAAATAAAGATTATTTGCATTTTCTTGTTAATCTACTGAAAACAGTTGAATGTCTTCATTTATATAATCTACATTTTGAAAATATTTCTATCGGTATTAGAGGATAAAGTAGCCTGGCAAGATAATCCGTGTCACTGGTGTTAATAGTAAGCATGGTAAATATTTCGTTCCAAGAAGCAAATAAATGCCATTGCTATATATTTACTTCTTTTTATTCTACTAGTTATATATAACACTACATATATTTCCTGAGAGGAAACGTGGAAAAGAAAATAGGGTATTTTTTCTTTAGGTATTTGTAAACAGAAGGGTCGATCACAGGAATTGTTTTCTTCTCTTAAACAAACAGTATGCAAATTTCTTGCATTAATAACTACAAAATATTGCCACTTTTCACATATTTTTGTTAAGTGGAAAATGTAATCGTTGTAAAACAGGTACAGTATTATAATGATTTTAATATTGTAAAACAAGAATATTTTGTAAGAAAAAGTGTTTGGTTTTTCGGAAAAAATGCATGAATAGAGCATAAACGTTGCTGAAACATTGCAAAATAAATAAGATGAACCTAAATTAATAATAAGACCTAAATAATAAGTAGTTATTTTAATAATTGGATGGATTTCTCAACAAATATTTATTTAGACTAAACCATGTGTAGTTGTCCATGAATACCATTTTAAGAAATTATATTCCCTTAAATATATGTAGTTGGAATTTTGAAAAGTACTGTACAGTTTCCATTAACCGTATCTAAGTGGTGTGTTTATCCCAACGCAAGGCTTGCTATTACTAGTTCCAGCAACATCATGATTGCTGTACAACAATTAAAGACTCATCAGTGTTTAACAACCTGCAACGTGTCATTTTTTGTCTTTAAATTAAAACAGACTTTTATGAACACTTTATACAGTATAATTTCATGAAATTTGTTAAATCCACTATTTTTCTTTATACTAACTAGTAAAAACGTATTTTAGAAATTCTATATTCGATTCAAATTTAAATCACGTGTTGTCCATAGCGAAGTAGTTTACTTTTAAAAGGAACAGGAAAATAAAAAAGTTTTAATATATTATCATAAACAACAATCAAGAGTGAAGAAATTTATATGGGAATTAATGCATAAATATCGTTTCGCAAGTAACATGAAGACTTTCCCTTGAAAATCCCACGGCTGTGAAGTTCTTAATCTTAAGTCTTACTGAGTTTTAGTAGACGAACTTTTTCCGATGAGGATAGGGCAACGTTACAACAGACATTAGACCTTGGCTGGAGGTATTGATAACGGAGAATCCTTCATCAGTTATTAATCCTTATTAACCATAATATAAAATAATAAGGTCAATTCTATACTACACTTAACACGATTGCACTTCGATTAGTATCATGCCATTGTACATAGTATTTACACCTCAAAATGTTATTTGAAGAACGTTGTTTCTTTCTTAAAATAAACATGCATTTCAATACACGACAATATAAGATTTTCTACATCAACCTGCAAATCTTTTATCGGTACTATATACAGATAACCCAGCGTTGCATAAACCGTACAAGTTAAATCGGAAAAAATAATGAATATTTTTACCTGATTTGATAACTTAAGAGTGTGAAGAGCACTACTGAAAAAATGTGTCGTCCTTTACTGTAGTATATAAAGCAGTCGTCACGGGCCGAAGGTTTCACTCCAAGTGAATGACTCCCTTCCTCCTCTTCTTCCCCTGCTGCTCTCCACTTCTTGGTCCTGCTTTCTCTTTCCTCGGGAGTCCTGTTACGTCGTAAGAGCGGTCTAAAATCCTGTAAATCCCCTACTCGAAGGACTCCAGAATAACCGCAACTTTTCTTTTAGCCTTTAGAGGAGGATAGGCTTATTTTTACTGGTTTTCTTTTTCAAGAAATTCATGGATGAGGATTACAGAATGTATAATAAAAACCATTATTAATCCCGACAATTAGAAGAATTGAAGATTAGAAACTGACAATTGAACATTCAACTCAAGGAAGAGTCAAATTCTTTCATGACGTAAATAAGCACTTATTATGTAAGCAATGTCACTCATTATTGAACACATTAATCAAAGGAGTACTTATATTAGTAAAACTTCGATCATGTTAAATTCGGGCTAGTGGATTTCATTTTTTATTCGTTTTAGTTGAGACCTCTTCTTTCTTGTCAGCGCGTTAAAATTAATAAATATAATAAAATATTTAAAAGATGAAAATGGGATGAAAAAACGATGTAATGTAATAATCTTATTATTATAAAATTATTATTATAATTCCAATTCTAATTGTGAAGGATAACTTTGTTTATGTAATAAACTTTGTTTAAACTTTAAAAAAAATAGTAATGTAATTTGTTAATAATTATTACGACAATATTGTTTTATTGTACTCAGTGTATGTTTATTTTAATAGTCTTTTTTAGATTTATTTTAGGATTTTTGCCCTACATACTGCATAAAATCGACTTACGACCCTTTGGCCGGTAAGGAAGTAATCGTTGAATCAAATTTACTTACATTGTATGTATTATAAATGTCACAAATTCAGATGACGCAATCCAAGTAGCAATAAGAAAACAATAAGCAATAACAAACAAAGATTTGTAACATCAAATGTTTATAGCTTGAAATCAAAATTTATCACAGAAATCAAGGATATCACTTTTTTTTGTCTCCAACCTCTCTTGGGGGTCATTATCGGCACCTAAAAATTTCCTATTAAACAATTTGAAGGGTTGGCATAAAAAACTGAGACAAAACCTCATCATGTGATTAACAGGGAATTTTTCATGGCCGAACAATAGAAGAAAAGATTATGGCAAACTTTGTTTTATTTACATCTAATTGTGATTGAGTTTGAAAAACCAATTCAGACAGATAAAGACTTTGGAAAGTGAAAATAATTCTATTTTAACAATACTGACATATACTTAATCCTTAAGTCGTTAATCATATGGTATTCCTTAAAAAAGTACTGTTAATGTGGAGGATCATTACTTTGGCAGAATTATTACTAATAAGATTGAAAAATGGCAAAAAGGAGGGAAAACTCAAAAGGTGGGGATGAGATGGGAAGTTGGTGTCCGAGTGGATCGAGGTCACGATAGCTCAAGTGGCAGAGCAGCGGCGTATCTAGCCGTTGATCGTGGGTTCGAATCCTGCTCGTGCCATTGACTTTTTTATCTCAACTAAAAACCTTAATTAATTGTAACTAATAAGATAGTTGCGATTATTTCATTTTTATTCAGTTTTCGATGGATTGCAGGCTGAGAATAGATTTCCTTATTATAAATGGAATCTCATTCTCATGGGATCCCACTGATGGTCTGATATTGTCTGAAGCCTTCGGACTTTGAAAATTGCGTTCTATCCTGGGACTGGGATTTACGAATACCGTTCAAGAGCTGATGCGAAGATCCCATCCACTAAAGTGAAAACTTCGAAGGAAAATATGAAGTCAACGTCGGCATGAGAAAGGTACTTCTTCCAGCACGAAGTAATATTTATGTCTAATTGTAACTCTTAATATAAATGGTTGAAAAGCAAAACTATTGTATCATTTTTTAAAAATTTTAAGGAACACAATATAATACTTACTTACTGGAAATCTTTATAACGGAAGAATATTATGAAAATTATGCCATTATGTCCTCGAACATATTTTCTGGGTCCCAGCAGTTAATATGCTAAATTTGGACGAGTCTCCGGGTAACCTTCTTGCTGTTAAAAAAAGTGCATATACTTTCACTAGATTTGAAAATACTAGCAATTTAAACACAATATTTTCGAAATCTTGAAAGTTCTGTGTTGATGGTCCCGGTGTAATGCGGGGCGCGTCCGGGGACAGAGATTTTAATGGAACTGCAGAGGGTAAACGGCTTCAATAGCGTCAATGAAACCACTCAGGCTATCACAGCAGGAATGAAAATATCTTGCAAACCCCGGTTTTTCAGCTCAGTCATCACCGATACACAAAATTTAGTCCAGCAACTATTTTTCACCCTGAAAGTTAATTCCCCGGGCCAGATGGATGGATTTGTTGATTACAGTGTCTTGGCGTTTAACAGTACAATTTTGATAAATTAATGGAACACTCTGTACCCAGTGGGCGTTGTTGTCAGGCTTTGACGTCTTCCAGGAACGGTTGCCAGGAAAATGAAGGGTGGCAGCTCAACATCAAAAACTTCCTGAACAGAGAAATTATGCGACCCATTAAGGTCGATTCATATATATATACCAACATATAGCGTGTCCAGCACGAACCAGCTAAGACACAAAAAATTGTTACATATATTATCTATATCACCTCTTCAGGAATTGAGCGGAACGTGTGAAGCAACGGCTACTATTATCGTAAAGAATATTTGAACTGTGCTGGCGCGTCGGTACATGCCGCACAAGTTTGTAGAATTGGCACACTTAGTATGAATTAGTTTTTCTGAGCTGGTGGGTGTCTGCATTAGTAACTATTCTGAACTATTAAAAAATCTGTCATCGTTTTCTAGCAGAGTGTGTAGAATTCTCCTTTTTTTTAAATTCCTTAGAGGCACTGCAAATCTTTTTTCCTTTTTTGCTCTACTTCCACACAATCCAATTTCTTTCCTTCTTCTTCCTCTTCAAGTAAAATTGCTACCACTGCTAATTTTTCATCCGAAAAGTTTTTAAACATGCTTAAGCTACACAAGGGGGCGTCGGTGGCCGCAACGGTTTAGGCATTGATAAGGTAAAGGTCCTGGGGTTCGAATCCAGCGGCCCTGTATTCGAATAATATATATAATTATAATAATAATATCGATAATTTAATTTATCGATCCCTCCCCGGACGATAATCTGATTATGTATAAAGTGAAAAGAGCCAGGGAGAGACGATATAGCTCAAGCCAAAAGGGAATCCCTTGAAAAGTAAGTAGAGGTTATCAACTCTCGTACTTCGAATGGGGAGCCTGGATTAGAATTCTGTCGGTTCCGGTACTGAGTTCGGAAGGTGGGAACATTATTAATTCTTCGGATGTCGCTGGAGATTTGGTACGGCATTTTGCAGCCTTCCTATCCCGACCATGGGCGTGAGGCGCTTGTCATTCCTGTCCTTGAAGAGCAGGGACCCGAATCTGACCAGAGTTACAGACAAATATACCTAGTAACCTGCCTGAGCAAACTTCTGAATCTACGATAAACGATAGTTTGACTTAGTGGCTTGAGAAAAAAATGGGTTTACAACTATTATCAGGCGGGATTCTGTAGGCATCATTCTTCAGTCGTTCATGCTATGTGATATTTAGAATACTAGAGAGGACGCTATGGCCGTTGACGTTCTTTGATCTCGTACAACATGAAGATTTGCGATAATTCGGAAATATCGGGACATCGGATTTAGAGGCAAATTACCTCAGTTCTATGAGACTTTCTTGAAGGACCGAATGTTCCGTACTAGACTGGTATCGGTACTTCCAGGGATTTTCTTCAAGAGAATGGCTCTGGGATAAGTGTTATATCGATCGCAGTGAAAGGTATGGCTGACGGTGTCCCCCGAACATTAAGACGATTACTGTGCATCGACGACCTCTGCTTTTTCCTTTGACAAAGTGACCTAGCAGGTGTCGGACGGGTGATGCTGTCAGCGATAAACGTTGTGGCTGGAAGAGCTGAGGAAACCGGATTCGTCTTTTCTGCGTCGAAAACTTTTGCATGCTGAGGAGGGATCACAGTGTTATCGAGTGCACTATCCTCAGCCGATTAAGGGTAGGTCATGCAAAAATGTCGCACAGTCACTTATATTTGTGCCAAAGCCCGAGTATGTGTCCAGCAGTTCGATGTGTCCCACCTAATTCCTTTTCCCCCGGACTTCCATACCCGAGGTTGGAGATTCTCGAGGCCTGCGGTTATTTATTGTAAATAACAAAAGCTGGAATTGCCGGTGGACTGCGAGAGTGGTAGGCTCAACCTCGTATATGTGTCCGTATCTACACACGAACGGATTTGAGCTTGTATAAATCCAAAATATTCAAGAGATAGAGAGCAAAAATTCCATTTTGGACAGAATATTACTAAAGTGCTTGTTTTACCACATTGGAATATTTCTAATATATAATTTTAATTTATCCTTCCGATAAAAATAGGTTTCCATTTTGGTATGGTTATTCTAGCTTCCCTTTCAGGATCGGACAATGTTATCTGCAATGTTCAATTATTACAGTACTGGCGTATTACTGTGAGTTTACGTGCACAAAAACTTCTTTATGTTTCATCACATGCCCTCCCATCTCCTTTCCAGTACGTTTGACATTACCGTCACTGTTGTGAAATTAGCCCGGATTTCGACCTGGTCGGGACCACCAGACCGCAAGATATACGTGAATTACTATTACGTGCCAATGTACATAAAATTAACCTAGTTCTCTGTTAGGGATTTTTTAGATTAAAAAATAAAAATAGACAAACAAAAAAGTATATAATGCAACATTTCTCTCTCTCCCCATCCCCTTCTTTATTTCTCTTTCTCTCTCTTTTAATGGTTGTTCTAATTCAGAAGCTAATTTCGGTCGTTATACTATGATCGCGTTAGCCAACATGATTAATTGAATGAGGAGATAGTTATTCTCAAATTAATTCTAAAAATTATCAAATTATCATGTTTATCAAGATTGAACAAGGTTAGGGATGGAAAAAAAACAAACATGGTTCGTACACATGGAGGCAAAAAAACGTTTTTAACGTCATTTTACTTACATTTTTAGTTAATATTTTTTGTCCTTCTATGATATCCTGCCATAGTAATTTTAAAAGAACAACAGACTCCCCAGCCGCCAGGACCCCAATTAATTATTAATTAGAATTGTATATTAAGCAAATGCTAATTTCTTGTATTATCCTTACTATAATTATTTAGCACAACAAGATCCCGATTTTAGCAATTAAAATTAATAGTTAAATGACTGTAGCTTTCTAATATGGGATCTCCCTTAGGAACGGGGGAGATGTGGGTGGGCATAAATTTAATGGAGACTTCCGATGCTAAAAATCTTTCTTTTTTTTATTTACTTTACTACTGCATACAAAATGCAACAAGCACAAAATGTTACGGTCAAAAAATTACGGCTGCTTGGAAAAATATTTATAGGTGTAGCCTATGAGAAACAATATAGTAAAGATTTACCTGTAGAAAAACATGATCAAAAATTGGATATTGTAATCACTTAGATGTGTGTTAGATGTGGAGGTGGATTTCTCAAAAAAGTGGATAGAAAGGATGTAGATCTCTACTTTTCCCGGGATTATTAAATAAACTGAGTCAAACCACATTTTTAGCTCAATTGAATTTTTAGTCTGTCGGGAAAGAAAATGTCGAGCTGAGATATAGATAATGCCCAATCATGTATAGGCGTCGTCCATTTTTCCTCCACCTTTCTTATAGCACAATATACCAGCTTGTACAGCGAGCATGGGGAAAATAGAAGTTGAAATCCCTGCTAGAGATAATAAGCCAAAAAGAATCGCATGTTTAGAGATTAGGTTTGGAAAGTTTGTAATGAATCCATCTCAAAGGAACATAAGGTACAAAACTGAAGAATTATCTAACCTACCCCTTTATGCAATCTATGTTGTTGAAAAAGACTCTTCTTTGAAACAAGTCTGCTAGAGTGAACGCTTTTAACAAATCTTCCGGTCAATACTTTTGATGAAGCTGTTGAAAAGATTAGTTGGTATTGTCTTAGATAAAAAATAAAGATATTTCATAAAATTTTAATATATGGACTTAAAGTTGAGGAATGTAGATTTGGAACAGCAGAAAGGTTAATGCGATATTTAACAGTTATGAGTAATATTGCCTGGAGAATTTTCTTTATTACATCAATTGCAAGAACTGATCCAACAGCTACCTTATTAGCTGAAGAAGAATGGAAAGGTTTATATGTTAAACAGCACAAAAAACAATGACTAAATGTAACTCCTACTACAAAAGAAGCTGTTTCATGGATCGCTCAACTTGGAGGTCATTTAGCCAGAAAAAGTGATCCAGAACCAAGTCCCATTACTCTTTGGAAGGGGTGGAGACGTCTCTTTGATTTAGCAGAAGGATGGAGACTTGCTACTGAACTTCATATTTGTGGGTAATAGTAAGGTTTTGAAGAGGTTATCAGGACTATGCAGCAAGTTAACTTATCAAATTTGCTAGGAAGATGGCAAGTAGTAACGCAGATTATGTTTTTGTTACCATTAGGAACGTTTTCAATTACATCATTAATATCTACGACATGTATAATCAGGTACTGAATGTCAATGGTAAAGAGTCGGACTATCATGGATTTTTGTCAGGGTTTTTGATGAACTTTAGGTATCGTCACAGCTGGCATTTATCTTGAATTATTTTGGGAGGTGGATATAAAGATATTACTTTCCTTATATGTAGAGTGGATATGCTAAGGGATTCTGTTCCTATTATAATCGAGCTCAAAGCTGGAGGAGAGGGTGCTGATCAAGCATTGGAACAAGCTGGAAATTACGTCATAAGATGTCCTGTCTCATCTATATCACTCATACTTCATCAGGTAGTGCTGTCTGTGTTGGATTAAATTTTGATTTAGATGAGGATCAGCGGCTTAGCACTCAAGACTTTCTGGAGAAAGGGTCTTCTTTATTGGAAAAGCTATTTAATGGCTCATTAGACGAGATTAGAGAGAACATTAGAAATTATTTACTAAATTCATCTTTTGGTGTACCTGCCTGCCATGCCTGTCGTAAGAGGTACTAATAGCAGAGTGTTTTCTTATACAGCTGGATTTACTTTTGCAAGTGTTGCGTTTGCAAAAAGAAGAATTGAGTTGGAGGATGGAAGTGAAGTATATGTAGATAAGCACTTGTTTAAATACCATGATGATGATAGGATGCAAGGTCTACATGGAGGAGTCTCACAAATAAACATTGGGGATCGTGCCTTAACTATGGTTTTACGGGTAGGAGAAGAAAGGATTATAGTATTTGATATTCGCCATGTAATAGCTCACCAATTTCCTGCGCAAGGCCTAGCCTAGCATAAGGCATTATTTCAAGCAATTTCAAATGTGCTATTCACTTTAAAGTGGGTAGTGATTAGAAATAATGCCTGAGAGGTTGGGTTTCACTCTGGGTTGTTTTATACTAATAATCCAGCTAGAATAATTATAGAATTCCAGTTGGGAGGAGGAGAGAAGATAGATTTGGTGTTGTTACGGTCAGTAGAAAGTGAAGGTGATGTTCATCCAATTGGAATAGAGTTGAAGTTTGCTGGTATGGGTGAACTAAATGATAGAAAACAAGAGGCAAATAATCAGTTAGATAGTTATTTCAAATGTGGAGGTTATAAGCGTATACCGATGGAGACACAGTAATTTTATTGTACATTATATGGAATGATCGTGCGCAGAGGCCAGATACTCTTATATCTTTTAAGGATGTTCTTCGTATAAAGGTCAACTTAGGACACAGTTCTGCAGATGATCTTACTGGCAGATGAGGGTTATTGAGAATTTACATATCAAATTAAGTATATAACAGATTGTAGTGGTAAAATGTATATGATAGCAGGTTCAAAGTCATATGAAGCTGCAGTAGGAGAACACAACTCTCTAAAAAATATGAAAGTTAGAAAAATTATACTTGCATTGGCTTTTATTCATGCTAATTGTTGTACATAATGTATTTATAGATTGAGGGAGTATGGCGTTAGAATATATTTTAAAGAATGATTAGGTTTGTGCAAATGGTCGGTTAGCTACTGAAGAACAGCATAAGGAACGTTTTGGTCAGCACAGCATTGAAGGTAATGTATCATCGTTTTCACTCAGATGTTGGGAGGTGTCTTGGGATGCGGTTTGGGTGTCCATCGCGTGGTGGTGCCATGGGTGGCGTGGGGTATATGCCCCTGGGATCCTTGGGTCATTGTGGGGCCCCAGATCGGGGAGGTGTGTGCACAGCCCCACACACGTGCACACACCTCTGAATGATCTGTCCTAAATAGGGTCTGGTATGAAGAGGTGTCCTGGGGGGGCGCGTGATACTGCCAGGGCCCTGGTTTCCACTGTCGAGGGGTTCCTGGGCTGTGGCCCACTCACCTCCCAGCCGGAAAGCTTTTAAGGCGGAAAATGACCCAAAGCTGTTGATCGCCTTATATTTTTAAAAAAATTAATAAAAATAAAATAAAATAAATAAATTTAAAAAATAAAATGAAATGATGGTGTTTGGTTGTGTTAGTGTGGCATTTGTGAAATTAAAGTTGTTTTTGATGTGAGTAGGAAATACCTTGTTTTGTCTGCATGATCTCTAAATATTCATTTTAATTACAACTTGTATTAACATTAACACTTGTTTTATAAATTTAAACCTGCTCTCGTTATTAGCAAATTCATATATTACATTATTAAACTTCAGTAATAGGTTTGTTTGGACAGATCATACCACCTTTGATCAGTGTGAAGGGATTATTTGTGGAAAACTGGTAACAAGTATATTAGTGTTGGGATATCCTAAATTTTGTGGAACCCTGATTCACACAACAATAATGCAGAAAATAGGAATTTCATTAATTTTTTAGTACAATTTATAAAAAATATGTTTGTACTATTTTTTTAATAACTAACAAATGTTCAGTTATTAAAGCTTTGTAGTAATAACATATATTTTCCAAAAAAAAAATAAATAAATAAAATAAATAAATAAAAATAAAAAGATTGTTTTATACTTCAGTAAGTCATTTGTTTACACTTTCAACAAGATAATTTTCTATGTGTTCAATCAATTTTTCACAGATATCTTTGTTTCTGAATTTATTCAACTGCCACTTTCTCCTAAGTAGGACAGCATCAATTTTTCCTATACTTTTCAGGCACTCTAAAAAGAAGTTGATTAATTGAATTACTGTAGGTGAATAATAGAGATGAAAATACCTAGCACAGATTCTCTGAAAGAAGCTTGTTGATCATCCAAGTGAATTAAGAGTGTAGAATAAACAAATTCTAGAAGCCCTTTGTTTATGTAGTTGCATTGTTCTTCTTTCTTAATATGGTCTTCATAAAGCTTCTGTATGCTTTGCAGAGCTAGTAATCTGACAGACTTATCCGAGTCTTCCATTCTTTTGATTGTATCTGGCCAACATATGTGATATCTCAACTTATTTTTAAATTACTATTATTATTTTGATACTGACTTGTGATAATATTATAAAATTGATCAGTTTGATGTGCCTCATTGGTGTTGGAAAGAAGTTGGATACAATTCAGAGAAAGTATGCGTGTTTTTGGAGAAGCATCCTCAACTAGCGATATAACAAGTGGTAGCAAAGTGTCATAATCAACTTCTTTGACCTCGGGCAACTTAAGTTCTTTGTACATCATCTCTAAAATAAAAATAATTAACATTACATATAAGATAATTAATTGTCAATTAAAATATTTCTCATAGACTGGTTTTTACCTGTTTCTTTGTCTAAAATCTCCTTGGGTTGTTTAAGAGATGACTTAATGTCATTAATTTCAGAAATGGAATTGCATTTTGATATCACCTTCAGTAAACACATATACAAGCATGTGCAAGCAACAGTTCTTATAGCCTCAGCACTTCTTCCAGGGTGCCATTTCAAATGAGGTACAATAATATCTAAAGAAAAAGAAAAACTTAATTACCATCTAATGATATGAAAAATAAATGAAAAATAAACCTTTTAGTAATGTTTTAATAAAGAATAAAACAGACTGTTCTGATGGTAAAGTCTTTTCATTATTTGAAAGCAAGTTGTTGATTGCCATTGTCACTTTCAAAATTACTTCCGGGTCATTTTCATAGGCCATAGCTTCTTGAAGTATAGATATGAACAATTGCAGATTGGGTTCTATGATTTCTCCTAAAATTAATTTTACAAGTAATAAGCGAGTAGCATTACTTTTTTGGTGTAAAATAGTAATATATTAATAATAATAATAAAAGTCCTTATTAACAAATAAAATAGAATATACAATTATTTTTTATTCTGTACACTAGACATACCCATAGCCGTTGAGGCCATCTGAGCGATTGTTTTAAAACAAAAAAGAAAAACAATCATCTTGATAGAAATAAAGGAAAATAAAAATAATAATGCAATGCAAATACAATAAAATTAGAATCAACTACCAAAAAATTAAATTTTGCTACATACATAGACAGCTCTAAGTACACAAAACATTAATCTAAAATTACATTGGAGACATTTGAATAAAATAGCCATTAACAAATACTTATTTAGGTATAGGGTACACATTTTAGAAGTTAAATTTAATTACTAAATTGTATCTGTGCCGGGCACTCTTACAGTATTTAACTAAACACCCAGAGTTCCTTCCTTTTAAATACTCAATAAAATACACAAATGTCAATATTTATTAATTAAAATAAATTTTTTACTACTTTATTAAAATAAAGTAACTGGTACTCAGTTAGGACAGGGCACAAAGCAACAAAATGATAAACATCTCCATCCTCCCCATAGTTACACAATGGGCACATTTTTACTTAATCAAAACAATATTTATTTAAGTAGAGTAACACATCTCATCTTTATTAACCAACTTTTATTTATTTTGGACCTTACATATTAGCTCACACTAAACAAATGTTTATAGAGAGGATGAACGAGTACTGTTTTCAGCTTTTAGTCTATCATCAATAAACATCAAATTTTTAATTTTATCCTGCAATATATCCAATGTTCAAATTACACTTCTCATAGAGTTTATTTATATCATTAGTAATTATAATACGATCACTAAAACAACTTTCTATTGATTATTTCACATAAAACCATTTCAGGATATCTACAAAGTGACAAGCTTAGACATGTATTTATATAGCAAAATTTAACTGTGAATTTTAATGTGAACAAAAATATTGGGAAAAGTCTAGATTCTAGATAAATTTTATAATCAGGTGTTTTGTAGGCAAACCAAAACATTTCTTTATCAAATGTTTGAAAGTTATTATCACACTTTCATAGCTTCATGATTTATACTTTCATAGACTCATGATACACTGTTAAAGTATAAAATAATATGTGTATGCAAAACAATATATGTCCTATCACACAGGAGGGCCTGATGTCCAATTAGCTGTTGGATGTCAGGATCAAAGGTCAGAACCACTTTGCGATACATTATTTTAAATCAGACTCAATTAAAATTTCGTGAGCTATCCAGGATATGAACACAAAACCACTAGATGATGAACCATGATAAATACAAGAGTTGGATGACAACCATTTGGCCACCATGGGATCCCCCATAATAAAACTATCCAAATAAGGAAAAGGAGTATGAATTACTAAAATATTACTGTTAAACCAGCCATTTCAGCTGTGAAATGCTTCTATTGATTTCTATCACTATTTGTTTTTCTCAAACATGACTTGCTTTCAAAGGAAAAGAAGAAAAGAGATAGAAAAAGGGACGAAAATAACTAATAATAACTACTGGTTACAACCCTAAAACTGCTTGCAACTAATTTGAATAACAAATATGTTCTAATACTACCTGATTAACATATCATCAATGTAACAAATTAAAATAGCGTTTTGTATATTTGTTAATAGAGGCTTGGTAACCATGATTTTGGCACATCCAAATCATGTGTCTCTTGAATTGAGTGTTGTTTTAATATCATGTTATATTAAATATTATAGTTCCATTGTATTTGAATTGAAATTGGACAAAAAGCCCTTTCAATAAATTTTGCTCTCCATTTAACAATTATGCTAATCATAAGAGCATAAATAATATAATATTGAAGTATACCTCCATTTTCAATTATGCTTGCCAAAATAAACTGCTGATGACAATGAGCTGTCCAGAGGGTATCTTGTAATGATTGAAGAAGAGTGGAACAATGTGAATTGAACACCTTTTTTCTATCTCCTCCTCCAAATTCAACAAACTTGTCAAGAAGTTCTGAACAAAGTTAACAAAATCGCAATATTAATATTGTAAATGGCATAAAAATACACATAAGGTTAACGTGCCTAATGATTTTTTACGAATTTCCAATTTATCAGTGAGGCCTGCTATGCTGATTAATGCAGCCCAAATTTTATCCCCAATATCCAATGAACTATCAGCACATGTAGAGAATACAGCTGATATCAAATCCAATATTGCAAGGTGTTCTTTTTCCTAAAATTCATAGGTTTAATAAAAAATCAACTAGTGATTTCATAGAGACAAAACCTCAAAAGATGTATTGTTCAATAGACTAGTGACATCGGGCAAGTAGAGCCTCAAATCTTCACTTTTTGACCCTTTAACAAGCCCAGTGACAATTTTCAATTCTCCTGCATTTGCTTCTTTCAAGTGTGAGACGATTAAAGAGCAGTACACTTTTGGGGGCACAAAGTAACCCATATACTGAGCAGCAAGCACCACCTAAAAGAAAATTAAAATCCATAACTGGCTGAAATTATAACATAAAATGCCTAGGCTTTCTTCTTTCATTTCTTTGATTTTGAAAATTTGGTGGTTAACATATTGTCTGTGAAATCTTATGCCAAAAGCCTTTTTTATTTTAAATCTTAATTCAAATTAGACTTCACACTAAGCTGTGAGAATCGCCTGTTCCGACTCCAGCGGAGGAAGTTTTGTAGTAGACATCTTGTCCATCCTGCCCATTGAAGCTATACTGAGTACAATTTAGATATACACTCAAAGATAAAAATAAAAAAATGGACCCTAAATAAAAAATAAAAATATTAATAAAAAATAAATAATTTGATTATGATGGTTTAAAAGAAAATTCACACAAACACCAGAAAGTCATTTAGAGGAGTTTTAAGGGTATTTTGTCTTTGAGCACATGGTACAACTTGTAGCATACCATATCAGGATCAGGCACCAATACTTTTAGCTTTACATAAAACTAACTTTAACTTTGATAAATCAAGTTTGCTTCTAGCATAGGATCTAAAAATGTGGGCTCTGCACCTAATTCTATATTTGGTAGATACATAAAGTATTCTTTCCCATTTTCGGATCAATTTATGCATTGAACATGAATTTATTACTGAAAAGATTTATTGTTAATTTTTTAAAGAATAGAAAATGAACTATAGGCAGAATGTGTGCAGGAAAGTGGAATCCGCAAGGATCGATACTCTCTGTAACACTTTTTGGAATAGCCATAAATAACATTGCAGACAACTCATAAGCACAGATATACAAATCATTATATGTAGAATGCACCTTGCTAAGAACCCGTACAAGGCGGGTTTAGATATCCATATTAAGGGGACACTGGCCTCGAGGTGAGAGATAATTGTGTGAAGAAAGAAGAAACCCATCATATGTATATAAAGCAAAAGTCCTATCAAAGAAGAATACGGTCAATCAACATTTATATAGATGGTGCGAGGGGCAGTGACAGGGTTGGCAGCATGGTATATTGGGAGGGGCACACCAAAAAAAATTTCCCTCTCAAGGGCTGCAAGTAAGTACAAGTATAAAAGAGGCGGCCACCATGCCTTCTGCACCTCTACCTGAGCAGATTATTGTGTTCCCCTGTTTTTTAAAGCACTGGCCAGCTTGAGGTTGTTGATCAACCTCCATAGCCATGCCAGTATCTCCTTAGTGTAGGATCTTGCTTGTGGTTTTTCTGTCTTAGTTGCAAGAACCTGCACATAGACCTTCACAGAAACACAAAATGTGTTCTTCTGTCTCCTTCTCTTCCTGGCAGTATCTGCAGAGTGTTTCTTCTGTCTGTGCTCTATCCAGTGCTTTCTTATGTGGCAGTGCCTCACCAAGAGTCCAACCAGAATCCTAGTTCGGTTGCGGTTGCCTTCCAGTAATTCCTTCACAAAAAGTAAGTTTTGCGGATGGCCCTTCTACGAAACTATTCGTGGGCCTCATACCTGTGGTATGGTTCCACCATGTTTTCCATTAAGGATCCATTCTAAGATGTATCCTCTCTCTTTTGTGGCAAGATGTTGAGGCACACTAGGGTTCAGGACCTACCGTGTCCATGTTGTCTCCCTCTTTGGCCAACATGTCAACCTTTTCGTTGCCTCTATGCCCCGAATGCCCAGAGACCCATGCCAGGTCATGGGGTATGGGCCTACTCAGGCTTTTAACCCCTCGGGTCCTGGTCGCCCGCCCTGTGTAATATATATGCCAGGTCAAGTCATTAGCGTCGCTGACTTCCACAGGTCCTCCATGCAGTTCCAAACACTTTGCCTTCACTTCACATGAGGCTAGGGCCTTTAGTGCTGCCTGAATGTCAGAGAAGAATGAGAATATATACCTAGCCTTTTTAAGCACATTGTTCAATCACTATGATTATAGACTGGAAAACAGTGTTAAAACCTATGTCTTAAGAGCAATGTTATATATANTATCGTGAGATGCGGTCAGGTGTGATGTAGGTTTCAGAAAAACATTTTCTTTATCGTGCCTGAAACCTACATCACACCCGACCGTATCTCACGATATCTGAATAACTATCGATTAACAGTCACTAATCTCTACACATTATAAATATACTTGCCTCAACACATTATCTCACAAAGATTCATTTACTCATTTTTAGATACCAAGGGAGGAGTGAAACTTATAAAAACATATATTTCCGTCTGATGTAGAGAATATATAATATAACAATTTTTTAATTTCTTAACAAATGTAAAGACAAACGTGTGGTGTTTAGTGACTGTTAGTTAATGATTATTTGGAGATCGTGAGATGCGATCTGGTGTGTTTTAATAATAAAAAACAAACGTTTTCTTTATCATGCTGAGATCATCTTCAGGGCCTGAGATTTATAAACATTGCTTAAATTATACAAATACATGTAGGATGTACTTGTATTGTGTATGACACCCAATAATGACACATCTACACAGAAAACAAACACTGAGTGAGTAAAAATACTTTGAATATAAAATTTCTAACATTGTATAAATTCACTTTTTTACATCTTACATGTATTTGTATAATTTAAGCAATGTTTATAAATCTCAGGCCCTGAAGATGATTCTCAATTAAGATCGAAACGTTGGGACGATAAAGAAAATGTTTTTCTAAACCTATGTCACACCAGACTGCATTTCAAGATCTCCAAATAATTTCTTAACATTGGTGAACATGGTCATTAATCACAAGCCCTGAACATAAGCACCATTGTGAGTGCTGAGGAACTTTGAAGTGTGTGAGTGCACTGGAGTTAAAATATATTAGACTCACATTCTCCATAACTTTCGGAGTTTCATAATCCATTGCGGCTTTGCACATTCCATTAAGAATTTTATGCAGAGATTGGGTAATGGAAGTCTCTGCATGAATAGCATACTGGAAAAGAAGCACTGAACTCATCAACCTTACTCTTTCATTCCAATCGCTCAATTCATGCACTAAAGCCAGAAGAAATTTACTGCCCTCCTGTTCGACTATGATCCTGCAGCCAAGACCCGGTCGTTTCACTGAAGCACCCAGGCAAAAAGAAATTAAGATATATCAAGACAAGCTAATTAAAAATGATTTATAAAACTTTCAATTACCTCCTTTAGGATAATGTTCTAAATATTCATTTTCATAATCAATCCTATCTTTGTAGTCTTTTTCATTTTCTTGGAGATATTGTTTACCTGCTTTCTCCCAAAGACTTTTTGCCTCGGTTCTAATCTCCTGGCTCTCATCACTCAAACTATTAAAAACTGAGTAGAGTAATTTTCCTATCAAAATTTATTATACTCAAAATACTTACCTTGTTAGTATAACAGGAAGGAAGTGAGAAAAGAAGGAATACCTATCAAAGAGATCCACCATCCAATGCCCAACAAGTCGTGTTACTGCCATTCTCACATGCTCAATATTATCAAACAGGCACCTTGTGACTGGGTTTATTATGTCAGGCACACATTTATTATCACCTTTCAGCATCAAGATTTCTTGAAGAGAGAAAAATGTTAAAACTAATATATAACACAAACATTGTAGAATGAATGATTAAAATGAAGTGTCTGAATAAAATCTACTAATGTTTAAATTTAGAAACTTTTAGGGATAAGAAAGAACAAGCATGAACATGTAATTTTTGATTATCTCAATCTGCCTAACTAAAGGTGCATTTACATCTGCATACTGCACGATATTTACGTCAAACAGAAATCGTGGCTAATGTAAACAGTGGAAAAATTTATGTCAGAGATATATATTTCAACTGCTAGCTATTCGTATCAACACTTCTATACTGATAGATTTAAACACAGGTTAGTTGCAAGTTCAACCTTGTCGTAAAAGTTGGCCTTTCATCTAATTTTCTGCCATTGCAATAAGTGTCGTGCAAAAAGGGTGGTTCTAATATAAAATTGAAAAAAAAAAAAAATTAAAATACAATTTTTATTTAATTGTAGTCCCTATTAACCAGATGCTAAAAATTGCAAAGCTACAGAAAGTCATTCTATTACACTATCTTTTTTGAATACGGTATCTAGCTTTGATACAAGGGGACCAAATTTACAAGTGTTTTTTTTTTAATCAACAGGTTTTATTCTTCAAAAATTCAAAAACTGAACTGGATCCTCAATACAGAGTTCAGACATTATTTGATTGTAGGCACCGACTTTTTTGTCTCAAAACCCACTCTCGAACTCTCGAACACACACAAAAACATTTTTTTTTCGTCCTTTTCATATTTAGAACAATTAACAGGCTGCAATTTTGCGTTTAGATGCTTTCATTATGTCAAGATAAAACTGTGTGCAGAATGAAAGAGATTATATAATAAGACACAAGTGTACACAAACATCTATCTTGTATGTAAATGGGTCGTACATTTATTTCGTTTCACATTTTGAGAACTGTCCTATACATATCTATGACATAAATTTCTAATAATTTCTATTAGTATGTAAACAGTCAAAGCGATTTTCTGTCAGACCCTCTACATACATTCCCGGGCAAAAGTGTCAGATGTAAACTTACTTTAAGAGAGATAGTAGCTTGTTTGTTATGCTTGTCCAACAACGCAAACTCAATATTGAATATGCGAAAATCCCTAAACACATCTGGCAAATCAAAACTGTGATGATGGACACACAAGTCTGTATGTCTTAATTACATTATACACTATAAATCATTAATTGTTTGTTGATTATTGAGCAATGTGCGTTTTTTTTTTTTTTTTTTGACTTTTTTGTTTGACTGCTCCTCACGACTCCAACAAATTATTGTTGAGTAATTGTATTATTTAAAACAAAGATTGGAAAATTCATTTACCCACACACTTACCTAGAGTTTCAATTGTAGCAACTCTGACTCTCCAGTGTTGATGGCTCAAATTCGTGAACAGTGGATTAACTAGTTTTTTGCTATATTGGAAAGTTTCGGCAGGAAGTGCAGTGACAAGGGTAACGCATAACTTACTAGCCGACTTTTTGACTTCTGGGGCGGGATAAGGAAGAAGCTTGATCACAATTGAGACGATCTCCTCCAAATAAGGGATTAAATCGTTTTCATACTTCTTTACGACAGAGGTGAGAAACTTAGAATACAGCAGTTTTAACTCTTCCGACAGTTCCGTGTTATTGTCACTGCACATCCTGGAATACAGAACAGGGATGAGGTTTTTCAAGTGAATCTTATTTTTTGTCAGTTTTTCGATTAGGAACAGATCGAGAAGTTGAAGCGAGTGCTCGCGCACGGCTTCGTTCGGGTCTTGTAACAGCCTGAGCAAAGTGGAGCTGAGGTGTTCGTATAGATCCAAAAGCTTCTCCTCGTCATTTTCATTCAGGTACTTCTTCACCTTCTTCAGAGTACTGACTTTCTCCGCCCTATCGCCGCTTTGAAGGATGTTCACCGTCCTTTCGACGAGAAACAGGTCTGCAAATCCGGCCTCCCCTGAATCCATTTTCTCAGATTACAACACTTGTTTATTCGTTTCCTTGACTACAGAACGAGGCAGTTCCCCAGACTCTCGACTGTTATTGCAACCTACTGTCAATTTTCTCTACTATCACATGTCAAATTATAATAACACCACGTCGCTTCAGTTAGTTTTATTAATCATGACCGTTTTTACTATTAAAAAACATAAAAAATGTTTTATCCTAAAAATACATTTATGGATTCCCTAAATCCTTCCATTCTCACTCTTTTCATTCGTGGGAAATTAATTCGGAAGGGTTGACCGATTGACGTCAAACCTGTAATTCGTGAAACCTCCTTCAGCTCGATTTCAACTTCTCGTGGTTGAGGGCGACCACGTTGGGTTTGTTTAATGCCAGAAATGGAGCGAGCTCCGGTAAAAATAGTTAGGCTTGAAGACACCCTAGATCCAAAATTGACGACTCAAGTTAAAAAATTGCTTGACGTCGACGTCGATGTGGGAGCTCTCTTAGCAAGTGATCCAAACGATTTAGATTCAAACAAAATCAGGTAGGCTGTTATTACAGGTTTTTACAATTCGTTAATTCTCATAACGATCAACTTAAATAATTCTAGTTATTAGTCGAATCCAATCGAGTTAATTACCGTTTAATAGATTCGTGTATCATTATTTGGAAAAATCGTAAACTCCCCAGTTTCCAAACGGATAGTGGTGCTATTTTTTAAAGCGAGACATTCCAATAAGTTTTACCATTTCATCGGATGACGGGTAGGAAATAAATTGTGGATAAGACAATTTATTTCGTATCCATCATCTCATTATGGAGTTCCACCAAATCAGGATGGACATCATCAAAAAAATTTTCAGTCAGCAAATTTCTTCTGAATACTAATTTGCAAGTGTTGATTGAAAGCTCTGTCTCTTATGCATCTCAGCAACATAATTTCATCACTGGTCTGTAGGTTGTTCTCGGCCTAACTAATTGCTGTATAAGAGCTTTAACAGCTTCAGTAGCAGATGTTGTTGAAAGGATCGACTTCTTCCTCTTTTGCTTCTTCATTAGCAGTAACATGCATGATTTCTTCATCTGTCAAAATTTCTTGATTATCTGATGTCCATTGTTGGACCTTGGATTCAGTTACGATCGTCTTAACTTAGTCAAGATTATAATCTATTTATCAAGGTATCTATCTATGGTTAAGGATAATGTCATTTTCGTTAGATCAAAGAATATCATCAACAGTAACCGAGTTTGGACTAAGGTTTTTCCAAGACTTTTGAATCAAATATGGTATGATGGATATCTAACAATTTGCTAAGTTGAAAACAGCATCATTCAGATTAATTTTCTTTAAAGCTGCCACCAGATCAACTCCACTGTTCATCTGCAAGAATGTTCAAGAGTAAAGTAGAGATCAAGGGGGTGTGGTTTCTTGATCTACATCTAGATAGTGAAATTTCATGGTTTGGATTTCATGTTGAACACCAAGAACAAATTCAGTTTTGTACCAATCCAAGAATAAGTCTCTTGTTACCCGGGCATTATTTTGTCCTCATTCAGGAAGAACGACAGATTTGAATGCACGAGGTTTATCAGTCATTCCACAATTTGTAAACGAAGCTTACAATTGCCAGAAGCATTAGTGTAGGGCATAAAGGTGATCCTTTCTTTTATAATTTTTCTACCAGGATCGTTCTTTTCTTCAGATGACAATAAAAGTGTGATCAGGGCCCTAGAAGTTAGTGAGGTAGACGACCGTGCAAGCCTGTTCAGATTACCATGATCCTGCTCTATATCGTATCTTGGCTACTATTACACAATTTACAGTGCCATAATATAACCAGAATTTCAGACACAGAATAAAAAAAGAGATGGATTGCAAAATTAACTCATCGATCTATATTATAGTAAAGGATTAAATTTATAACAAATATGCATAATGGAAGGCAGTTGGAAATAATTGAATAAGAAAAATTACAATACTTTTACTTCTCGAAGTAGAGATCAGGGGGATGTGGTCCTTGATCTACATCTAGATTTAAAAACTGCAGATTGATAATTACATCTTACTGATTATTTTTACTCATCTTATTATATCCTTGTTTGAAACATGTTGCTCATGTCTTATTAACATTGTCTTTTAGTTCAGAGAAAAATTTATATCTCAAACAAGTTGGAAGGGACAATGTTCAGTTATTGTTCAATGCAGTATGGGAATTGCCTGCAGAATTGTATGAAGATGTAGTTGTTGCTAAATTGCCAAAACCTGTTATTGTGCTGCCAAGAGAGAAACCAGTTCCCATACCAAAGCCTCCAACAAAATGGGAACAGTATGCTAAAGAAAAAGGAATTAAAATGACTAAAAAGTCAAGGCTAACCTGGGATGAAGTTCTTAAAGTAAAAATCTTCAAGTACACATTTTTATTTATTATTATTTTTATTTATATTTTATTTTTTGCCTAGAAATGGGTACCCAGGTATGGCTATAAAAAAGCGGCTGCCGAAAAAGAGAAGAACTGGGTTATTGAAGTTCCTGAAAGTGTGGATCCTTATACAGACATGTTTGAAAAGAAAGCAGCAAAGAAACAAGAAAAAGTACAAAAATATAAAATATGACTTTAAATGTTATTTTATGTAATGTATGTATTTTGTAGATATCAAAGAATGAATTTCAAAGGCTACGGAATATTGCCAAAGCTAAAAATATCAAAGTCCCTTCAATGGGCCTTCCCCCATCAAATAAACTTAACTCTCAACAAGTAAGAATATTGTTTTATTGTTCACTTTAATGGTTATGATAAATATTCAAATGGTTAAAATGTTTGCATTTTTTCAGCTCAACAGTGCAGCAAACATAGCCAATGTTTCAACTGCGTCCCTTGGTAAATTTCAGCCTAAACTCAGTAAAGAGAAACAATTAAATAATTCATCAATATTGCAGCAGAAAAAAAGAAAACAGCCATTCTTGGTAAATTCTAAAGATTAATATCTTATCCAATTTTATGTAGTCTATACTTTTGCATTTGTAGTCTCCGAGTGAAGAACACGCAAGAAATATATCTCTTGTGGACAGTGTGTTGAGAAAGAAGCCAAAATTGGATTTGAGTAAAGCTGTAAACAGGGAAATAAACACTCAGCAGCTTGAGTAAGTAATTTAATGATTCTGAATAATTTGTTAATCAGAATTTGAATATCAATTTGCCTTTTTATAAAGAACCCACGAAGAAAAGAAAATGAAAAATAGCAAAGTCAGAGGTGGTGGCAAAAAGAAGGAAGGCCGAGGGAAAGGGGCAAAGCGTAGCAAAGGTAAATCATTCCTTAAACCTAAAGGTGGTAAAGGACATATCATGAAAGGTGGTGGACGAAAAAGGAGATAAACCAGTTTTTACAAATGTTTTATAAATTGTAAATAAAGCTTCTTTTTGTTTAAATTGTTTATGGATTTTTTTTTAAATGCTAATAAAGCTTATTTGCAGCTTTAAAGGTTTTTTTCAATAATGAATTAATTTTCATTCAATTATTTTCCTGTATACAATTAAAAAAAGTTTTCAATTTTTTTAATCCTCGTCACAAATTTTTTCTCAGTTTTTTGAATGAATTCAAAATGATTAATTACAGTCCAGATGTAAAAAATGATAAATAATGTTCAAAATGTTCAATAACAATTGATTATATTCCCAAAATATCATTTATTTTAATAATAAGTTATATTTGTTTTGGGAATACAAAACATACGCTCCAACATAATTTTTTGTAATCATTTTGAGTTGTATTTTTCTTTCATTTAATCTTTATTTTACTAACTCACAGATTACATATGAATGCATTGTAGGTTAGTACTGCAACACATTCCAAAAATAAAAAGTTTAATTTTTTGCTCGCTGTCACAATTTAGTAACAATATACTTTTCTCATAAACAGCTACATCTGATGTCACAGGTATCTAAATATACTGCTTCTGTACACATTAAAATTTTTAAAATCAAGTAACATTGTGTCTGATGTGTTAACAGTACACCACACCAAGTACAACTGGAATCAGAATAGAAATAGAATTTGCGACTTCAATCACCCAAGACACCAACTCATCATTTCAAAAATTATAAATCAATTTAAATCATTACTTTGGTTAAATAGTGCCAACTAAAAAACGGATTAATATAATAACTGAGTATCTACACTTCACTAACTGCTCCCTGTGGCACCACTTCATGTGTAAATGATTAAATGACAAATTTGAATATTTGGCAAAAGAGGGAAATTTGGAAAAGTTGTAGGTGTCCCGGGGGACCAAAGTCATAATAGCTCAAGTGGTTAGAGGTATGAGTCAAAGGTCATGGGTTCGGTTCCGTTCATGTCACTTGCTTTTTCATCTCAACCATACTTAGCATAAAAATTATAAATCAACTTAAGTTGAGCAGGTTTATCCATTTCATTTTTCTTCTTTATAACAAACCATCCATGTAAAAAATAATTAGTTACATATATGTACCAACATTGATGTTCATTTTCACCAGACCAATGTTTTTTCAACCGAGGTGTGGTGTCAATCTGGAAGTACTTTATTTTCCTGTATATTTTTAAAAGCTTATTAATTTAATTTGCTGAAAATTGAGTAGATTTGTATCATATTATCGCAATGTATAATAATATTAAGATAGTTTTAAATTATATATAAGCAAGGAGCAATCGGCTGTAGGCTTAGTAGTGAACAGTTTTGTTATAACGACGTGGTGAGATGGGAGTACAAGTATCAATCAGTGCGACAAGAGGACAACGTGCATGGAGACCTATAGAAGCGTTCTCTTGCTACTGCCCATTTTTTTTAGTTTACTCTTTCTTCATCATTTGTCTGAGACTGAGCATTGCACATCTCTGCTAGTCCGCTCACTTATTTTTTTTTTAATCTGCGGAACTGAGCGTCACTACAATAGAATCTGCCAATTTGTGGAACATCTATCTGCTCGTCTTTCCAGCATCCAGCTCTATCTTTTTGGCTCTTCTTTTAAGCTTCCAGTTCCATCTTTCTCTAACAGCCTGAGACTTCTTGAACTCTTAACACTTCATAAAACTTGGTTAGATTTTTTTTTTTTTTTGTATATACATCTATTAATCATATTAAAATCTTTCTCATTTGACAGTATTAATTTTATTAACACAAAAATTACTATTTTTATCACATGCAATACTAGATGTAAATAGTTTCATATGAATTTTTCGTATTTTTTCTTTATATTTTAATTACAATTTATATTAACATCATAACTTTCTGCTTTCATTATTAGCAAATTCATATATGGTTTATATTATATTTTTTACATCATACCATCTTCCAAACTGGTAACTTACAAGAGTTGGGGATGTTCTAAATTTTGCACTTTAAAAATAACGTGTATTGTGCGATATTTACTGCCCGTTAATTAATGATTATTTAGAGATCGTGAGATGTGGTCTTGTGTGAAGTAGGTTTAGAAAAACATTCTTTATCATGCCAACGTTCAGTCTATTGAGATCATCTTCAGGGCTCAGTGTTTTCTGTGTAGATGTGTCATTGTTGTGTTGAGAGTGACACAGAAAACACACTTTGAGCCCGAAAGATGATCTCAATAAAAATCGAAATGTTGGCATGATAAAGAACACGTTTTTCTGATTCCGCACGGTGCCAGTGTTTTTGAAAAAAGTAAGTACGTTGGGACCTTTAGGGCAGTGCTGTGCCGTGTCTATGCTTTAACACTGCACTCTGCAGCGACTGGCCAGAAGTTATACAAGAAGAAAACTCTTTGGACTTTATATATTTATTCACATAACAAATTATAATCCATTACAGTTCGTAGTCCGATTGACCAATTAACTTTTTTCAGGTAATTAATCTTTATGAAAGGTATTGGTTGAGATAAAAAGCCCTAAGATATGCTCGTGATGCTGACTTTTTAACCTCAACCAATACCTTTCATAAAGATTAATATATTATAATCTAATAATAATAGTAATATTCTTCAGTCTCCATAAATTATGTTCGATTTAACATCTATTAAATCACTACCTACCAAATGCTTTCAAGGTTGCAATCCTGAAACCTCGCTTTAACTGTCTTAGCTATATAGTGAGCAAAGTGCCTGGTGAAATGAACAAATGAAATAATAAAAAAGAATTTAGTGAAAAGTAATACAAAGTATTTCCATAAAAATTTGTATAATTTATTAAATTACAAAATAAAAATTAACCTATGGTTTTTTTATTCTGATGCAGTAATGCCATTGCGATATAATCCAAAACATGGAAGGAGGCAGTCCTGGCTACTACAGACATTTTGAGCAGTAGAACAACTGTCAATCTTTTTGTACCTATACTGCACTGGCAGCATTTTCTTTTTTGTCATTCATCATGAAGCAAGTGCACGAAAAGCCCACAGTAGTACATATATTGTCAAATGAGAATATGCAAAATGATTCCTAAAATGTAAAAAATTATATAAAACCTTTTTAGATTATTTTTCTTGAACAAAAAGTAGTGCTGGAAATATCCAATTTTAAAATGTAAATATTGCTAACAAAACTTCCCCCTTTAAAATGAATCAAGATTTCATACGAGACTTCTATAAATAAATAATCCATTGGCACTTTACAGTTAAAATATATACTACAACATATAAACGACAATTTGTTGATTATGACTGGAAATAGTTTAAAACTTACCCACAAACCTCAATAAGTTGAAAAATTGCTTTAACCAAAAGTTCTTGCTTCTTGCATGAATGTCAGTCCAAGTGCCAAATGCATTTTCAAAGCCTTGCCTAAGTAATAGAGATAGAGAAGCGGCAAGTACAGCCCTGGTATTGGGGTAAAGTATCCCAGTTCCGTACTAGCTGTTGAACTATTCGAGTCTAAGAACTGAGAAAAACAAAGAACTTTATATTCAAAATTCAACTGTGGTTGAACAAATGGCTATGTTCGATTTAAATTGTTTAATGAAAAAAGATTGAAGATGACACCTATAATCATCTGCTACAAAAATTGCCCAATTACTTCGACAGATGTGGAACGTTTTATTTTCAATGTTAAAAAACATCTTAAGTGAAAAAGAGCAAAGCTAAAACAGGTGCAGAGTAAAAAGGTGAGCGCCGTAGATTCATTTTCAACATTATTCCATGCCAAGCTGAGATGAAAAGTTTATGTAAAGAAAAGAAAAAAGGACAGAAATAGGTTAAGGTATAGACAACAGTTCTGGTTGATAGATTGTGGCTCCAACCTTAAGATACAAAATAAAGTATTATACAAACAAGTCCTAAAGCCTATGTGTACATATGGTATTCAACTATGGGGTTGTACCAAACAAGCATTATCAAAATCATACAAACACTCCAACATAAAATCTCACATAACATGGACAATGCACGTTGGTACATAAGGACCTAAATAGGGATCTTAAGTTCCTGGAGGTCACAGCAGAAATACAAAGATTTGCCGCCAAACACCAGTATCGCTCGCCACAGCCAGCACGAGAATGTGGAAGCGACCAAACTCCTACATCGAATCCTATACCATCATATTAAAAAGAACAAAGCCATATGAACTGTGTAGTTAAAAATTAGTAGTGTAAATTTTGTCCCAATGGGTTTATAATTATGTAAGCATTTATTCTAAATATATTATTGTAAAATTAATGGTTGGTCCAATAAGACCAGTTTTAATAAATAAATTTAATTTAAAAAAAGATTATTATTATTATTATTTATATATTTAAAGACATTATCTTTAAATAATAGAATAACAAATAACAACATCAGTGGCTGCTACGGTTTAGACGTGGACACAGCGGATATTGTTGTGATGTAAAGATCGCATGTTCGAATCCAGTGGCACCAAAATACAAATGGGCTTTTTTTTCCAGAAAAGCCAGCACCTTGAGGGTGTAACAATAAAATAAAGTAAAATAATTTAACTAATTGGGTAACTGAAAGAGAATTTCTTATAAGATGTTCCCATTGGCAATATAATTGATTTAAAATCGTTTTATTTTACTCTATTACACTCATAAAATGAACAAAAATACATTATATCCCATAATTTGGCCCTTATTATTTTATTTTATGACAATTTACTTTTGCTGAAGCAATTCAATCAAATGCCCAGTCTACAGCTAGCTATCTTATTCAGGATAGAAGTGTTCAAATAAAAAATCATATAGTAAATCATAAATTTTTTGAATATAGTTGAACAGTACATATAAAATGCTTACAACGTTTATAATTCACTTTTAACATTTTGTAAAGGCGTAACGTTTTTATTTATAAAACTTGCTAACCGTGAAAATTCAATTTGATTAGGATTTTAGTCAGCAATTTAGTTTGTTCTTTACATGAAAAACTATAACCCTTTTTTTGTTCTCATTTAATAATGTATGAAAATACAAATTCAAGTGTACGGCAAAATTTTTGTACAAAAGCTATTTGCTGATACAATTATTTTGTTTTACCATACGGAAGTGGTCAAACAACTGTATAAATATAATTTTAAGGTTATTAAAAAGAAAACAAGGAACTAAATTCAGGACTACTCACAGTCCATTCACTGATATTCAATTAAATTGTATCAATTAATAATAATAATAATAATGTAGATAATATTCTAGCATTGTTTCTATTTTTTAAATATACAAAAATTTAAAAGAAAAACAAAACTTCAAGTTTTATTAGTGAATATGACTGTTCAGTCAAATATTTTGTTTTATTATTTACTTGATGTATACATTATTCAAGTTTATACAATTTTTAAGAAGTTTCCTTTACACAGAAAATTAATTGTTTCCTTTTGAACTGTTTCTAAACAAGAAAATTGTCCGTTTCTTAAGGAACAAATCATTTTTCTCTTCTTTCATTTGTTTTTAGGTAGTTATCCCCATTTATATTCGCATTCAATTACCAACAGGTGTGATGGTAAATGTGCACATGTGTTTGTGTAAAAGTGTGTGAAAAGCGTTTTTGTAATGTTAGGTGTTTAGAGAAAATAAAAACAAAACAAAGAAAAGAAAAATGGAAAAGAGAGTCAGCCTCCGTTAGTTGTCAATAGCCAATCATTTGTTTTTAATTGCAACTGGTTTCTTTTCATCCCTGTGAAAATTGCCTCTTCTGCTTTCTTGACTTTATAAATACAAACCCTCTTACCCCACCCTACCCTTAAATTTATAACGGAGTTGAATTAAGTACACTCTCTTTTCCACACTTCCCACAAAGACACTTCACACAAATCACTTGTTCATAGCTTTTATGCCTCTATTGAACTTGCTGTTGCCGGTAATTCCCTGAAGGGTTTCCACCTCTGTAACTGCCACTACCTCTTCCCCCACGGTTACCTCCTCTTCCACCTATGAAAAGTTTTATTACCAAATAAAACCAGTAGTAGAGCAAATTTATATATATGCTAATTAACCTCCTGGCCGATCAGTTGATTGGTTGGACCTGTTACTCCTGGCACCTCCACCACGAGCTCCACTTTGGTATCCATTTTGGTAGCTGCCACCACCTCCTGAGTTTTGATCTTTGTTGAAATATCCGCCATCATTCCTGTATCCTCCAGACTCTCTATTGTAGCCTTCTCCTCTATCTCTATATCCACCTTCGCTCCTATCACCTCTGAATCCTCCTTCTCTGTTAAAACCTCCTAATCAAAAAAGTTCTTTTAGATCTTTTGCACATCTAATATGTGTATCTAATAATACAACAATAATTTTAAAAAACCTCTTCCTGATTGATTAGAACCACCTCTTCCACCTTTTTGGAAGCCCCCTTTGTTATTCCTATCTCCTCCACCACCTCCTCGTCCTCTACCTCCTCTTCCTCTGTTTCCTCCTGCTGGTATAAATCCTAGTGGAAAAGAGAAAAGCTTAAATGCTAAAGAAGTTCGTTAAATAGCACTACTAATACCGTCATTAGTGTTTTGTTGTGCTTGTTGCCAATGTTCCGTCTGTGAAGCCCAGTCTTCCCCTCCAGCACCACCACTGTTACTGTTTTGCCTTTGGCGGTTCTGTGTCTGATCCATAACAAGTGTTGAATTGTTGGTCCAAGCATTAGTGTTTTGCACAACGGGTGAGCTAGTAGCCTCGATAACAGTTGTCTCAATTGAGTTTGATGTCACTGTTTTCCATCCTTTTTCTTCATCAGTTTGCTGCTTCGCAAGTTAAAATAAAACACGTAAGAAAATATAGTAACTGAGACTATGCTGTTAACTGAGATTGCAACCAACGTTTTGATACTGTTGCGCCTCAGCAGGTGGTGGTTGTACAACAGGATGATGATCCACCATAGGAGCCCCATAATTCTGGTTTGTGTATGTCATTGTGGGTATCGAAGAAGGCTGCTCTCCTGACTCTGGTGTATCAAGTTCATTCTCCTTTTCAGTAAGAAATAACAGCAAACCATTTATGGAACAAAATAAATTTTTTAATTCTCGTTAACACTTGGTTATTATGCTTATCACATGATAAACCAGAATGAAATTTTTCTAACACCACTTTTTCCCCATCAATACATTAGTGTAAATTAAACATACATTTTTAAACAACAAAGAACAAGGTGATTCATCTATATTAATTTTTTTTTTAAATAAATAATAAGTATAATGAACATGCGATCAAAAACTTTCAGCTAGGCACATATTGAAATGTGTGTAATGTGACATGACACGAAACATTGCTCGCCCCTTTTTATAGCAAATGGGGACAAATAGGTTAACAAAAATTGAGCCACAAATAGGATAGAATGCTGCTGTCATGTGTCATCATAGGCTGTAGAAGAGGCATAGATTTCACACCAATATTGAGTAAATAAGGGCATGATAATTTTGTTTGAGGATGGTAGAAAAAATAAGTAGGTTAACACTTGCAATGCAGGGGTTTTGTACAACAGGGTATTTTACTGTTTGTCTTAGAGTACATGGAAGTAAAACCAAATATGAAACAAGTAGTAAAAAGTAGACTGATAAATGCATTTGCAAATTGTGAGTAACAAAAAGATAAAAAACGTATTAACAGATCATGATATGAGAAACCATCACAGTTACTTATAGAAATGAGACATTTACCTATTGAGGTTGCAAGCTATTATATCAGTTAGCAATGAAGACCTAAGACAGCAGCAATAGCAGACAAAATATGAGAACTTCAACAATGCCTCTCTCAGGAAAAATAAATAGAAGAATTAAAGAAACCAATCGCTGCACGTAGCCTATGCAAATGCCCACATTATATCACAAGTCCTATTCGAAAAGATAAGGCAGGAATGGTCTTTGTTATTATATAAANTATTTTATTATATTATATTATATATTTTATTATATACTTTTTGATATAAGTTGATAGTTAACTTATTCAGTTATAGTGCATGGATATTTACTCAAGCTTTAAATGGCTATGGAAGCAACAACCAAAAAATAAATCAGAAAATGTTAAGGGATAAGTATTTCTTTCCCCCATTTTCCAAATGATCCTGAACTGAAAGACAAATGGATTTGAGCAATCAGAAGAAAAACTGAATTGCCTTAGACAAGACAGTTTTTTAAAGCATATTTTAAATACTAGGTTATTTGAACCATCGGGATTTCAGTGTTAATGAAGAAAAAAAAGGCCAATTGTAAGTATGTCAGGTTTGAATGCAGGGCTGTTGGATTCGAACCCGGGACACCTTTACCTCACAGTGATGAGCACCATGTCAACACCTAAACCGTTGCGGCCGCCGACATGGTATAAAATTTAAATCACATTTTAATAAATTTAATTTATCTCAAATTTAATTGTGAATTTTAAATTAATAGGTTTTACAATTTTGTAATAATCACAATGGAAATTTATTTATTAAAAACTTATTTTCTATCACTTATCTTCTTGTTTGAACACACTAAAAATTTAATGAAACCCTTGAGCAAAATATAATTAACAGTAAATAAATTGATTACACAATTTTATTTAGAGTACTTATTACCATCAACATTTTCAGGCTCCCTTGGTTTCATTTTCCAGAAAAAAAGATATGTTTTAGATAAATATTTTAACAATGGTTTTGACTAACTAAAGAGGAGTAAGCCAATATGCATACGGTGCCGCTTGGGGTAATGCAGCTCTGTCAGTACCGAGATCATGGTGAACGATTACTTTAGTAGAACTAACAATAACTCTGCTTATAAGTAAATTATTAGATCCTAACAACAAAGGTAAAGGATTGTAATAATTAAGTAAACAAGTTCTCTTGCGTACACATCAAATCAGGGGATTAAGGCAGATTTTCTCCTTCTTGTCAATTTTTTCCACTAAATTTGCATTTTTCTTAAAAACGGGACGTTATTTTATTTTGAAAAGTAATTATTTTGTACTTTATCATCGATATGAAAAAAGGAAAAGAAAAGCATTCGCCACCTTTTGACATTTTATTAATCAAACTATATTTTTCCATTAATGATCATTTAACCTAGGGAAGCACATGGTTTTCAAGCTTGTTACACGAAGAGGCTTTTCTTACTAGGATAGCCTATAGTTGACAATTGCTCAGGTTTAAATGCAGATTAAAACTAGCTGAATTAACAAAAACTGGATTAATCATGATTAAACACAAAAATAAGTGCTTAAATGAATAATTTCAAAAAACTTATTTATCACTATCTAATGGGAAATTTATCCCTCTTTCTAACTGTGCTATTAGATTTGCTATACCTTAAGGAGCAAAAAAGTTATGATGGTTCTAACCTAAAAAACAACTTTTTGGAGAAAAGAAATTAATTTATAAATATCTCCGAAAATATTGAGAATTTTAAAAAAATGTATAAATATTTTTTGTTGCAAATAAGCCGATGAACCATATCCTTGAGTTTCGTGCTTAGTTTATGAAATAAGAAATTTCAGAATCACCCTGTATACTCACTGGGTCAAACCACTTTAAATATTTTTGCCCATTATCAAATTTTAACGGCTATACCAGAGATTATTGACATTTAGTACATGTGTCACATTTTAATTCATTTCAAAGTGACAATGTTATGATTTAGATTTTGCGATTAGGCCTAGAGTAAAAAAAATAAAAGAGAATAAGGAAGAGACAGTCGAGTCTGGGAGGTGAACAAGTCCATTCCAGGTAGATGATAGACAAGAGAAGTATGCGATCCTCAAAAGTATTGTATTCCCTAAAATAGAGTGCTTCGGTCCACTGCGGATTGACTGTAAATGGTGAGTACATATCCACCCTTGTTCTATATGGTCTGGCAAACGCTTTGCAGTAAATTACTGTTTATTTAAATTTAAAAAGTTTTAATTGTTTGTTTAAAATTTAAAAGGAAATTTATTGATTTTAATTATTATTTCCTTGTGTTTAATAAATTGTTTTTAAACTTTAATTAAATTTTATTATAAAAAGGCACCTGATCGGCTGTATTATGGTTCGATCAAGACCTCTGGGGCTCTGTTTCTCATAAAAAGGATTCAAAGTTGGGCCCGTCTTGTTGAATCGAGAATAGATTGTGACACGTGTACATATATTAGACAGAAATGTACACATATCAATAAAATCACATTTCTAATTGTGTTGCAGAGGGGCGTGACTGGCCGAAGGAAAATAAATAAAACAAAAATAAAATTATTATTTTAAACTGTAATAAATGTTGTTTTTTAAATACCTGGATAATTAGTATTTCTTTTGTTCTGTTGAAATCTTGTTGAGCCTTTTCTGCAGCTTCCTTTCGAGCCTGTTTCTTTAGTGTTTTTGTTGAGTCGTTAGCCAAAGCAGTAAGTTGTTTTGAAAGTTCCCTGGCAAAATCTAGGTGCTGTATCACTGCATCATATTTGGAAATAGCTTCAACTTGGTCGCTGTTTAAATCTTTTCCACTTTTCTGCAAGTCCCGGCATGAATCAAGCCTTGCCTTTAAAATAAAGTTAAATTTTTTATTTACACCTCATAGTATTTATTAAATATTTCATTTAATAAATACATTTTTTAACACATTAAAACAATGAATCTTCTGAAATAGTTTAATTCAAAAAAACCTACACAAATATATGAAATTTTATAATAATGAAATATTATTCAAGGTATCCTTTTCAGATGGAATTTCTCTTGAACAGACAACGAAAAAGATACTTAGAAGACTTTACCTAAAAAATATGAGTAAAAATTCTGATAAATACCCTCTTCTTGATCAAGTCTCAAGACTCACAAAAACTAGAAATACTGAAATCAGTTAACAGATCGGCCTTGATTACTCCATAACCACAAGAATGAAAATAAACTATTTCATCTTATTATTTGATAATTATATATATTATATTATATTATATTTAATCTTGCAAGGGGACCAGGTTGGTTTGTCACGGATTTGGACCAAACTTTTTTTTTGTGAGTCTAACATTCCAAAATATTGGACACATTTCTGCCATTTCTTGTGAGTAGGCCTTGCTTGGTTTTGCCAAAAAGTTTTTTGAAAGTTGAAATTTACTGTTTTTAATATTTTTATTCCGCTTGTACTTGCTCAAATCAACATATTAAATATATCACATTTTACAGTATTTTTATGTATATGACAATAAAAATATAGTAAAAGCTATCAGTCTATCAATAACCAAAAAATGTCTAAAAACCAAATATTTTTCAAGTAAACTAGGTCAATTTTTTTCCGTGAAAGTAATATGAAATTTTGTTTCAGCTCCTTTAGAGACCCCTAATAAATTTTTGTTTGAATTTAAATTTATCAAATTTTTGAACCCTAAAATTTTGCCGATTTTTAAGAAGTCATTCTCGGAATATATGATTGTAATAGCTAAAAGGATTTTAACATCAAACATGCCATTTGAAAGAAGAGGAATTAAGCTTTTTAACAACCTATGTACCATAAAAATATATAAGAGATTTCTATAAGAAAATACTCAAAATAGGAAAAATATTTGTCAAAAATTAACCTCATATTTTAAATGGAAATAATAGTCTAATTTTAATGTTTGATACAGTTATAAAATGCACTTGACAATTCCTTTAAAAGAATTATCAACCATGAAAATCGATCTTTTAGGTTTTGAGAAAAATGATGTTAGAGCTTGCAGGCTTAATTCACAATACAACTAGCATGGAAAATATCAGCAATATTTTGGATATTATCTTTTTATGGGATCCCTATGCCGGGCTCCAAAATCAACTGTGATTCTGCAACTCAAAAACACACTAGTTGAGGTATACTATTTAATTATGTTATAATGTTTCAGGGTTAAGCAATAAAAAAATGTTTCAATGATTTCTCGCAGCATTATTTAACCCTGAACCATTATAACTTTAAAACAATAAATACATAAATAAACAAAAAACACTGCATTCGTTAATTCTTTTGATCTGTTTTGTTCTGAAAAAAATCGTTTGATCTCAGTTTTGTTATGATTACAAAAAGTACTTTCCAGGATTTAAAATTTTGTGGGTAACTGCAACTAAAATCTTTAAGTTTGGGTAAGAGAGGGATGCTTTATAGTAGCTATAATTATGATTATTTTTTATTAAGTTTTGTGGTCCACTTGACCAAATAAATTCTTTTCAATTAATTAAGGTTTTGGTTGAGATAAAAAGTCAACGTCACAAGCGAGATTCGAACTCACGACCTTCGGCTAAATACATTGCTGCTCTAAGTTTTCAAAATGGTGGGTTTTTGCAATCAGATATTTGTTTTACCCTCTTATCGAGGTATTGGGGATGTAATTCCAATTAAATTGCGGGACAATTTATACAATTTATGATTTTGTAAATGACATCAGACATCGTTACTGGTGTAGGATCTTTACTATTATTCTACACAAATTTAATTGATTTTATTTTGCACTTTAACATTTTAAAACAATATTATCACAATAGTGTTTATTTTCTGGTACGACCCTTTCACAGATGTATGACTAATGTGGTATGCATGTAAATTAATAAAATTTTCTTCACATATAGTTTTGTTGTAAAAATATGTTGAATAAATAAATATATTGTTAGATTTTACCAATACAAGCAGTATTTTCAAAAACCAACACTGATGGATGTCTGACACATGGCACACCATAGCTAATTTTGGCTCAAGATAAATGTACACAAAAAGTGATACATTTTTTATCCTCAACACTTCAAAGTTAAATTTTATTTTAAAAAAATACATTATTATTATTGAGGTCTTTCCAAACAAGAGCTGATCAATGAAATTACAAGTACCTTAACTCAGTACCTCACAACTGAAAATCAAAGTATGAACATTTTGTTTGCAATGCAAACCCCCATTTCGTCCATAGGCGTTTTTCTGTTTTGTACAGTGGCAGCAAAAGTATTTGCACACCTAGTGTTTTTTTTATTATTAAGTTCAGGAAAAAATCCTTTTAACTCTCATAGGCAGCGCATTTACAACTGAACAGAATATGGTTTAAAAAAATTCAAATGTACATAAAACATAAGAAACAATAAATGGTGCGTCAGTGTCTACAACGGTTTAGGTGTTGACACAGTGTGAAGCCTATGAAGAGACAATAGGATAATAATAATTTAACACAGATAAAGATAATATTATAATAACATGTATAATTTTATATACAACTAGAAACCTTTTACAAAATAAAAAATAAATCTTTTATCTGAACAAAATAATGGCGCCCTTACTTTAAAAAACAAAAAATGAACATACCTTGTAGATAATAAAAAAGAAACGACATCTCGTCTAATGATATTTTTAACATTATAATACTCTAACTTGTTACTCCGGTACCGGACAAGACTCAAATGTCCACTCCGCTTTGTGTGGATCGACCCCCTCTCCTTAACAGCTGTTTGTTTTATCTTAGCGACGATCCTCACAACAGCACTTATCACTGTTAGGTAAAGGTCCCAAGTTCGAAACCAGTGGCCCTGCATTTGAACCCGAGATACTTACAAATGGGCTTTTTTTCACAAACACCGATACCCTGAGGGTTTATATGACCTCTGCTGTTGCAAACTCTTGTTATTGGGGGGGAAGCCTTGGAAAAAAGTATTTGCACACTAATAACTTTTAATGTATACAATGTATAATTTAAAAATGTATAATTTTAATATTTTATAAAAAAAAGTCCGTTTGTGTAGGCGCCTTGGTATTGAATGAACTAGGGTTTTAATGTAATACAGGTCAATTTTTTCCCATTCTTCTGCTAGCAGATTTTTGAAATGTTCTTTCCCTAGTATTTTGTGTTGCTTTAAGTTTTGGTCTAAATGGTGACATAAATTCTCAATTACATTACGTCAGGCAATTGTGGAGGTGTATGGAGCTGTTTATCAACATTAAATATCAACCATTCTTTTGTTTTGTTTGCAGTATGTTTGGGATCATTGTTTTTTTGAAAAGTAAACTTGTCCTGGGCAGATTCTCATTTTAGTCACACTTGATTTCAAACTGTAGCACACAATAAATAAACATCATTCTACATTCATGTTCCCTTCGATGTGGACAAAGTTTCCCACACCATGGTACAAAACACACCCCCACAGACAGGAAACACATTCACCACCATGTTTGGTTGATGTTTTCATTTAATTCCTATTTATGCCTAATTATTTCTAATTGGATCCAAACAAATTTCATTTGCTTTCATCAGAAAATATCAGATTTTCCCAAAAATTTAGTGGATTTGTAACTACTCTTTGGCCAAAAACAAGGTACTTCTGCCGATTACCTTTGCTTATTTATTAATTTTTTTCCACTTTTTCTGAGGAACTCTGCCATGGAGCTCTTCAGAGATTTAAATAATTTTGTATGGTCCTTTCACCTGTACACTGGAAGTTAATTGGACACTATCAGCTAAAGCCCAGGCACTTATGGTAGGATTACTTAGGGCTCCACTCATCTCTCATTAAGTTTTTTCGAATGCCCTTTGTGATGCTTGTGTTCTGCAATCCTCATACCCCATGACTATGTATCTCACTGTAGAAAAACTCAGTAATCAATTATTTCTATATATGCTTTTTGCTGATTTCTAAGTAAAATGACTTTTGCCGTGTACAACACTATGTTTTGTTTTCGGAATTACTAAAGCAATTATTTTATCCAGAAAGAACTATTAGAGCTTGTAGACATCCATTGGTTGTTTTTTTCTTTTTTTTTTTCACCCCAACGGACAAAGGACCATGTTTTTTACCATGTTCACCCCAACGTACAGTGTTGTACAGACTAAAGTACGTACGTATACCAGATATCAGTCTGGCGAATATTTACTGCCATCCAAAACTGCTTGCCATCCGTTTCCTTTAATTATTTTGTTTATATTATGTATTTTAAATTATCATGTATCATCATCAATAAAGTTTAAATGTTTTTTTCTGCATCCTAAGGTAATTGTAAAATTTTATTTCATCTTCTTCAAATTTCTCAAAAAAAGATAATGAAATTCACTATATACTTCCCTTTCCAATAATATAGGATGTACCCACAATGATCTTTTACGTTTTTTTGTTTGGCTTTCTTTTTATATAAACAGTAGGCCTTTTTTTTCTTATTGTTTGACATTTACACATATCCTTTGTTGCCAGTCCGAAAACGAGCCGGGGTACTCAAAGGTACGGTCCTTTATACCATCCTCTTATGTATACAAAGATGTCAGTTTATTGTGAGTCCGTTGTCCAGTGCAAAAACGGACGTCTACAAGCATTCTTAAGCTTTGAAAGTGTTTTCAATACTGAAAAGATAGAGGAATACACCACAAACAACATTACAACGAAGTGTGTAAATACTTTTTTTCCAAGGCAATTTATTGTTTGTTACGTTTTACTACCGTTCATTTGAATTTTTCAACCATTTATTGATGTTCTACTCAGTTGTAAATATGTTTTTTTCCTATGTGAGTTAAAAGGATTTTTTTTTTATTTAGTGAACTTATTAAATCAAAAAACTAGGTGTGCAAATACTTCTTGCCGTCACTGTATATCCTATATTAGAACAATTATTACTGTTAAGTGTTATTAGCGTGTAAAGGACAAAACCCAACTTTTCAGTTGGGAATGTTACTTGTAACTTTAATAAGTAGTGTTCTAGATTGAGCCGTTTGTAGAATAAAACGGTCGAGGTCCGAGAAGTAATTTTTTTTTTTTGAAATCCAATCCTGAGAATCTGTGGGCGAGAGAGAAGACGGGTAAAGGCGTCTAACACAGGGGCTACACAACCAAACCCGAGGTGGCGAAAAATAGACGAAATAAATTTCAACGTCAAAACACATCGAAATTAAGGGATAATAATGAAATAAAAGAAAGAAACAATAAGTTAACGTTTGAACGCGTAGAAGCCGGGGGGTTAAGAGCACATGGCCCAACATGGCGTAAAGATCTCCCTCGAATCGAGAACCCATTCGAAAGAGGTAAAAAAAAAAACAGCAAATTAATCCGAGATAAATACCTTTCTTTTCTCGAGGTTCCTTATTTTGTGTTCTATCATCGTTATCCCCTGTCGTAGGGGCTCCCAGGCGTCGATGGACGCCTGTTTCTCAAGCCTTCCTACGGATGCGGTAGGCATTTTTCACAGGGATCAAGAAACGGAGCCGACACAACTTCCAGATCTGGCCCCCTGACGAGGAGAGGCCAGGCCGAATCCGCCGACAGTGTTGCCACTCGCTATCGCCTTACGGTCCACGAATAACCCCGACCCCGATGCGATCCAGTCCTTTGCCTATTTTCAATATTATTATTTCGCCCTATTCAAACCGAGCGTGCCATTTTCTTTTCGATTAAATTATTTACGTGAACGTATAAAATGAGTAAATTTTACACCGCCCGAACCAGCGACAATCATAATTATTATCTCGATTTTGAAGATTACGGCCTCTCGGCTTTCTTTCTTTTTTTTATTGCCTGGTAAGCAGCTGTTTTACCATTTTTTCCTCTTCTTTTTTTTCAATTTTAAATAATTGAGTTTTTAACATAATTCGTGTAAACGTCATTTATTTATAACATTGTTTAAATACATGCCGAGCCGGCCCTGCAAAAGCTACAAATTCGAACTGTTACCTCTGTCACCGGACGTTCCTACATCCTGAAATTTTCCTTAAAAAATTGCTTTTTATAAGCATCTACCGTAAAAGATACCATTATACTATTAGTGTTTGGACCCGTTTCACTTGTATGCATTTAATTTTATATTAATGAGGTTTTGAAAAATCAATTTTGAAAAGTTAGATTAAAACAAAAAGGAATTTAATGAACTAAACAATTATATTTAAATAATTCGAACCGCTACATACTTGCAAAAAACTTTTCAACAATACCGGCCCACGAGGGGAACCCTCGTAAAAAAAATTATCACTAATTTTCCAGTGTTTTTATTTATTTACGGATCGAAATCCATATTAAAAAAAAATTTTACAATAACAAAAAATACAAATAATATATGTAAAAATACAAATAATATATATAAAAAGAATAAGGACATATATTCATGGTAATATTATAAATGGTAAATATAAATGATAAATTATTCAAAAATCGTGAGCTGCGGTGACCGGTATAAAAATACAATTAAAGAGTAAAAACTGAACAACAAAAATGAAAGACAATTACTAACCAAATAATGCAAAGGAAACAATAAAGCTGAAAGACAATTGAAACTACAATATTTAGGTACATATTTAATTAAAATAATGCTCTTTGTAAATGTATAATAAGACTAGAGTGCGAGATTTAGTTCAACCAGTAAATGAAATAAATTGTAATAAATTTTGTACAGTATGAAATATAAAAGCATTCAACTAAACTAAGGTTGTAGGATATGGTTTTTCACAGATTTCACAGAACTATTGAAGAAGTCAATGCTATTGCAGATGTTGTTACTCTTGATCATCATTCTGTGTAGAGGAGAAGAGAGCATGTAGTTAGAGCTTTGGAATTCAATATAAAATAATTAATAGGTTTTAAGAGAGTGCAAAGGGACATGTAGCTGTAGTTGAGAGAGGAGAGGACTATCAATGAGATTGTTTAATAATTTAAATACAAAAACAATATCAAAGTAATCCCTTCTTAGTGCCAGTTCAAAAAGTTTAAATTCAGAGCGGATTCCAGGGTAGGCAGAGTTCAGAGAAAGATTGAGTTTGTAGGAAAGTTTTTTTTTTTTAATTTGTTTTGTATAGATTGAAAAATTTTTTGATAATTTAGACAGAATGGGTTCCAAACAAGTGTAGCATATTCTAGTATGGGTTGTACAAAAGCTTTATAAAGATGGACAAAACATAGAGGATTTTTAAATTCATAGGTGTTCCGGATGATGAAACCTAGCATCTTCATAGATCTATTTTTTATTGAAGAAATATGTTCTTTAAACTTGAGCTTTTGATCAAAAAGTACACCAAGATCCTTTACGACCTCAACTCGCGTTAAAAGAAAGAGCATCATGGAGAGTATAGTGATAAATAAAAGGTTGTTTCTTTTGAGAGAATGTGATTGTGTAGCATTTGGTAACATTAAAAGCAAGTTTGTTATTAGAGCACCAGGTTAGCACATTATTGATAGAATTTTGTAATTGTAAGCAATCAGAAGGAGAAGTAATTTTGGAATAGATTTTCAGATCATCAGCAAATAATAAAAATTGAGCAGAAGGGAGAGCAAGATGGATATCGTTAATAAATAAGAGAAACAAAACTGGTCCAAGACTCCCGAAGAAGCCGCAAAGGGATGATTTAAGTTATTTTATTTTGACTATTTGTTTTCTGTCAAAGGGAAAGCTGGATAACCAATTCAAGATAGTTCCAGTGAAACCATAATCCATTAGTTTCCTTAACAGTATTGTGTGATTTACTTTATCAAAAGCTTTAGAGAAATCTGTACACTGAGTCTATTTGGTGTCCAGAGTTTATTGCATCTAAGATGTAATTTTGAAATTAAAGTAATTAAAAAATAAATTATACTACTAAAAAAGAAATAAATTGGAGTAGGTTTTCCGAAATTTGCTGGTCTCTACATTTGGACCCTATATAGTAGTTTAGAATCACCGTAGTAAGTTTTTCAACTGTGAAAAAAATTTTCTTTTCAAAGTTCTCGCTACTAAAATGCTTATTTCACCAACGTTTACAATAGTTTTCAATGGTATCAACGGATTTGTCCAAAACCTTTTAGTTTTGGAGTTATCATTGTTTACTTCAAGCAAGGTCGTGAAATCTTAAACAAACAGAAAAAGTGGAATAACTCCGAAACTGTAGCCATTCGAACGTTAATTAGGCCTTTTTGGTTCCATTTATAATATAAGTAGCCCAACACCCTGTATTTATAAAATACATAAGTGTAACTAAGGATATTAGTATTATACAACAAATTATCATAAAATTTTATATATANCTGTTTTAATGTACCTTTGTAATGCAATGCAATGCTAGTATGGCTTTCTAATATAATGTCTCATTTCTCAAATTCTTCTCTTCTTCCATTCACTTCGGTCTATACATGATAAACAATTGTCCACATCGATCCCCTTAGGGATGAAATTTCAAGAATATCCTTTCTTAGTGTACCAACAAGAAGTAGAAACCTAACCATTCTTAGGCCTAAAGGCCTAGCCTGACAGAGAGAGCTTCGTGTCAGAAAACCAGGTCTGACTGAGGTGATCTGGCAATTTACATAATTCATGTCAGACTGAATATGATCTATCGCTTTTGGTCTGATTTTGTCACCACAAAATGTGATCCAGTTTTACAAAATCAGTTTACCTGCGCTATCGCTCGACCACCTTTGGTTCTTTGAGGCCCAAATTAAGTTTGTTATAGTTTAAAACGAGTGATCGAATAGGAATGTAATAATTAGAAATTAAATGAATATTTAAATTATTTAGAAGCGGTATTCTGCTAATTTTCGTCTCTTCTTATTAATTACTCTATGAGATGGCCGTACATCGCAGACTTGCTTTTTCTATTTGAAAATAAATTAACATCATTCCACAATATTTCTAGCAAGGTCATAGTGGATAAATAGTTTTGGACTGTCCAAGGGACCATGGATATTGTCTGTCTCCAAATATGTGTATTTTATGTAGATATATATATTTCTTATAAACATGGTTATGATTATATTTGTGGATATGTAAGTTTGTAAATCACCAGGGCTAATTAAAGTTTTACTGTTATTTGTGAGAAAACCGCGTTTTTTCAGTTCATTCAGCTGTTTTGTTGCCACACTAGTGTGTAAAGTATATCCTAACTCAAGCTTGAAAATGTTTTTTGTACTTCTTCCTCCTTGGATAAAACCAGTTCATGAGGCAATGGTGGAATTTTACCATGAAATTCATCTCTTATAATTTTCCAACCAAGAGTGCCTATAACCCCCCTGTATTCCGTTTCTCCGACTTCTGCATTCAATATTTTCTTCTCTCTTTCCACTACAACAAATTTATCTTTTTAGTACTTAATTTTTGATATAATTTATCATTTAAAAATGAATAGCATACCCGCTGATGTTAATTCTCCTTTGGGGGGTATTATAGGTGATGGTGTCAGCTCCCATGGTGCTATCCCTTTGTGATCTCTGTAACTTGATCGATATTCAGTAAGAGGGACTGGCTGCCACTTTTGAGGTATTTCTATATCTTGATACTCAAGAGCTGTTTGCACTACTGGTGCCAGTCCTGGATACACACATTATATTACGCTTCAAAATAAAAATTCTAACTTTTTTAATCATTCTGAATAACTTATTTGACACAGTCTTGTAATTTCAAGTTACATTCTGAAATGGTATACCCATATTCACACTATTATCCAAGATTTATTCAAATTAATCTTAATACGTAAAACAAAGGTATCTAAATAACATTAAAGAATACTGGGAATTTTGAAAAAAAATAATATTTTCATATTATAAATAATATATAAATTATTGGATGTCAGCAATTTTATCAGTCACTTAGTATATGTATGTATATTTCGATAATTAGATTTCAGATGCTAAAAAAGCCTGGTGTTGATATTTTGTAAGATAAAATAAGAACAAACCAATTCCAGCTTTCTCATGTATTCTACAATAATCAATTTGATACACTGATCTCCCTCTTTCAAAAAATTCATCTTCAAGAGCTTTTTGTTTAACAGGGCTTTCTACGACTTTGATTATTGATGGGTTTTTTTGAAGTAACTAATAAAAAGAAATATAATTTTTTTATTCCAGCTTATTTTTCAATGACTAACATTTACATTTGATTACACATCACAATTTACCTTATAATAGTAACAATCACCATTTTCATAGGCACAACGGTTTGCTAGTTTCTCCAATTCTAAATTTGACTTGAGTTCATTTTTATAAGCTTGTGCTATTGGATCGCCATCGTGCTCCTTTATTCCATGAGGCTTACATAGTTTTCTCCTAATAGGATGAATATTATAAATAAATGTAGCAAGTTTACAACCATAGTATACTTTTTTATTGGTTTTGCGCAAAATTCCAAATCATAGATGGTTGTGTGCCATGGTTCTTTACGAATTGTTGCTGCACAACATTCCCATTTCTTCTTTTCCAGTTTTGTTTCTTTTTCCGCCATCTTCATCATTTCACTTTCCAGGCTAATAATTCGATCCTCCAAGCTCTGTTTTTTCACTTTGTTTGCCATGGTTTCTCTTTATCACAATACAATTATCACTAATTACACAAGGTGAAAAAAAAAAAAAAAAATTGGAAATTCATTTAGAAAAAATGTCACATGAATAATTTTTAAATATGATGATAATTTCAATAAATTAGAAATCACATTTTTTTAAAATTAATACTCATCATTATTGTTATCATGATTATTGGCTCTGCTTCCCATGCTATGTTTTAGCACTGTTTATTGTATGTCGACTCCCATCAAATAAAATCTCATGGGAGATGGCATTTAAGTTTCGTGTGGTGGGCGAGACTTGTGTTGATAGTAGGAGAAAATAAAAGTTGTGAAGTGCTTGTAACCATTCTATTGCAGAAAGCAAATTCATTGTAAAATATACTGCAGTCTCATATTCCTAACTTAAATTGTAATTTAATATGTACAATTAAATTAATTAAAAGGAATCATGATGATAAAATCATAATAAACACCATTTATTTTTTTAAAAATAAATATTTAAAAGTAAAATTCTATTAAAGTTTTCAAGTTTATAAAGTGAATAAAATTATTTATGGTTTGTGTGTAATTTTCCATGCCCCTATGCGATACCGGAGCCAAATAAGGACAAGATCCTTTCCCATTTGTAACCAACTGAACACTGGTATTATTTTGGAACCTATACCAAGAAACAGAAAATTAACTTGAATTATGAAATTAAATTTTCAATTAATTTTTGCTAACCTACCGTCGATTTCAGTCCATTTGACAGAAATTTCAGCTATTGGAATATTAAAAAGTTCAGCCAAGTAAAGCAGTTCCACATCAAATGCCCTGAAAATAGTTGAATATACAATTAAATATATTATTTAACCAATTAAATTTTTAGAAACTCACCATCTCTGAACATGAACTGAGGAAAAAAGAGTTTCAGCTGTTCTTCTAGTAAACATTTTAAAGCCACATTGGGTGTCCCTAACTGTCCTGAAAAAATATATATATTAAAAAAATAAAATTTTACTAATGCTTTGACTATCTATGTACCTTACTGCCAAGGACCACACCAAAAAATGAAAGCCATGCATCAAGAATGTTCTAAAAAATGATCTGTTTGCCAGGGCTTCTTGTTCAAGGTGAGCACGTGAACCAATAATCACAGCAAATTCGTTGGACACTTTCTCTGGTGTAGATAAGTAATTACCTAGAAAAAATAGTTAATTATATGTTGTAGCAGTACCATAATGATGTTGCTGGGATTTTGGTGGATTGACAGTAATGATGTGACACGCTAGCTACTAACAAGCAATGACGCATTGGCTAAATGTTATCCCAACATGATTAATAGCAGAAGTAATTTTTAAAATTCATTTAATATTCTTAATTAGTAAAGTTTTATGTAATATATTAAGTATAATATTTTGTTTTTTTCAATATGTATTTCACTGTTTATGTTAATCTAGTTTATATTGATTAGCATATTGATCTAGTTTATGTTGTATTGTAATTCTCATTAGGATTAATCTACTTTGATTTTGTTTTTAAATAAACATTTGAATTTTCTTTAAAGTTCAGAACTTTTTTGCATGCAATTTAAGATAGATTATTATTATGATTGAAGAAGAAAATTTGGAATCCATAGAGTGACCCATCCAGTCTCCAGCTATTGATGCCTTATTGATAGTAAATAAAATTAAACAATTTTAGAAGAAAAGCCCTCAATTGTAAATTGGACAATTAGAATACTTTGTATTTATAAGAGATAAAATCACAGGTAGCATCACTTAATTTCATAACTATTGTACACCTACTCGAATTCGACATTTTACATCGCAGACATTATTAAATCTAGACCTTACACATTATGAAATCTTGAAAGAAAGCTTAATAGACATATTTTCAGGTTCCAAAAATAAACAAATTAAAATGAAAACAGCTGGGGGAGTTATTTTACCAAATGCAACAAAAGTAAAACAGCTAATAAGCTGGTTTAAATAGCCAATAAAATAAATAACTATATTGGGTGATATCTACATCGGTCTACCTCTAAATCAAACCTTCCAATTTCCAAAAGCTCCAATCAAGAAACAGCTGCCCGCAATGAAGGAATCAAAATTGAAAAAGAAGTCTAGAAAGAACAGCAGTAGGAGCAAGAGAACTTACACAAACCCAGATTGGTTATGTTACAATCACTATCACTTCAAGAACATGTAAATCCCTGTGTTCCCTAAACCCTCACAGCAAACAGAAAAACTAGATGAGGTCACAAATGGTGTGAACTGAACTCGCATACCAAAGCCATCTTTACAGAAATGCTGATCATACTGGCAAACAATAAAATAAAGAGAGCATTTAACGTTTTGTATATTTGCTACTAACAGAGATCAAATTAATGTTTATGGAGAGAAAATGCTAACTCTGTACCTCAGATTTCGTTGTTGGTTTATGTGACTTTTGTTATCACTGACATTACTGAACATTATAAAAACAGAATTCATGTATCATGTTCAACTAGAGGTAGACTTGAGCCAACATAGACCATTGATTGGATGACTAGGCTGATAGCGTCTGGAAGAATTTGAAGTAGTATGGTACTAGGCACTATTTCCTAGTATGAGGCAGTATTGAAAGACTACCTGATTATAAAAAACTGTCACCAGTAAGATATCAGGTGTAACACCATCCAAACAACAGGCCAACATGTATAAGCTAAAGCATGAGTCTACCGCTCTAAAAACTTGAATCAGTAGAACTCCATCAAATTATGTAGGAGGATTTGTAGATCTTCAAAAAGCCATTGTTGTCCCTACATTGAAAAATAAAATAGTTAAAAACACAATTTTGATTTACCTTTAACTATGCCTTTCAAACTTTCTTCAAGTTTTTCTATATCACTAAATAGTGTAGCACCATCTGCATCTGCAAATAAAATTATAGCCCCTCTTGAACTTAAAGTACCCTGGAATACATATAAATATTTTTTATTTAATAACAACACCCAATAAATTAATTTAATAACAATAAGGAAGAAGTTTTCTACCAAACTGACTGCTCCTCCTTTGCCCCTGTTTTTCTCCAAAGCAAGAACTCTCATAATATCAGAACCATATTTATCTGTGTAAGAATGTGCAATTTCAACTGTACGATCTTTGCTCCCATCGCTTACTAAGATTACTTCATAACTGAAAGTTTTGTTACTCAGTTTTCTCCTTTCAAGGAAAGTAAATGTCTCCTCTAACATTGGTAGTACTGAAAGCAAATAACAAACAATATATTGTTGATTAAAGTAAAATTAAAGTGTAATGTACATAAAACAACCATTTTATTTAGAGTAAAAAAGCAATAAAACTGGGTTAATGCATCTAGATGTTCCCAACAATTGCTCAGGCTGTATGAACAATAAACATCAAGAAATGCACTAGTTTATAGCTGCAGATATAAACCTTTTTTCCTATTCATCTGTCTCTAAATTCTCATGTATATGTTTCAGTTTTTCCACATAGTTTTGGAACGAACTCAAAATGGATATCTAAATTTAGTTTCAAAACTCAAGAGTTCTTTTTGCAGTAGAATAGGTCTGAATAGGTTACAGGAAAAACACGTAATCATTTTGATTTTGTAGAAGGAGTTATAGCTAATTGGTTGATTAAATAAATAAATAAATGGGAGATACCAACATATGTCCAATTTCAGAGAGCCTGTCTGAAATTTCGCTACATGCCTTTTCACTACTGGCGATTAACACTTGTTCTGATCAAGCTATGGTGTGAAGTATGACAGATGTTGTAACTTCCAGTACTGGCCTATAGTATCGTGCAGAATACTGTTTCTCTACAGGTGCTCTATTTGCCAGGCTTTATGGCCAGATTTGAAAATTCCTAACTTCCAAAGTACAAACTACTTTTTTAAATACTATTGAATTATTTCCCACATATCTAAGCTCCTCCTCCAATATAGCTTTTCTTTTTCTTACTTACCTAGTTGGTTAAATGATTCATGCTTATAATATCTTTTGGCTTTATTAATTATTTAACTTTATTGTGAGTTATTTGGTAAAGCCTATCATCACCACACTGATCTCACAGAGAAATCTCACAATTTATAAGTAACATATTACATTGCAGTTTTGCTATTCAATTTTTAGTATGCATCTCCTTATTTGATTGCGATGGCATCAATTACAGCCCTTACAATTAAAAAATAAATAGTAGCTTTTAATCTTGTAATTTTTTAGGAGTTGATATAAATTCACGACCACATATATACATACATTAGGCTGAGTTTGCATTGAGCAAAAAAAAAAAACACTCATGCAACTAAACACAAGAATTAACCAACGGTTAGCATCAACAATTAATTAATGATAACCATTTCCATGAGGCAAAACATTTCTCAACATTGAGGTGAAACAACGTGAGCCATCGGTTTGTGGGAGACAAGCTAGTGGTAGACTTGAGCCAACATAGACCATTGATTGGATGACTAGGCTGATAGCGTTGTTTATAACTAAACCAACTGCTGCAACAGAGTTTGCTATCATGGTGATACTTTTTGTCTTTGTCTCATTTGATGCTGATTTCCTTCCACGCATAATCTCTCTTGTTGTTGTTGATGAGTTTTATCTTTAGCACCCCACAAAAATTGGTAGCTGTGGTACATTCAGATAAGTCAAATGCAGTCCTGCTTTTACATGAAGAGAAACGAACAGTGTGAAACACTGATGTGCACTAAAAAACCGACCAAAACATCTTTGTGCCAAAAGTTTTGCAGTCCCAGCTAGGTATCCACAACATGAGACAACTTTCGCGAAACAATTGCATGAGTGATTTTTGAGCAGTGCAAACCCAGTTTTATAATTGATCAACAAAATTTTAAGGTAGGTATAATATCAAAATCTAATATTAAGCCTTACGTCTTTCTTCTTCATTGTATGCAGGGACAATGACACTAAGATGAACAGAACTAGGTTCTGTTATGCTGGGGAATTCTTTAAAACTTGCTTTATTGCCCGTTTTGCCAACATAAAACTCCTTTTCTCTCGCTGACCTACTGTGGTCTGGATACGGGCTCGTGCTCCAATAAACCAGTAAAATCTACAAATAGTTCAAATTTGAAACAGCAATTGAAATCGAAGAAAACGGTCAAAGAAATTTACCAGAAACAGCAGTAAAATGAAGACAAATATCGCCGACCCGAGAAAAATGGTCCAAATTGTCATGATGGGTGGAGATACGCGACAAAAATCTGCATGCTCAGCACAAAAATTAATTAATGATAAAACTGATCGAAAAAATTTAATATGTACACGTATCGGTTTTGGGACAAACAAATATTACACAAACAAGAAAACCTTCTTGTCACTGTTCCCTCCATAACAGTGACAACTATGTTATGAAAATTCGGTGATTTTAATTGCAATTAAAATTAATCTTTAAAGCTTGAATGACAAGAAAAGGAATAACTTTTCGATTATGTTGTATTAACTTTCTGCATAATTTAACATTTCGCCTTCAACAGGGGGCGTCGGTGGCGACAAAGATTAAAACGTTGACATGGCGAGTGGCGATTCGTCGCCCCGGTAATGGCTTCTTAGTTAAAATACCCCCGGTGAAAAAACAACTATACGACTAAACTTTCCAATTTATAAATTCGTTAGAATATATTTTTTAAATAATAAAACTTAATACTCGAATTTCATTAACTATATTATTTTAAGGTTTACTTCAATTTTTTCCCCTTTTTAAACTTTTCCCACTAATTTCAGCTATTAGTGATAAGAATTAGGAAGGTTGAACTTATGTTATAGTGTTATCAAATTACGCTTTTTTTTAAAGCATAATTATTAGAAATGCGTAATGTTATTTACGAGGCTTGTATCGAGGACAGCTTTCAGTTTTTTCATCAATGTCAAATATTTGTCTTCTGGTAGTTACCCGTGCCATGTAGAAGAACTGAAAGATAGAGCTATCTTGAGGGTGAGTGGCTGCGATGCTTCTCAGTTCCTCCAGGGCCTGGTCACAAACGATGTTCGGGTGCTGGACACCGGAGCTAAAAACTGCATCTATACAATGTTCCTCAATATCAAAGGGAGAGTTCTGTATGACACTCTTATCTATAAAGACTGTAACCAGGGCTATTTGATCGAGTGTGATCAGACCTGCATACAAGATTTATTGAAACACATCAAAATGTATAAGTTGAGGAAGAATGTTGTTCTCGAGCTGGACTTGGAGACCAGGATTAGGGTGATTTTTGGCTCAGTAGCACATATAGATCTAACGACTGGACTCTTATCACAAGATCCGAGACATACCGATTTAGGTCACAGATATCTAAGTGATGCTAATGTATCAACATGTTGTCAACCTGTTAATGGATTGTACAAGGAAAAGAGGTAATTCTGTTTAGTAAATTAACATTCTTAAATAGTAATCTGAAATTTTCTCTGTTCATTATTTTTTCCATATTTGGACTTGTGTGGCAATTAAATTGGTAAAAAAGCTGAAATGAAGTGTCAAAAATTGGGGGAAACTTTGTACCTCCTTAAATAAGTCAAAAATATTTATAACATTATATAATAATAAAAATATTATTAATAAATACATGCTGTACATCAGAACATCATTAAACCTTTTGATGGTATTCACAATGAGGCTTCACTTACAATAAATTAAGATTAAGCCTTTAATCTCCCTGATTCCTGTCTTCCAAACAAAAACTGCCTTTGAGATTTAAAAAAAAAATGCTGGTTCTCACACAGGCAAACTTTTCTTAAAGCATTCCACCACACTTAACATAAATATCAATAATAAAAATATCAATAGTATCTCTTAATGGAATACTAAGCTCTACTCTTTTTCTTGTAAAAATCAGTGAGTGTCATTGTCAACTCACTTTTAGCCATGTAAAGATCTTGACCAAACAGTTGCTCCCTTGTTGAATATGGGTGATTAGCGGTGGGTGTTTAAAATGAGATGTGAGCTAAAATGTTTAAATTGCATCCCCTTGATCCTCTGACTTTTGCTCTCTCTTCCTTGCTGAATTCATCTTTTGGAGCGAAATTTATCTCCTCCACCTTAGCAGCAGACCCCTGTCTGGAAGTGAATTGAGCTAAATTCTGAACGAACCTCATTAATAAAATATTGCAGACATGCATGGCAATACAGGCATGAATTTGTTAATCAACTTAATTATCAACAGACTGTATCAATTTTATTTCACTTTTTAAATGTTATTAAACCTCCATTGACAGAATTTTCCATCCCAATATGGTGCTTGTGTTTTACATTTATTTTATTTTTCTATGTAATATCAAGATAAGCTATTATGTATATTCTTAGCATGCTAATAATAATAATAATATCTGATTCAAAAAGTGGTCTCGAAGCGATCAAAAATAATTTCTCGGTTGACCCATGCATCTTAGAAATTCACAAATATCTCTATGAAATCATAACACTTAACAAACATGTGGTATTTGTTTGGGTTCCTAGTCATGTCGGCATTTCTAGAAATGAAAAAGCTGATCAACAGGCAAGGAACGCTGCAAACCATCCACAAAGAATAGATCAATTTCCTCTCCGCCCAGATGATATAGTCGTTTATGTTAAAAACATTATCAAACAAAAGTGGGTGGCAAGATGGAATGTCTGTAGAGATAGTATGAAAGAAATTTCACCAGTTGTACATAAATGGCCAACTGAGGAACTTGAGAGAAAAGAACTTGTGATTCTCTCTAGATTGCAAATAGGTCACATCAGGCTAATCCATAAAAGGCTTTTAATAGGCAACAACCTTCCAACTTGTCTTCGATGGATGTGAAGTGGAGAACGTATCATTCTGACAGTAAAACATATTTTGGTCGACTGTCCCACTTTGCAACCCTTTAGGCAAAGGCTCAACCTTTCAAGTGATTTACAGGAGTTACTGGGTCCCCAGTGTTTCTTTCGAAGAGCACTTTTCAGCTTTCTCAAATTTATTGGAATTTATAATGAGTTTTAGGCCTTTTCCCAAATTGTTATACCATTGAATGTTTGCCTGCTAATGTTTGAATGAGAGTTGTGCATGCAAGATTTCTTTTTTTTTTCAGAAATTTTTGAGGCTGCCAGAGCGGAAAAATGAAATGGAAAGAAAAATAAAAGTGTTATTGTGTTTTGTTTCTTATTATTGTTATGTAGAATTAGTTTATTTATCATATTTGAATGGAAGAATAAAAGGATAAAGGGGCGTCGGTTTAAGGCGCCTGCCACGGCGCTCATTACTGTAAGGTGAAGGTCCCAGGTTCGAATCCAGCAGCCCTGCATTCGAACCCGACATACTTACAAATGGACTTTTTTTCAAAAACACTGGCACCCTGAGGGTTTATATGACCTCTGCTGTTGCGAACCCTCGTAAAAAAAAATAAATAAAAGGATAAGGATGAGCCTAAACTCATGCTGAGACTGTTGCTAGTCTGACTGCATTATTATTATTATTAGCCATACAAGCCTATGTGAAATGTTTAAATTATGGAACAAAAATTCAAAATTCTAATTAAAAAAAAAGATAAATTAAAGCATGGATGGCAATAGGATAAATTAGTTTACGAGTGAATGTTTGGAGTCAGGGCTTTATAGCACTCAGAAGGGATATAGCTAAACTAAAATAGAAGGTTTGGGATGTTAGGGCGTGAAAAGACCTTAGCCGTTAAAACGCCCTTAAAAATTAATAATAATAATGGGGCAATAATAATTTAAAATAATTGTTTGCTAAAAAATAAATAAATAAAATAAAACTAAAGGAAAATAAGGAGGGGAAAAATGAGTTCCTAAAAAATTCCTACATACAAAAAATAAAAATTTCACAAAACCTGTAATGTATCACATGGTTGCATATATTTTGATAAAATAGGTATTAAAATGTAATAATGAGGGTGGGACCAGGATGCTAAAACATTGCAAAACAATTAAGACAATTAAAATGTAAAATTTAAACTTGTAAGGCTTGAATGTCAACAAAAACTTGCATATTTTATAATTTTAATTCACTCAGAAGATTTTTATTATTTTTAGGTTCAAACTTGGCATTGCTGAAGGAGTGAATGAAATTTCTAAAGGAGAAATGTTCCCATTGGAAATGAACCTTGATTATTTGGATGGTGTGTCTTTTAACAAGGGTTGCTATCTTGGACAAGAGGTCACTTCAAGAACTAAGCACACAGGAGTTGTGAGAAAACGCCTCATGCCCCTTGAATTTTTGGGCAATGTCAAACCACGTCTTGAAATAAAAGAAAATGAGGAAGGAAAGAGGGAAAAGACCATCGGGAAAATCAAAGCAGTATACGGCACTCTCGGCCTTGGCTTAGTAAGGCTAGTAGAAACTACATCCCCAGCGTTCAAAGCTGCTGGCATAGTAGTCAAACGGCCGACATGGTGGCCAGAGCAAAATGGCAAAACTTGAATTCATTTGATAAAAGTCTAGTCTATTTTATCCTTTTGTTAATTTATTGAAATATTTCTTCATTTACTACTTTTTGTTATAATTTTAAGTAGAATATAATCAGACACTATAAACTGTATTTATGTTTTGTTTTAAATACTACAAAATGCCAAGGTAAGGAAATGATCAAGTTAAAAATTGTAAAACATTGTGATTTATGAAAACAAATTAATTAAACTCTTTGTTTGTGGTATTGTGTGATTAAATTTTTATTTTAAAACTTAAGAACATTATATTTGTTCCATCAAACATCAAAACCATCTATAAACTTGTGAGAGCATGCACAGTTGTGTTTGGGTATTCCAACACCATACAAATAAAAAATATAAAAAAACTGTCAGCCAGGCGCTTCAACATTGTTTGGTGGTCAAGTTTTGACCGATTTTTGACTGTCAAAATTTTGAATTTTGCTATGGACTGGCAATTAGAGACATGTACATATGTTTCCCTTCGCTTTTGTTCTTCAAATGGAGAGTTCTACAACTAGAACAAATATGCTCATAGCTATACACCTCAAATATGCAATTAATTTGCTTTAATAATATTAAAATATGGAAGATGAATGCCAGACATCACCTGATTAATAATTTCTTATTAATACTTTTTTTTCATCTAGTACATATTCATTTTTGAAGGAAATAGAACAGAAAAATTTCAGTCACACAAAAAATCAATTATATAAATAATAAATTAGATAACGTAAAATTAATAAATTATTGTAAGGAGGACTGAAAATTAGATGTCCTCACATAAGATACCAATTATTTCAAAACAATTCTAATGTGAAGGTTAATAAAATAACAAATAAAGTAAAATAATTGAAAAATTTATTTTGTTTTTTAGTTATTTAAAAATCATGAAAATGATCTTTAATTAATTATTACCTAATGGTCAGGAAATATTACACATTTATTTTTTATGCTGTATCAAAAATGTTGAAGGTGAGTTTTAATGAAAATGTTTAAGTTTTAATTAAAAACTGCATGGTGTTTAGAGACTGTAGTTAATGATTATTTGGAGGTCGTGAGGTGCCATATGGTGTGATGTAGGTTTTAGAAAAACATTTTCTTTATCGTGCCAACGTTTTGATCTTTATTGAGATCATCTCACGAACTCCAAATAATCATTAAAAACTGCCTTTAACAATGAACGAAACAATAATATAAAACGAGGTTCCATTGCAAAGAGGTACAAACTTTAAAAGAAATGTTAAAAACTAAAAGAAAAATGATATAAAAAGATAAATATTGATTATTGACAATCAATATTGTTATCAATTGATTGTTAACAATAGGTAGTTAATAATACCAACTTGACATTATTGTCTCCATACTACTATTACATTATTGTTGTTGTATATTATTTATTCTGTTGTAACCCCGGGATCCTAGAAGAATGGTTCTGGGGCTAAATGAATCCCGCTAATATCCTAGGGCTACTTTATTTAAAAGTATTATGCCGATTACAATCAAGCTCTCTACTTAGTACTTATATATGTTTAGTACTCGGCAAAAGGGGGGTAGGCTGAATAGAAATTGCTGTGAAATTTAACATGAAATTTTCACCACAACTCTGATTAAAACAGGCATGTACCAATTATTCCTGCCAAGAAGACATTACAGGAATCTTATAGAAAATTGCTTCCTCTGACTGCTCCGCGTCTACTGACCTCTATTGTTTCCGTTCAACCGGCCTCTGGTGCAAACTGACATAGCACCTAGGTCCCCCTTTTGCCTACACTGTTTCTTATCCTATTTACAATGTTAAATCCATTAAACAATATTTTAAAAATTCATTTATATAAATATTCCCATCACCAGTTTCACTATCATACCTTACCTGTTTTTCTGTAATTGTTTTATTTGCTTACCTAACATATTTTTTAACAGGATTGGATGATTTTTTATTTCTCATATCATGGCCCAGAGTTCTATTGCCAGAGTTACTTTTGCAATTTTTAGGAAATTCAAAGGAGTCCTTTTTAGTTTAGATACAATCGCTCAGTCAAGTTAATTATAAATGAAGTTTTCCAAACCAATGTAGTCATTGGTTCAAATACAATTAAATCACATTTTCTCTGATTAACAAATCTTTTAAAACAATTTATTCTTCCTGTAAAGTTTTTCTTCTTACCAAATATACCTTCTCTTCTCTTTTTTACCTAGATCACTTTATTAATTATTTATTGTAAACACGGTACATGAACAAAAAAGTCACTAAAATGACATAATCGCACTTATTTACAACATTTTTGTTTTTATGGCTTTATTTTTTTAATATCTTGCCATTGTACAAGATGTAGCTCACCTCGGAAGGACGAGCTGGTGATCCCCCGTGGCCAGCCAACAGTACCAGGCGAACTCAAGACAAAACTGGGGCAGCACCACGCAGCTTTCTCCTACTACTAACTAATAAACTAACTACTGCTCTGCTACTGACCGGCCAGCACCTCCGACACTATGGACCCTACCACAGGAAGCACAACAATCCATCTCTGGATGTGCTATTGATACTGATAACTTTATATATTTAAATTCCTTTGTTTTTTATCAATTTAAATATCAATTTGTAAATCATCAAGTTTTCTGAAGCTATCTTTGTTTCAAGGTTGAAGGGATTGTCAATGACATTACATATAAAAACTTCTGCTAGGAAATTTCTCTGATTTCCTGGTACTCTTTGCAATCGAAAAGTAAATGTTTTATATCTTCAGGTACATTGCAAGTGGAACAATTGGGGGATTGTCTCTGTTTCATTTTGTAAAGGTAGGCACCTGTTATTCCATGACTAGTTTGGATACTTACAACATAAATGTAAATTAAAACAGTATATACATATAATAACTTTGAAATAATAAATAAATAATCCATTATATTTAGTGGTCTATTGGTCAAATTACTTCTTTCAATTAATTAATTAATCTTTTTATATAAGGTTTTGGTCGAAATGAAAAAGTTAGTGTCAACGTATTCGCATCCCGCTCCTGACAATAACTTTTTCATTTCGACCAAAACCGTACAAAAAAAGATTAATTAATTGAAAGAAATAACTTGGTCAATTGACCACTAAAACATAAATGGATTAATAATTTAAATTATTTATTATTTTTATGTAAGGTCTGGTTGAGATGAAAAAGTTAGTGTCACGAGCGGGATTCGAACCAAGTTATTGAAAAAGTTCGAATCCCGCTCGTGACACTAACTTTTTCATCTCAACCAAGACCTCTCATAAAAAGAATAATTAATTGAAGTAAGTAATTTGGTCAATTAGACCTCTAAACATAAATGGATTAATAAAAAATAATCTTTTATTCACGGCCTGCGCTAATTTTACAATGAATTACAATAGTATTGTTGAAATTAACACATATTTTATTCCCTATGTAGTTGTAATATTAGTAGAGATTTTTAGTTTTAAAACTTCCCAACCCCGCGGAACAGGTTCGTACGGAACAAGCATTGCCCTCACCACCATCACTTGTATCTTACATCGAACTTGTGCGGGATTTGCTGATCAAACTTCATAGTTCATAGTCTCAAGCAAACCTTTTATAATTTATTATGTAAGAACTGAAAACGTGTCTCATTCGATTTATTAGAATCGAACAAAAGGCGGATTTGACTTCAAAGTGAAATAGTGTCCGTTGGAAAATAGCGTTCCTGTTTTAATGTTCTGATACAAGGTTTGAAAGTATATTTTACTTTAAAAAAACATTATAAATGGTTAACAAACTCAACGACGTTCGTATTTTAATAATAATAACGTGATTTTTTTAAAAAAGTTAGTAATGTTCAGTCGTAGATAAAATGGGCCTGGAAATGTATACATTTCTGATTGAGTATGAGCTAAGGCACCAGTGACCAGTTGTACGACGGAAGTCTGCTGAACTAATTCAGTCTTGAGTCTTGACTCTGGAGATCTTTACTCGGTTCTGTTTTCTGTTTGGTTTTTACAGTTATTGTTTGGCAGGAGGGCCTTTTTTAATTTAATTTCTTGTTTTGTACATTTTTGATTTGATCATAAACGTACGCTCTTGCCACTAAAACATAAAATTCGCGTATTTTTATCTAAAACGGCGTTTCTCCTTGTGTCTCAACATCAATAAACAAGGTATTTTCTTTGCTTGTTGATTCATCTTTAGTTTTCAACGTCGAATCACCGATGAAGCTGAGAAAGCAGAAGGGGTTTAGTAGTATTCGTTTTTATTCTAGCCGATTTTTATCTTTTCGAACCTTCTTCATTTATATCCGTGAAGTGATTCATCGATAAAATGAAGAAAACTTTTTTCCCCACCCGATGTCCCTTATTTCGGTTTGGAACGCTCGTTTCTTTCAACTCTAAATTGGCAGCCTTTTTTGCTGCGGGGTCGGACAGAGGTAGAAAACATCCTATTTTTCCAAATTACCACAGAATATTGATTGTTTTGCGATTTCCGGCCGAAAAACTGCTTTTGGTCAACAGTCAGCAGGAGACGCTCTCCACGGGAGAACACGCCGTGGGGAAAATCTATGCACTTCATTACTATAGCATACTACTTATGTATGTACTGTCTTAACAACATGTGCATATCAACAAGCGAAACCCTTCCAAGTCAGAAGTTATGCACTGTCCCATAATTTACTGATTACTGATGAGTTAAAGCTCAATAAACTGATTAAGAAGTATGTTAAACACTGTAAAAAATATTAATTAAATCAAGTAATCTTTTTGGGGAAAATTATGTAAAAGTTATTTTTTTGAGGAATAAAATGTTTAAATACGTTTATCACAAAATGTACTTCGTCTTTTATTTTATATTCCTCAAATGTTACTTAGATGGCTGACAAATGTGATGTGGAAAACATAGAAGCAGGCTTGGAAGATTTGGATATTGAGTCGAATTACGTTCCACCACCCGAAAAATCAATTGAAGAAATTATATCCGCCGATAAAGAGGATGAGAGCCTTCAGAAGTACAAACAAGCACTGCTGGGTGCGGCAAAAGAAGGAGCAGTGATTGTTGGTTAGTCATTTATTAATTAATTTTGGTTGTTTTTGTTGGTTTCATTTTGAATAGTATTATGTTAATTTTTAGACCCAAACGATGAGAGGAAAGTTATTGTGAAAAAGCTGGCACTCTGTGTTGAAGGTCGATCAGACTTAGAACTGGACTTAGAAAATACACCTTTAGAACAGCTTAAAAAACAGGTATTATTGACTGCTTATTTGTAATACATATTAAAATGTTCTAAAATTTAGGAATACCAGTTATTGATTTTACTGTTAAATGAATAATTAAGTACTTAATGTAAGGTACTTATTAAATTTATATANATATATATATAACTTATCTTTCTGTTATAAATAATTTTTCATCAGTTATTGGTTAGGGATGGATGAATTATTTCATTTTATTTCTTTTTAATAACAAAAGTTTATTTATTTTTTCAACCTCCCAAATAGATCGAGTGGTCTTCCTGCTGAACACTACTATGTTTAAACTATGTATGATCTCTGGACAAAATTGCATCACACTATCACCCCAAACATCATGACAGCACACCATACTCTGAATGAAGCATTATAAGATTCTTCACTAGAAATTTTTTTTTTTTTTTTTATGTTCCAAAATAATCTAATTGGATCAACCAATTTTGGCTTTTTTTAAATTTTATTATTATTATTAAACTACATATTTTCTATATCATTTGGTGTAAAGGATTTGCTATTTTGTCTACTAGATCAATAAATCCCATTATAATGAGAACTCTGCTATCCTGCGGACATGTTTCAACGTCAATAGTACTGAAAAATTACATTTTTTAACCTTTTTTTCAGCTTCAGTTCAATATTTTGATGCGTACTGGTTTTTTAAATTTAAGTAAGTTGGATGTAGTGTAGAACACCTTTAAAAAACTTACAAGTGAACTATTTACTTCTGTGGTGATTAGTGACTGTTAGTCTATGATTATTCGGAAATCGGATGATCTCAATAAAGATCAAAACGTTGGCACGATAAAGAAAATGTTTTCTGAAACCTATGTCACACTAGGCCGCATCTCACGATTTCCGAATAATCATAGACTAACAGTCACTAATCACCACAAAAGTAAATAGTTCACTTGTAAGTTTTTTAAAGGTGTTCTACACTTCATCCAACTTACTTAAATTTAAAAAACCAGTACGCATCAAAATATTGAACTGAAGCTGAAAAAAAGGTAAAAAATTAATTTTTCAGTACTATTGACGTTGAAACATGTCCGCAGGATAGCAGAGTTCTCATTATAATGGGATTTATTGATCTAGTATACAAAATAGCAAATCCTTTACACCAAATGATACAGAAAATATGTAGCGTAATAATAATAATAAAATTTAAAAAAAGCCAAAATTGGTTGATCCAATTAGATTATTTTGGAACATAAAAAAAAAAAACAAATTTTTTTCTAGTGAAGAATCTTATAATGCTTCATTCAGAGTATGGTGTGCTGTCATGATGTTTGGGGTGATAGTGTGATGCAATTTTGTCCAGAGATATGTTAGGATATATACGCACATCTTATTGACTCAAAAAAGGTGAATAGTAAACAAAACTGATAGATTCACTAATTTCGTGGTCCACTTGACCAATTAATATATTACAATTAATTAAGGTTTTTAGTTGAGATAAAAAAGTCAATGGCATTGAAATTTGGCAATTGAAAAATGGCAAAAAGGAGGGAAAATTCAAAAGATGGGGTTGAGATGGGAAGTTGATGTCCGAGTGGATTGAGGTCACGATAGCTCAAGTGGTAGAGCAGCGGCGAATCTAGCCGTAGATCGTGGTTCGAATCCCGCTCGTGCCGTTGACTTTTTTATCTCAACTAAAAACCTTAATTAATTGTAATAAAACTGATAGAATTGATGAAAAGAGGCTCATAACTATTTGTCTTTTGTACTTGTTTGCTTGGTTGTCTGTTGCAACCTCTTACTAGTACACCTGCCATTTACCCTCTAATAATGTTGATTCAGGGCTGTTATAACCCTTATTTAATAAAAAAATGTAAATAATATCTTTCTTTTTTTTATTTCCAGGTGTTTGTAATAAAGGAAGGAATATCATATACTATCAGAATAGATTTTATTGTACAAAGAGAAATTGTTCATGGTTTAAAATATGTTCAAAAAACCTTTCGGCTGGGCTTGCCAGGTAATTTTGTTTTGATATATTACTAAGTATATGTTGAGTAAAAATAGGCTTTCTTTAACTTTTCTAAATGCATCAATTTTGATTTTTTAAATGCAGTTGAAACAATTTTCGACTCACTTGTTTTTAATGCCATTTCAATCTTTAACTATATAATTACATTTTGCAAAATAGTGCCAATCTTTTTTACATTTAGTGTTCAATGAAAATGATGTTGAGGTATTGATAATGTGGTACATTAATGGAGAATACAATTAGAATGCAAAATTGTAATTTTGCACATTTCGTCCATGAATTTGAAGAAAAATAGCAGACTGTAGACACGCGCGCGCGCCCACACACAGAGTTTTAAACTCGTTGGACTTTACATTAACAAATAAATCTATTGTGTTTAAAGTAATGTACAACATTCATAAATATTACCTATAAATAATATTACTATTATCCAGTAATCTGAAATGGAAATAGGATGAATAAACAGTCTCATTGCAGTGTTGCTGTAGAGACAAAACAAGTGATAAAATGTGTGATTGGTGGGGAGATACCTTTGCATTCCTTGGGCAAGTATGTGGGATGGTGGTGAACTTTTCCAAGGGTACGCTGTACCATATAAGGAAAAGATGGCAGTATGATCATGTTTTAAGAGCTCGAATGTCCTACCTGTGCTGTCTCAGCATCGTTGGGACCCATCAGCAGTAAAAGGCTAGATATACACTGTAAAAGGGTAAAAAAATAACAGATCTCAATAAGTGATAATGATCCCAATCCCCGCTTTGCCGGCTTGCTTGTTCTCTCCGTCTTCTTTTGTTGTTCATCTGTCCTGCCTTCAAGTTTACCGGACACATGATCAATTCTAACAAGGCCATTTCTGATGAAGCTTCGTTCACTGACGAGACAGAGATCAAAAGCCCATCACACTGGTGTGACAATCTTAACCTCCATCCCGTCCCTATTACTAATGGGCACAAGACTATACACATTTGTCAGGCTGTAGTCTCAGAGACTATTTCATCAGCCTCTATTTTCATTCATTAAATAAACTTCCTGTGGGAAAGGCTTTTTTGAAAAAAAAAAAAGTTTTGTTATAAAAGATTACAATAGTGAGACTGACTCTATAATGGACAGAACGCTAAGAGTGAGCCCCTTCTAATTGATATAAGGGTTTATGTCCATATTTGTCTAATTGGTTTAATTGGTCAAAGGGCTAAAGTTTGAGAAGGGTGTTTTTCACCTTTGGCCCCATTAGACTAATTGGTTCCAGATATATGGCACCTCTAACCTGCTGGTTATCTATGCGTAGGTCATTTCTATAACTTTCATCTACTCTTTCATTCGACTGGCAGTTACTATTTTTCATATCTTTAGTGTTTTAGCAGCTGTTGACCCAACTTAAGCACTTTTAATCTTCCATCGTTCGATCCGCTTCACTCAGAATTTTTCAATTCAATTCTTTGGCCATAGACATAACTGATCTGTAACAGCATTTGTCACCTTGTTTGGACCTGCCTTCTTCATTTCGAACCTATCACCATCCAAACACTGAACATTTCATAGTGCCTTGTAATGCAAGTTGTCTGAGTAGCAAATTCTGGGATGAATTTCCTGAAATATTCAGTTAACCCTTATAAACTTTATTATGAGGTACAATTCAACCAGCGCCTCTACATTGATTTGGAAGATCCAATCCCTTCTGCAAACTTCTCGTCCTACATATTGCACAATCTTCTTTCTTCTACACGGAGTGAGGCACATGAAAAACTAGTCCATGTCCAGGAGTTCCCTATCCCACTTCTATTGTAAGAAAATAAATGTAATGAACGCAATTTTAAATGAAAAGACACAACACAGGTTAAGAGTAGGTGATGTCTGGTCACAATGAGATCCCAATTTCTGCTTTGTCGGCATGCTTGTTCTTTCTGTCCTCTTTTGTCATCCAGCTGTCCTGCCTTCAGGATTACCGGGCTGACATGATCAATTCCAACACTACATGCCATGATTAAAAATAATTTAAATGTAAAATAAAACAATATAAATCTAATTTTTGAAAATCTATTTTTACTTACTTCAGATACTATTGTAAATTTAAAAAAAAAAAAAATCAACTATTGCAATGTAACAATAATTTTAATCTTTTTGTTAAATCCTACACATTTTTGGAACAGTCGAAGGTAACTACAATTTTTTTTAATATAAAACATTATTTTAAACATTAAATGATAATAAATTTTATCCCCTTAATTATTATTGATCTATGATATTTCCTATCATATACACACACACACACACACACACACACACACACACACACACACACACACACACACACACACACACACACACACACACACACACACATATATATGAATGTATTGTATGTGTATTCACTTTATAAATCTAACACTGCAGTAAGATTGTGTTTTTCTTTTCTAAAGAATTTAACATTTTTTAGTTGATAAAATGTCTCACATGGTTGGGTCTTATCCTCCCAAGAAGGAAGTTCAATCGTACACTACCCCACCGGAAGATGCCCCTTCAGGGGCGCTGGCCCGTGGCTCATACACAGTGCATTCTCTCTTTACAGATGATGACAAACATCAGCATCTAAAGTGGCAATGGGCTTTTGATATCAAAAAGGATTGGGATGATTAGATTAGTGTTTTATAATAACACATTATCATTAAATCTTCATAACCTTGTGTGGTAAACATCATTTCAAAAATTTTGTGCAAAAACAACGCCAAAAATATACATAGAAAGAAAAATCTAGTCATGAGTTTTTTAATAAATAAATAAATAAATAAANTAGTCATTGGCATTGAGGTAGATATTTTTCCAATTTATATTGTTACACACATTCTAAATATTTGCATTAAAGACCAAGTTGTTTTTGCACAATAAGCTATTCTCATTACTTATTTACAGTTTGTAAGTATTACAAATTATTATATTTTGCTTATTAATTGGTTATTTCAAAAATAGAGGATCATTGCTATGAAAATATTTTATAATACTTATGGATACAATCCTTTATTTAAATTGCAATATTTAAAATTACTATTGTTAGTGTTATGAAGTTTTAAAGTATTTGCTTTAATGTTTGCATTTATTTAAACCACACATTTGTTTATACAAAATTAGAACTAGTCTTTTTATTGTGTCTGTGCATAACCCTCAATTTAATTGAACTGTTCACGGATATAATCAATGTAAAATATTATAACAAAAAAATATCAGAGGAAAAGAAAATTTCTTTTTCTGAAAATATCATAGATTTGATATGAGGTCAGGGAATACAGAAGAATCCCTCCCATTTTGCTCATGAAAAAATACAAATTTGTAATCTAAATATGCTTAGTAAACTTACATTATTTTTATTATTCAAGTTTTATTATTAAGTTTTATTTAAGGGGAAATTTAGTATTTTTAAAATTAAAATAAAAAACCTGGCATTTTTCTGAGTTACATTACCGAAAAATTTACTCAGTTATAAAATTGTTTTTCCAGCGATGAATACCACTAATAAAAACAGTTGTTATTAATGGTAATACGTGTTAACATTAAACATGTTTGTAAGGGTGCAAAATTGATATGCAACACCCCTGGTGGGGACCTTCTTTCCCTGGAGATGATAAGAAAAGCGGGGAGAGGGGCATTGTGTGACTGGACACGAGCGAGTCGACAACGGTGAGCCAAAATCCTTTATTTGCCATAATCATCTCAATATATTCTACTTGCTTCCAGAGTTCCGCTAATGTTGAAAAATTTAGTTTTGAGCCTAAAAGTGATAAAAATTTTGGATGTAAACTTTCAGTTATATTTTGTACCAATTCTGTCTCCATGATATCCCCTAAAATACTGGCATATATTATTTTCTTATTGATAAAATTTCTCAATGAATCATTTTCCGACTGATGCTTCATCAAATACTTAGTTTTTAATATTTGCCGTTGCCTATCAGTCGTCTGATGTTTCAATAAGCTGTTTTTGAACAATTCAAAATTTATGCCGGAATAAATAGCTGCATTAGCCAATATATTTTCTGCAATTCCACCCTGTCTATCAGCTAGACTCTGCAGGATATTACTAAAATCTTGTTTATAGCGGTCTGCGATGGGATATAAGTCTACGAGAAAATTAAAGATTGTTTCCGAATCATATGGCTTAAATTTTCTTATATTTGAGAGCCTATTTTCCAGTGATCGTGGAATTTCATTATTTTTAAACTTGGAATTTCCCTGTGTACTCGTCATTGGTTTTAAAAACTTATTTGTCGCAAAATTCAAACTGGAGGATGAGGAATACACTGAATCTTCACATTCTGGGTAATTACTGTCAGATTCCATAATGTCCTCCTCTTCCAATTTTGATTTGTTTGCTTCTCCACGGGCTAAAAAGGACAGCTTCTCTTGCCTTTGTTTCAAGATTTTTTTTGACTCGCGTTTTAAACGGGTCGATATCATTGATTCATACTTTTTTACTCATTCTCCCACATGAGGCCTTAATTGTGCCCTAATCTTCCGGGGAGAATTCATCAACACTTGTGACATCGTGTGTCAAATAAAATTGTGTAATTAAGGTCAAATAAAAGGAATTTTTCGATAGCTCCAATGCTTTCGCCAGAGCTTGTGTGATCTCACTTTTTTCCTGATCAACAAGCTGATCTTGAATCAGGTTCTGACTTCCCTGTGGCGTACACGCTTGCTCCTGTTCTGCCATGTCTACCGCAGGAATACTGAGTTTTTCAGCTATTTTTTTAAATCCCTAGCCGGCAAACTTTAATTAACCACGCTCTGCTACCAATTATTATTGTTAATCGGCTCAATGGACTGATGGTCCCCGACTGAACAATTCCAAAAGAAGAACAAGAACCGGGAAAAGAAAATTTACACACATACAATAAAAAACTATAATTTGACCTTTTGAAATCCAACAAAAGTTATATATACAAAAAATGCCGTGAGATAGAAACACACCAAAAAGAAAAATATCTTGTGAACAAAAAAATAAAAATTTTCTCTTAAGAACAAAACAACAAAATTTTAACCTTAATCAATTTTTGAAAAAAGAAAAAACAAATTTATTAATGCTATTAATTAAAAAAAAGGAGCGGGCACACTCCCTGAAGAACAAGGATTCAGGAATTTATGGCAAATAAAGGATTTTGGCTCACCGTTGTCGACTCGCTCGTGTCCAGTCACACAATGCCCCTCTCCCTGCTTTTCTTATCATCTCCAGGGAAAGAAGGTCCCCACCAGGGGTGTTGCATATCAATTTTGCACCCTTACTTGTTTATACAGAATACAAAATAATTAATGATCAGCCTACTATTTTTTTAATCAGTATTTCACTCTTTCTTTCTCTCACACACACATAGAATGTTTGGGTTAACCGTAGAAGATGAATTGCATTTAAATGGAAATGGAAGTCATCTTTGCTAATCCCAATTTGTATCATTACCCAAAAATCAGTTTTTTAAAGGCTGACTAATTGTTTTTTCTTTTTGTACTTTTTTTTACAAAATAATAAAATGGCTAAATATTCATTAATTTCTATAACAATTTATTTTATGTGATGTATTAATAAGATAACTAAATGTATTGAATCCTTGTTCGTTTTAAAAGGAACATAGGCTGCCTTCCAATTGCCTTTCTTGTAGCAACTTTATTAAAAATTACAATAAAAAACGTAATGACCAAAGAGTGAAGTAATGTTTACTGATCTTAAAAAAAAAATGTATTTTTGGTATATTGTCTATTATATACATATATTGCATATTCTTTAAAGATATCTATTAATGTAATGCAAATTATTGATAATAAAGTATTATCATATATCTGTCTAAAATATAAAAGGAAAAGAAAACGTGTTAATTGTACAACCAACCAATGCTGCTAACACTTAAAATAGTATGAATGTTATTTATAATAAATTAAATTGTAAATATTATACTACTGTTGCTAATTTATTACCTTCATTGCTCTTTCTGCTTGATTTTTTATAAATTTGACCTGTAAATACCTTTTTTTCCAATATATTTGATTAAAATATATTATTGAAAAAGCAGTTTAGATCTCAAACTGTGAGGTGTTGTTTTTAGCTCTATGAATAAGTTCAGATTGTAAGTGAATGCAATCTGTACAAAATTGTACTCTGTACCAATTCAACTTTCACCTCATAATTGCACAACCCAGCAAATGTTGGATAGTAGTTGAAAGCTAGCATCTTTCTACTCCATGCAATGTATTTGTCTGTAATGCGATAAAGATAAATGATTGACCCAAGAATATAATTAAATTAGGTATATTTACAATTGTTACAACATTCTGATTTTAAGGGAACACAAATGTAAATAACAATCTTTCATTAATTTAATATAAGTCACAAATAAATAGAAGATAAAAATGAATGACAACACTAAATGATTGAATTCATAAAAATACTACATTTTATTCAAATCAAAAGTTGAGGTTGTTTTGTTGTTTTCTATACTTGTTATTGATCATTGTTTTGGTATATACCATCTTCAGTGCCCATGTGTCGGTGGAAGATGGCACAATGCTGAAATGTATCTGTCAGACCAAACCAGCTAGGATAGGTAGTCCAAAATTATCAGTAACAATCAAATTACAGATTAATCATCCCACAGACTACATGGAGAAATCTCACTGTTTTGTTGTAGCCTCAACTAAGAAATTTAATAATGCATAACTGTCTGTAGCTTAAATACACAATAAATTATAAAAAAAAAAACTTGATCGTTGTCTACTATTTCTGCTTGGGGTGAGGCATCTCATCACAGGTCAAGTCTAAATAATGTTTGTCTTGCAATAGCCTGAAAAGAAATTATTGCTTGTGATTTATGAACACGATTAAAATATTTGATCTTGCAATACTTACTTTTTAACGCTGCCTTTAGCTCTTGCTCAGTGGAGCAGTGTTGAAAGCTGACTGGTTGTACTGCTTGAAAAACACTGACAACACTTGGTTTCAAGTTGTAAAAAAGAAGTGGCTGGTTTCTTTTAACAAAATCGTCAATCAGCGACTTGACCCCCTACAGCACAATTAATTGAAACTTGAACAAAAGAGAAAAAATATTTTGCTTATACCTTGGCTGCGGTAAAATCCGCTCCTTGAACATGCCTTGCATCTATAACGACTGGGATTGAACTAGCTCCTTGTTTGGCTCCAGCTTTTGAAATCATATTTCTCACATATTCCACTGATGGGAATGTTAAACTTCGGTCTGGTGTAATCACTAAATATTCACAGCCCACTTCATTCTAGAAATGAGGTTAAAACATAATACATAATATCGAATAAGATATAATGCACAGTTTCCTTACTGTTTTTGGATGTTTTTCAACATGTACAGATGGTCTGGCTGATGCATAAAGTAAGAAAAGAACATTTATACTGATTCCAATAACAATACCAAGTTCTAGCCTTAACAAGAGACATGATATAAATGTAGCTCCTGCTGGTATCAAATCAGTCTCTAAATAAAAAGAACACATTTACAGTCTTTTAAAATACACATGGATAGCTGTGTTTGGTTTACTTTTTGTTCTCCATATGGGCTTCACAACATGAAATTCAACCATGAAAACAACTGCCGCTATAATTACAGCTGCTAATGATGCCTTAGGTATATAATAAAAATATGGTGTAAAAAACTGGAGAGAAAGTAGTACAATAATACCTAAAAATATATTACATCATATGTACAGTTTATCGGTAGATCTTTGTAAAATACAAACAAATATATTACCAGTGTAAATCCCACCAAGGGTTGTTCTGACACCGCTGGCATTATTGACAGCACCACGTGATAAAGCACCAGAAACTGGCATTGAACCAACAAATGAAGAAGCCACATTGCACAATCCTAGGGCCAAGAGTTCCTGTGTAGCGTCAATTGGTTTTCCATCGGCTTAATTTAAAAAAATTAATGTTTTTTACTACAAAGTTAAAACATTTACATAAAAGCATACATATTTTTTATTCTAAATTTCAGCATTTGGTTGAATTTTTTTTATACTGCAAGTAATTTAATTTTTAGTTTTTAATTTTCTTTTGTAAAAAGATCACATTCTGATAGTATAGATATATCACCACAATTCCAGTCATAAAAGCAATTAATTTAATAAAAGAAAAAGGACATACATGCAATTACATACTAAGCTGGATTATGACATTTTTTTCAAATATGTGTAAATAATTCCTTCTTTAGGTTTACAAAACTGCATAAAAAATGGGTCACTTGGAAGGATGCCTATCTCCCATTATTGCAAACATTTTCTATTAATGAAATTTTCGTAAATTACAAAAAAAGTTAAAGAATAAGAATAGACTGTAAAAAAAGTTGATACAATTCTTTCATAGATAAAGATGATGTTATCTAGTTGATGGAAAAATGTAAAAAATTGCATAAAGATATAAAGTTTACTGTGAAAATAGATCAAAAAGATACTTTACCCTTTTTAGATATAAAAATTAGTAGAAATAATGACACTTTTAATATTAATATTTATAAAAAACCTGAATGTTCTGATAGAGTATTAACCCATTTTTCATCAAATCCAGTACATCAAAAATATTATAACAAATATGTTACAAAAATACTTAAAATAAGTGGCATATGCTATCACAGAGAATATTTTAACAAATATTTGAATTTCTTTTAAACATAATAACTATCCTGAAAAAATTATTTTACAGTTAATACAAAAAGAAACAAGTAATTTTACAATAATAAATCTAATAATAAAGAAGGTAATAATAATGAAAACAAAAATATGTAGGTATTGTATACACTGTACATAGAGGGACAGGCGGGAGGAATTATATAGAATTGTAAAAAAGAAAGCTTAATATTTTACAAACAAAATCTATTCTACCACCTATAAAAGATAATGTAGAGAACCTTCTTAAAAACAATGTAGTGTATAAAGTTATGTGTTTACGTTAAAAAAAATGTTGGAAAAAGTATTCTTAAAAAATCAATTAAACCAACACAAAAGAAAGTACATTGATAAAGAAGATTGTACAGATTTGTCAAATTATATTAATGAGACTATCCAGATCTCTTATTACACACTTCGCTCTTCTCATCATGCTCATAATTTTTTTTAATGGTTTAACCTTTAACAATCCCAAACCTCAACTAATGTAACTGTCAGCTCAGCTAATGTGATTATTGACATCAAGAAGTACTTCATAAAACCGGTGGTGACATGAAGTTTTGCATAGTCATGCATAAATAACCATTGCTCACTGATAGATAGCAGGAGTAAATGGCAGCATATAGAAATAGTGAATGATGGAGTGAGTGTGGTGGTCAATCATTTTTTAAAAAAGATAGTTCTTACTCACATTAATTTGTTTTCCAACGATCCAGATTTCGAGCCCTTAGTTCATCATTATTTTTTTATTCTCAGATGACCAATATGCAGTTAGAAAACTAATACCAATGAACCCAAAACCCCCAATGTTATACGGTACAGTCAAAATTCACAAGGAAAACCTATAAGACCAGTAGTGTCCTTTTATAATTCCCAACATGACACCATGACAATGGACAAAATAATTAAAAATCACACCAATTTAAAACCTACAACGTGACAGCTAAAGCCTCGGAACTGTTGACCTCCCTGGTAGGTGTATTACCTCATACCAAAGTAAAAGGATGGTAGTGTCCTCGGTCCTGAAGGCTGGGGCGGCAGGGGGAGCGGCGGTGAAACTGATTGGAAGAAAGTGGCTAGATTGGAGTTGTACTCAGGATATTGGACCGTCAACAAGGGGAGGTACTTCATCTTGTCCAAGGACACCTTACAGTTATAGTTCCTGTGCTATTGACATGCAAACACAGGAATTGACAAAAAAGGTGAATCGCTTGGCTAGTGAGGTTAAGAGTCATTTAAACGAATTAGTGGGGCTAAAGGCCTTGATTAAAGAGAGATTAGAATTAATGGAAAAATTAGTAGTATACTTAGGACCTTAGATTAGAAGTAGGGAGAGCCCATTTATTTGTAGAGAAAATGATATAATTTCTTGATATAGTCGGGTTAGGATAAAATAATTAAAAATCACACCAATTTCAAACCTACATTCAGTATTAACAATTCTTTAGAATTGATAAAAGAATTAAATAACATCAATATACCCAACAACCCACAACTACAGACACTATGATTCCAGCGGATTCTTCCCACCCATGGTCCCAAAAGGCTGCTGGTTTCATTTGGCTCATGGACCGTATGTTAAAACTTCCATTAACACCGGCAAACTATAAAAATGAATTAGAAACTATTAAAACCATAGCAACGGGTATCTAGAAATATTTATTGATAGGTTGCTAGTTAAAAGAATAAAAAAAATTAACTTTAAAAGAATCAACAATAGGACTCAGCCACCCCACCATAAATGAATCATTAGGTTTCCTTTGTTTGCCAGACATTGGTGAATTATCGGAAAAAGTTAGTAAAATTTTTAAACAAGGTTTTAGAATAGCTTATAGAAGTACGGGGTCACTAAAAAACATCCTCTCAAAACCTAAAGACAAGGTAGACAACTTGGCAAAAAGCGGGGTTTACCAACTCAATTGTAATGATTGTAATATTAAATATATAGGTCAGTGGTAGAGAAATAAAAACGAGAGTAAAAGAACACTTGCTAAATCGAGCAAATTTTCGGAATTTAAAGACCATCTAAAAGAAACAAAACATAATTTCATTTCAAATTTAAATACAACAGTGTTACATAGTTATATACATGTTATACATTCACTAATTTTCTTGGCCCGCTTGACCAACTAATATCATTCAATTAATTAAGGTTTTTAGTTGAGTGTTACATAGTTTCAACAAAGGGAGAGAACTAGATTGGTTTGAGAAATTTGAAATTAAAAAATGTAAGATTGAACATGATGATAAATGCATTAATAATATAACAGATTTTGATCTACCTCCCATTTTAAATATGTACATAAATAATATTAAACGTCCAAATAATTAAATTAATTATTTTAATTGTTATTATTTTTATAATAATTTAATAATATTAAGATATTATTCTAATTTTTTATCTTTAATCACTAATTTATAATTAATTTCTTACAGCAATTACCATTATAATATTTACTTGTGTTATAATTCCCGCTTTTCGCACATTCAACTTGAGCGCTATTAAAAAACCAGCTTCTCATTGGAACTTCGGGTTGGCGGGGGTATCGGCGGGTTCACTTTTGCAATTCATTTCGAGAGACGTAGTTGTAGAAATCCTTCAACCTGACGATCAGCTAAGGGCTCGAAATCCGGCTCGTTGGAAAACAACTTGTGAGTAAGAACTATCTTTTTAAAAAAAAGGAATGGCAGCGTATTCCTCAATAATGTTTCTCACGAATATTTCTGCATTAAATGATGACTATAAAAAACGTGTAAGTCCATTTTTGCCTCCAAAGAAATTCCTCTCTACACTATAACTGGACTACCTCTGAACAGCACTCATCCGGCAATACTGAATTGCGAGTAGCACTCTCCAACTGCTCAATAAACTCAATAAAAAAATAAATAAAAGAAAATGTCGGTCTGGCGAATGGAGGGAAAACCGTGACTCAACTGAAAACGTAAACATTCTTTCTCCATCCAATTTCTGTCCAATGTCAGTGCTCCTCTCTGCCATTTCCAACAATGGCTTGTTGATGGATTGTTTTTGATCTTATGGAATGTACTCACTCACTCACTTGTGCGAGTCTCCTTTTTACGGTTTCAGTGCAATGCCATATCCAACTTAGTTCGAAGTATTTGAGACGTTTCATAAGGACTGGATTTCTTGACAGCATGTGCGATCTGCTAAATCAGTCTTCGGCGTCCCGATTCTGGTTTTAGGGAGAGGGAGTTTTGGTGGCCCTGTGACAAGGGCCAATATATGGAGACTATGGTTAAAGACCGGGATCGTGGAGTCGGTAGACTCGACATTGAGATTAGTGATTCGTGGAGGAAAAACTCTCACTCGCCACCACCATACGTATCACCATATATACCAGTGGAGGGGAGGTCGGATATGCAGGGACACATGGGTTTGCCGATCTCATCTCCTCCAAGAATCGGAAGATTCCTTTCATGACACCCTATCAAAAGTGGAAGAGGGAAGGCTCCGGCCTATTTTAAGGAAGAAAAATACAGATAAAAAGTGGCTAATGAAGTCTTTTGTGCAGTGGAACTGCAGAACAATCGGAACCAAGAGACAAAGCTTTTCAGGGATAATGAGCCGATGACGATTCACCTCCACGAGACCTCTTCTGCCCGGGACGCAGTTTCAGTTAAGGGTATATCAATCCATCTCAGAGGAAGCCCGTTCCGGGAGGTACACACGGCAATATTAATAGGAGAAAATATATAGTCTGAATACGAACATAGGCGATCGTAAAACGGTATCACACATGAAATTAATTTTTCTTTTGGGGTACCGTATAACATACGGGATACGGCTCTTTTCCTGACCGTTGGCGTAAGGCGCTTGTCATTCCCGTCCTTGAAGTGCAAGGACCCGAATCTTACCATAAGCTACAGGTCGATTTCCCTGAAGACCTGCCTGAACAAACTCCTGAATCCGTGATAAACGGTAGTTTGATCTAGTGACTTGAGAGGAAAGGGGGATTATACTTATTTTTCTGATTAGAGGGCACGCTATGGCTGAGTTCGTTTTCCTTGAGAAGAAGTATGGTATGATTTAGTGATATGCGATGCTTGGAAATCGTGATATGGGACATCGGATTCAGAGGCAAATTACCTCGTTTCTTCAAGGAACCGAAATTAACTTAACAGACTGGAGTCAGTGCTAGTTTGTTCAAGAGAATGAAGTCACCCAGGGGTCAATGATGAGCGTTGCACTTTTTTCGATTGCAGTGATCGGTATCGGACGGTGTCCCCT